ACGATAGGTTTTCTTGGTTTTTCCAGCATCTACAAGCCCAAAACATGAAACAAGTCAGTTTAACAATATTTTATATAACATACTAATCCTCCAAATCCATTTATTTCTGAAAATTGCAGCAAAAGCAAATGTTGTACATTCCCTTTAAACTCTCATTGGATACAGATAATTTTTAAATTTCTGATTTGTTTTCACCGATCATGGTGTGGGCCTTCGGTGAGTGATTTCTCTTGATTCGCATTGCAAAATGTGTTGCAATTCTAATTTTGTGCAGTGCAACATGTTTGCGATAACTATTGTGTGTTTGGTTTACATAATTAAAAATGCATAGAAGGTTTCTGTACCAAACCTTTAATTTGTATTTGGTGTAATTTTGTGTGTATTTTAGTACATGAGAACAAAGGAAGTGCCCCACTTCTATGCGTGTGTTCGGGTGAACTTCAATTTGAAAGTCATGTACCTTTCCAAATTGCGTTTTTGTTCTATCAATCACTTTTAAACCTTTTCACCCCATTTGTTGACTGCCCATTCACCGTGGGTCGCATGTTGTGAACAAAGTTTGTCGACACCAGTGAAGAAGATAATAAAAAGGGTGCCAGCAAACTTTGACAGGTAGCGGTACATGTAGTGTGCACCACACAGTTGAGCAGATCAGTTCGCCTACAATAGCAAAACATATTTCCATAATATTGGGCTGTATACCAGGCTTGAAGGAGACCTTGACTTTATGACACTGATGGCTTTCACACGAACCCGACCCACATTTTGTTGAAAGTTCTTGTGCTGCTGCTAGCACATGTCAGTCCCATCCTCTGAGGAGTACTTGCTTCATGGTTTGTCTGACCCGTACCTGTTTGCATACACAAGGACAATTCCCCCCCCCCCCCCCCCCCCCACGAGGAAAAATAAATTTGAAATCGCTGCAGAGTGCAGATGTTAAAGTGATTTGGTCCTGGAGTTTCAATTAAATAGTTAGGTGTCAGGTGATGCATTACGTAGTTTCTTCGCCTGGTCGCATGATCACATGATGAAATCTCTAAACTACAGTAAGTCAGATAATATGCATTACATGTGCACTTAGATCGTAAAATGGGGTCTAAAAGTGGTGGTTTTTTTTTTTGGGGGGGGGCGTATTTACTTAAATCGGCACATGTTTTGGTTTATCGTTTTTAAAGCTCTGTCGGGCAATTCGACATGCTCACTTGGTCGGTCAGTCTGTCTGTCTGTCCCCGAAGATTAACCCAAAAATTTACCAATACAAGCCCCTAAGTTGACCACAAAAAAACTTGACCTAAAATACATGTAATTGTCTAATTGACCTAACGCCAAGCCACCGTCATAAAATACACCCTTGCTTATGGTTTTCGGAACACCGATTTGTTTCAATTGATGCGCATTGCGCATTTATTTTGCATATATATCTGTCCCCGAAAAATGACAAAAATAAGCACCCTAAGTTTCCCATAAAAAAAGTTGTAAATTTTGATTTTGGATAAAAAAACCAACAAAAACAAATGGGTCAATGTTTAGTTAAATTCAATCATTAGTTTGCTAAGTTCGAATTACTGGCAGCAAGACAATAATTCAGTTCTCTTGGGGTAGGCTGGTACCCACCCACAATCAGTATCGATTACAATGTATGTATGGATGGGGAGCCAGTCTGCTTGCAAGGTTGATCTGTTTGTGCCCCCCCCCTCCCAAAAAAACCCCCCAAACAAACAAGGAGAAAAAAGAGACGTTTTGGGTGGAACAAACAAACAAGTTGTAAATTTATCAAGAGAAAAATACAAATTGAACGATGAGCACGGGGGACATAACTTTGAAGTTTTGGTATGAAGAATCAGGAGAAAGTCTGATTTTCTTTTCCCCCTTTTTTTGGTTTTCTTTTTGCTCTCGAAAAGTTGATTGAACCATGGACCATTTACAATGGTCCGTTATTGAACCCCCGCTTGTATCTAATTCATATCGGTGGATCACGAGGATCACGAGATCACAAGGAATGTGATATAAGTGAATAGAATTGGTTTTCATTGTGTGTCGGATACAGATTCATGGCATATTTTGTGTGTGTGGGTGTTGCGATTGTCCCCATGACCTGCCCCTGACATGTTCAACTAGGTTATAAGGGTTCGCACCCAGGATTTTGATTGTATCACTGAGTGACATGCTTGCATGTCGTTGGGAAGCTGATTATGCAGGTGTGTTTTGAACAATCACGATGCTGCAGAGCTTCTGATTTGAGGCGTGGGATCGCACCCCCACGCCATCTCACCCACAAAAGTTTCCCGAGAAGTATGAATAATCACAAGCCTGAATTCCTTACGTACCGCACACCTTGGCACCCATTTACGGCATAATTATACTCTGTGGGAAAAAACAGTACATGTCCGTCAGACTTGGTGAAGAGAAAATTACTTCACCGTAAACCAAGACGAATATTATAAAAAAGTACCAGATTGATTAGTCCCAAGCTGGACCACAGAATCACATGCCTAGAAAAATCACACACCTAGCAAAATCACACGCCTAGAAAAATCACCACCTAGACAAATCCAGGCGTGCCTTTTTTTCCCCACAGGCCTGTGATTTTCAAATCAGACTGATGCTGGTGTCAAAGAAACCTTAACGGGAATGTACAACATTTGCTTTTGCTGCAATTTTCGGAAATGAATGGATTTGGAGGATTAGTATGTTATAGCAAAACTGTTAAACTGACTTGTTTCACGTTTTGGGGTTGTAGATGCTGGAAAAACCAAGAAAACCAAACATGTTCTTGCAGTCTGGTTCCCTGACTCCACTTAAGATAAAACGGAGCAATTTATAGACTTTGGGGAATTGTAAGTTCAGAGAATCAGTCTAGCTGGCTTGTACCCCTTCACAGGTGTGTAATCAACTGCAAAGAAAATGCTGAATAAGTAAATCTAAAAAAAAAAATAGGAGCAGTTTTTGAAAAAAAGCCAGTTTCTCCAACGCTGGTCGGCCGACCAGCGTTGGGAAAAATACAGTTTGTCTTGAAAATGTCAGCACACCAGGAGCCACGATTTTACAGGATGCTTTAGACTGTCATTCCTTAACAATCCAGTAAGGTTTTTCGTGATAATTTGATCATTTCATTTTTTGATGTTTGTAAATGTTGTATCTTCCCTTTAAAAAAAAAATATTGGCAGCAGCTTTTGTTTACAGCATGGTGAACCCTTCTTTAATTGGTGACCTACATTCCTGAGGATCATACGCCCCCTGGCTGTCACATCCACGAGGGATTGTGTGCCTTCTTGGAAAGGCCACAAGAGCACATCACTGTGTACACTGACTTGGTACTAGGCCAATTTACATATGTATGTGTAATACATTTAGCTCCACCCCTTAGCGGCGCAAAGGGAGGACGGGAGGAAAAGGGGCCGTTCCCCCCTCCCCCATTGTCTTCCATGCCCCCTCAGTTTGCCCCACCAAGAAAATCCTCAAAAAGTGTCAAATGAAAACAGTAAAGGTAAAGTAAGCACTCAAGTACATTTTACGTCACTTTCAGAAATCTGCTGGGCTGTTATGAGGGGGTCCATTTATAAAGTGACCAAAATCTTCAAGCAAACTTATATCCTTGATCCTGATTGGTTGATTCATGGCAACAAGAGTGTGATATGATGCTGTATTGCATGTCCATATCGCACCCTGCATATTATTGCGCTGAACCGCTAAAAGGTTCGTGTAAAGCGTGCTAATTCCTACTTTACTGCGCGTCAAGTTTGCTTGAAGATAAATTTGTTATCACGCACACGCTCATTGAACACGGAAAATGAAGTGCGTTTGAGTCACATACCACTCGGCTTTTGGCCTCGTGGGAGACAGACGCACTACGTTATTCCGTGTTCCGCTCGCGCTCGCGGGATAACTTACATACATTATACATGTATTACGTACACTGTATTACATTGTATTCATTCCCTCATGAATCCATACAAGTTACAACCATACTGTGATAGGGAGGTTTCGACAGCATAGGGAGTATTACAGGCTGGATGGTTTCAGGCTATACAGTAATAAATGGGTTAAATCCCACTTTGCAAAATATACACAACGGAATCAAATATTTTCTTTCTTTGGCATCTTGCCAATTGCTTTCCAATTTTGTTGCAGTCCAGTGATATCTCTTCCCACTCACATTCTTTGCGTATCGTCATCAATACAACAATGAATGATAAAGATGCTAATATTAACAAGCCCTCAGTTTTGTTTATACCATTTAGTTAGTTGGCTGTATCAGTTTTATCGTGTTTACTTATTTTCTAAGTGAACTGAAAAGAAATAGTAAACTTATCAGAAGTGCATTACTTTTGGTACAAAGTACATACACATGTGTGTACAGTGTACGTACATAATAATAACGGAGTCTTATATAGCGCACGTATCTACCAACAATTAGGTACTCAAGGCGCTGGAAATTATGTCAATTATTAAAGAAAGGTAAATAAAGAAAGGTAAATAATGTGTATTTGATTGTGCATTGGTGGACTTTACTTACATTGTAAAATTCCTGCGACCACCCAAAAAAAACCCAAAAGAATCCCAAAGACATAAATCTCACAGGGAGTATGGTTGGGTGTTTGTGGCTTATGATCTGAGGATCAGGGGTTCCAATCCAGCTGTTGGCCATGTGTTGTGTCCTTGGGCAACCCACTTAAGCCAACTTGCCTCTATCCACCCAGGGGTACAAATTTTTGTAAATAATGGGCATTTGTGATTTAGCTGGGGAGTAACCTGTGATGGACTGGCGTCCGATCCTGGGAGACTACAAATATTGTGGATGTTTTCATGCCAGGAAAACTGGAGATAAAAAGTCTCCTCAGGAATCGTATTGCCTCTTTTTTTACTACTTTATGATTCAAATTTCACATTTGTGTTTAAATAACGTAAGGAGGGAGCACAAGATCATTCTTACTGCAGTCATGATATCTTTGATCCAGCAATGCATTTGTTTTGTGTATTTTTTTGGTCGTTGTTCACAGAGCCCCCCAGCAAGCCGGTCATAATCCCCTCGGATGTGACAGTGGTTCAAAATGGCTCCATCCGACTCGAGTGTCAGTCTACCACGCCCCGGCCACACCCATTCCTGTGGGAGAAAGACGGGGAGGAGTTAGGTCAGGATGAAAGGTGAGCACCATGGAGACACGTCTTGAGTAATCTGTGGATGTCACTGTGTGGTCCACACACGTTTTGGGTCCAAAGTGTGCACTTTTTCTGTCCCTTCTACCATGGTACTTTGTAATTTGCCATTCAAGTATTTAGCATTAAACTCCCTGGCATGATGTACTAGGAACCATGCTCATCCTGGTAAATTCCAGCACCATATGGGAAACTGCGCACACATATTTCTGACTTTGATTCTGGAGGTGTGCCAACCCAATGTAAAAGACTGTCAGTTTAGGGGTACTGTACCCATCCCGACAGATTCCAACAAAACATGCTGTTGAGGTTTGATGGGTCGAGTTCTGTTACGGTTAATAAAAAAAAAGGACTTTTTTATTTGTTGGGTAGGTAGTTTGCTCTCCATAATCACACCTAGGGGACGACTGCGTTAAGGAGTGCGTAATAATTATGAAATCATTGATGCCAGATTGAACAAGCACAGGACAAAAAGTGGACCCATATTTTTTTGGACTGCCGTTTCACAAACCTGTTGCAACTTTGAAGTAAATAAAATCACCCGACCGTGAGCGTGCAGTGGCAGTAATTCTCGATTTGTTTTCAGTATCAACATTCGTTTGTCGTTTTCAACATTGAGAGATACTTGTACCCATACTTGCGTCCGATCTTTGTCCCACTTTAGATAGAAACATAAACTACCCTGCACTTGCAACCGTATGCTGTTGTGTGTGATGCTTTATACGCGCCTGAAATGCAACAATTTTTGAGCATCAAGTTCATTATTAACTGTGCCAAGCAAACTTCGAAATTAGAGCGTATTGAAGAGCTCATAAACATACGTGTACGTAAACTACCCTGCACTTGCAACCGTATGCTGTTTTGTGCGATGCTTCATACGCGCCTGAAATGCAACAATTTGTGAGCATCAAGTTCATTATAAACTGTGCCAAGCAAACTTCGAAATTACAGCGCATTGAAGAGCCCATAAACATACATACATACATAAACTACCCTGCACTTGCAACCGTATGCTGTTTTGTGTGATGCTTCATACGCGCCTGAAATGCAACAATTTGTGAGCATCAAGTTCATTATAAACTGTGCCAAGCAAGGTCAGTCATGCATTGACGTTTAGTTCGGTGTTACAATGTGATCGAAAGTTGATCATAGCCGGCACGAGATCAGTGAAGAGGGCATACATGGTGTATGATTTAATATAAGCAAGTATGGGGAGATGAGTTTACAAAGGTGGATCATAGAATTTTCCTTTTTTAAATAGTGACAAATAATAAATGGAAGGTCTAAATACGCGTATTTTTGAGCCAGTGAGCAAATGTCACGTTGCCTTTGTTTTTTATACAGACGTAGATAAATGACATTCCTTGATATGATTTGGCTTCTTTACTTCAATCAAAAAAAATAAAGATTACAAAATATAATTGTTGAATTGTAGCAGTATTTAAAGTTTCGTCAGTAAACTGGGCTTCCTTTTTTTTTTTTGGTATCCCCAGAATAACATCCTTACAGCGACCCGTTCACAAATAACCAGCTTTAAAGAGAATTGCAAAAAAGAAGAAGTGATTTCCCAACAAAAACATGTAGAATGATGTTCCCCCCCCCCTCCCCTCCCATTTTTGCAGGTATACGTTACTTCCCACGGGAGTGCTCCAGATAACCCCAGCGTATCCCGAGGATGCGGGGGAGTACCGCTGCATCACTGGTAACCCAGCTACCCTGCTGACTACCAGCGAGTCCTCGGGGGTGACCGTCGTGGCGGAGCCCTCCGTGTCGGAAGGGCAGGACGAGACGGGGTCACAGGGAGAACGCGATCTCATCCTAAGACAGCTTGAGGATGTGACGATGGGTACTCCAGTCGACCTGCTTGTCTTGGAGTGTCTAGCTGCGGGAAGCTGGGTGGACATCCAGTGGAGTAGAAACGGTGAGTCAGAAACTGACAAAGAGTCCTCTTCATTTTAACCCTAACCCCTTCAGTATTTACTAGGAACCTTCCTCACTCTTGCAAAATCCAACACCATATGGTAAACTCAACACCCAAGCTGTTGGACTCTGATTATGGTGGTATGCCTGAGCCCATGGAAAGCATAATCAGTTTACTAGTGAAGTACTCATTCCAACAAAAGATGCAGTTGAATTTTGAAGGGTTGGGGTGGCTAGGGTTAAAGTTGAATTTAAAAAAATTACCGGAGCGGGTTTGAACCTGCGACCTCCAGATTGCCGTTCTAGCGCTCAACACACAACTATCCAGCCCTGTGTTGGCGGTTCCCCATTTTGTCAATATCTTTGAGGGGGCACTAGTCACCAGCCATATTTAAAAAAAAAGAAATCCTCAATTTGTATTGACTGTCACAACTTGCAGTACAATCCTACATGTAAATTGTAAAGTCACAGCCAGTTCATTAGATTTTAATGACTACTAGCAATACTTAAGAAGGCACTAGATGGCTTGAAAATTATTAAAAGAAAAAGTTGGAGAAACATACTTTATTACATTACCACAGCATCTCTGCTTACCATTAAATCCTAACTATCCTACATTTGCCAAAATCCAGTGTTGGTTTGATTTTATTCTGAGAGAGTCAAGTTTTAAAGCCGAGCCACTATAATTCGATGGATCTTGATGGATATTGGGCCCCCAGGAGGACAATTCTTTGAAAAGGGATAGGGCTACCCTGGTAAAATAGAACAAAATAATTCCTTTTTCCAATTATGTCCAAGTACAAAGACATATATGCCATTGGGTTACTGCACAGTGTGATAGGTCGAGAGGTTGTGGCAATCTTCCTTGCAAAAAAAAATGGGAACACAAGGCTTGGGATTAAGCAGCTCTTTAAAAAAAATGATTTTTGGACAAGGTTGCTCAACTGAAATAACTCACAATGTGGAATTTTGATTATCATGCTCATGTGCTTGAAATCACAATGCATTCTGATACATTTTCCTGTGTAGTGTTGAAATTGAATCATTATTGGATGATATGGGTGGCTTGTGCGTAAAGTGCTCGCCTCTCACCAAGGTGACCACGGTTCGAATCCTGGCCGCGAATCACATGTGAGTAGAGTTGTGCGTTGGTTCTCTCCTGTGCCACGAGGGTTTTTCTCCGGGCCCTCCGGTTTTCCTCCCTCCAGAAAAATCAAACACTTTTCGATCTCGGGCTGTGCTCCGTGGTCATATATGGGTCGATGTGGCTGGCAGCCATAGGTGCCTTTACGTGCCAGCGGCTGGACCACGCTGTAGCCGCATCCTTCGCAATTCAGCATCCTAGCTGCGAGTAAGGATGATTAGCCTCCCAAATTATTATTATTTTTTATTATTATTGATATGTCTTTGTTGGACAGGGCCAGAACCGTTGCCGCTCGGACGAAGTCGTTTCATGGGCAGCAAAAACCTTGAGATGAGGGATCTAACTCCCGAAGACAGTGGGGTGTACGCCTGCGAAGCTACCGACACCGGGACAGGAGAAACTGCCAGAAGGAGCGCCACAGTTCAAATTGTGGATTACAGTAAGTTGAGTTGTCACAATGCGTAGGGGACGGGAAATGACACTCGTGTAAGATGTGAACTGGATTGATTTATATTTCCTGCCCGAGATCCTGTTTCAAATTTTGTTTTTCTTAAAAAGTCATTTTGTAGTCAATATGTGCATAGACATGAACTTGAATGGACGGCTTGGAGAAATAAAAACTGCATCCCATCGGATCAGTGATGTAGTGCCTTGATGCTGGGCCTTGGCCTTAAGGCTGCCTTAAGGCTGGATTTTAGGGCCTTGGCCTTGGCCTCGAGGCTTGAGGGCAAAAGCCTTGGCCTTGGCCTTGGCCTTGAGGGTTCAGGGCCTTGCAATTTTGAGTCAAGGCTCTTCAAGGCCCATAGGTTTTTGCATTTTCCAGATAAATCTGTTCGAAATTTTGCTGTTACCATTTTAATCGTATTACCATGGAGGAGGGAAGCACCCTATAGATTTGTGTGTTGGGCACACTTCCACTTTTGTAGCATCACATTTTGTTACCATTGTAGTAGATTTGCTGCAAAAATATTCCGTACACTTGTGGGGCTAATGAGATGATCACTTTAATTGCATATAACTATGGAATAGATCTGATAGGTTGTATATGTCTCCCTGATAAGTGCTAAAGATTTGCATGTATCTGTTTTAGATAATGCTGATATTTCTGACCATGTTGGGCCAGCAAATAAAAATTTCCCAAATCAGTTTCTTGGATCCCCCTTTTGTTACACTTGGGAGAATTGTGTGTCAATATAGAAGTAAATCATTATTTTGTTTAGTTAAACCATATTGAAGACCTGAACTTATACTTTAATAGATACAGTGCAGTCATAAAACGGTGTAGGCCTATGCGAGCATGTTGATTGCAATTAAAGAAATGTTGTTCTTCGTAACAAGCAATTCGTGATGATAAGGGCGGATCCAGGGGGCCAAAAGGGGCCATGCCCCCCCCCCCAAAAAAAAAAAAAAACAAACTCCGAAACCATTTTTTTTTATGTGAAGGCAGGCAATGAGTACACCACCATCTTTTCTTCAAAAAACATCGGTTAAAATGGTCAGAAATTGCCTCAAATCGCACCACAGAGCATCTCGAATCCAAACATTTTTCGGGGCCCTTAAGCGGGCCCCGAAGCCCGAGCCGTAATTTTTGGACCCACTTTTTTTGGGGGGGACCAAAATTTCTTTGCCCCCCCCCCCAATTGTGTTCTGGATCCGCCCTTGCGTGATGATGTGTCACTCATGTGACTATAATTAGTTCTATATCAGTGGTCATTTCATAAAACAGGGCCTTGGCCTTGGCCTTGGCCTTGAGGGTTAAGCCTTGGCCTTGGAATCGAGGCTTGAAGGTCAAAGCCTTGGCCTTGGCCTTGGCCTTGAGGGTCAAAGCCTTGGCCTTGGCCTTGGCCTTGAGGGTCAAAGCCTTTGCTCCAACACTGCATCGGATATTTTATTTCATTTTAAACTTATTTCTTATTGAAACTTTGTAACATGTACTGCCGCCATCACTTAGGCCATGCTTATCAATATCTCAAAAAGCAAATTTTCAAAATTCACAGTCCTTTTTTGATGTAGGCAAGCAACTGACTGCATGTTGTACATCCTCTCTTCCCTCCCCACCCCCCTCCAGCTGCCCCACACTTTACCATGCGCCCAATCAGCCAGACAGCCCCTTACTTTACCACGACCCGGCTGTCCTGCAGCGCTGAGGGCAACCCCCCTCCCCAAATCCACTGGTACCTGAACGGCGAGCCAATCAAGACCCGGCTCATCAGTCAAGAGGTCGGCAGCGACAACTTGGTCATCTGGAATGTGGACCGAGAGCACGCGGGCATCTACCAGTGTGTGGCCTCCAACACGGCGGGAACCGTTCAAACGAGTGCACTCCTCACCGTCAAAGTTCCACGTAAGCTCTTTTAGTTTAACTTCGTGTCATTAAAAAGTTTGAGGGTCTTTCGTTTGCATCCTTTAAGAATAAGGTTTGGTCCAAATTTTGAGTCACGGCCGGCAGTGCTTGTGGCTTCAGCTGCTTGTGTAGGCTCCGTGCACAAGTACCCCCTCAACGGTAAGAAAGGGAGAGTTTGGGGAGACCACTTGGAGAGAGGCATTTGAATGGTTGGGGCCCAGCGAGTTTCGGCTGGGATTGTTGTTTTTGTAACGGTGAATTTTTGACTGTTTTCCTAGGTCAAAGTGACGTTGTTCGTGGGGGACACTAGTCCAAAGCCTTATACCAGTATGTGCATAACATGAACTCTTTATGCCAGCAGCATCAACAATGTCGCAAATGTCTTATTTGCTTTCCAAACAACTAGCTGCTACCTGCACCTTTAGTCAAAACAACCACGAACTATCAACACATGCCGTAATGCTTGTGCACATAATGTACTCCCAAATACCGGGTACATTGATGTGAACTTGTATTCATAATCATACGTGATCCTTCACTTAATCCCACACTAGCTGACAAATTGAACGAAGCCACCTCAGCAGTCAAAATCGAGAACTGTTTTTAACTTAGGAAATCTGTGCCTTCATAAAAGTCCCATTGACTGGATGTGTCTGTTTAAATAACTTGCTACTACTGATTGCCCCCTTTTGTGATGACAGTATTTGACTAGTCACAGTGCTTACTAGAAATATGCTCTGACTGTTGGTGACTAGCCTGTGTAGAAAGGCATAGCAGGGGAATGGTATTGAATTTTTGACTGTCTGTGACTGTTTAGACAACCCTATTGCCAATATTTTCTAAATTTGCTTTTAATGTGCTTTTAATGTGCTTTGTATGTGCTTTTAATACTTTCTCCCAGTCAATATTCCTGACCCACCCTATAACCTAACGACCTACACCATCGACAGCAGTCAGATCATGATCAAGTGGCAGGCAGATGAAGGAGTCTCGCTCTTCTCTTTACACTACTACATGGAGCCAGGTACTCTCCACATTCAACTCTGACCCCAAATCCTCTCAAATCCTCCACCGAGCAGACACCCTGTCCAGTGTTGTAGTCGAGACCTTTCTAAGACTTTCTAAGACCTTTGATTTTTGATCAAGTAGTGGAATTTTTAGAGACAAATCCAAAGTCGAGCCTGTAGACGAGTCTGGGCAATGTGATAACCGTACATTCACAAGGCCCCCTTCAATGGAGAAGCCATTGTGCATGCTGTTGTACAAAGCAACTGCCCCTCTGATGGATTATCTGAACAATAGCTAGCTTCCGCCATTGACGGGGGCCTTCGTGATAGAAATAAAAGCGTGCTTGGATTGGTGTATGGATTTGTATTATATGATGAAAGATATTTGAGTTGACATTCATCGTCAGGTTTAAAATAGTGATTTCAGAGTGAAAATCTAGTTTGACCCCCTGAGACCTTTTAGAAATTGTCCCAATTTATTGATGATTTTACACTTTTGAACCGAGTTTTGGAATTAATATGGCTTGTGTGCTTTAATTTCACTAACAAAAAAATGTAGCTCAAAATTATTTTCTTCTTCTGCTTTATCTATGGCATCAACGTATCAGCTGTGAAGACTCAAGTTTTGAAAGGGATTGGGGTCGGAATGAGGCTAAGATTAAAGGACCATTTCTGTGCAAAATTAAGTTATTTTCAGAATCAAAATACAGTTGTGTTTATACTTCTGTGCATGTGTGGTACTCAGTCATGATAGGTTTGAAAAAATAAATTTGGGTTATATCCTAGATATTTGTTTAATTTTTGTTTTTGTCTTGTAGATGGAGAGGAGACACAAATAGTAATGGCAGAAGAGCACTCAAAGACCTACACAGTGAAGGACCTGGTCCCGTACACCAACTACACGTTCTACATGCGAGCGTTCACTACAAAAGCCAGTGGCATCTCTGATAGGGTGCTGGGACAAACTGCTGAAGGAGGTAGGTGTTTTGTGAGGGAACGTGTAGTTCATGACAAGACGTACATGTAAACACTTGAAGTGGTTTGAAGGCATCTGAGGCAAAATGTCTGCTCGATTCACTGGGTTCAAAGGGGGCATTCTAATAATGATCAGGTTTCCTTATCAATTTTCAGTTTGTTAAAAAGGAAACAGAAAAAAACCCCGGGCACTTGCTTCTATTTTTAACATTAGTGCGGAGTGCTATTGTGACTGGACTTGTCATTGCTACAAATACCAACTGCAACTCTCCATAATTTTTCGAGCTGCCAGTGACTCTTGGTTTTCTTTTTCCGTTTTACAACCTGAAGTTCCATCGATAGCGCCTGAGTTTTCCCTGATCAGTAGCCATGCAAACACCGTGGTGGTCCAGTGGGAGCAGATCACCAGCATAGCCCTCAGCAAGGGCCACATCAGCAAGTATCGCATCTGTTACCAGGAGAGTGGGTTGCCGCGTGTCTACACGTGTCGGGAGGTAGGTGGACCGACAGACCAGTAAAGACTCTGTGCATGAACCGTAGAAGACACTTTGTGGACCACTTTCGATACCCCAGTGGGAGGGGCACATTGCCTGTGCGTACTGGTTCGTGAGCGCATGGCATGAAGTAGACACAACTGATTTTGTTTTGAATGTGCTCAAAGCTGTAGTGTCTTCGTGTGAGCTTGCAGGCATCATCGGCAATGCATTCGTAATGTCCCTGCCAGTGGTCACCCCCAACTCTCCCTTTGTAACCGTTGAGGGGGTACTTGTGCACGGAGTTGTGCGTGGACTTAGTGTGTATGCAGAAGCAGAACAATTTCCGTGTCATCGGCAGTCAAATTGACTCGCAATGCAGTGTACCAAAATGCCAAGCATTTTTGCAAAGTGGGGCCAATTCGGGCGATTCCCAATGCAGTGCGCCACCAAGAGTTGGCCATGGAGAGTTTATTTTTCCCAGTGCATTGTGGGAGATGGTCCATAAATTTGCTAGCGCGGGACATTTGAAAATGTTCGTTTTTTCCAGTCAGTAGTTTTGTACGTGTATGATTCGAGTATCCGTTTGCCCTTTTGTTTTCTTTTTATCAATATGGTGTTTTTTTTGTAAGGCGGCAAAATGCTATGCCCCAATCTATAACAAATTAGCTCAAGTTGTCTACTGACACTCATTCAAATGAGCCGTGTTTTGTCGACCGTAAAGTTGAAAAATGGACTCTCTATGGCAAACTCTTGGTGGCGCACTGCATTGGGAATCACCCAAATTTCCAACATGCTGCATATATTTTCCTGCCTTTGTTAACGTGCAGTACCATAAATACATTTGGAAGCCCTATTTAAATTCATCAAGATCGCTCTACACGCTTTTCCTCTACCAACACAAACAAAAAGTAATCAATTAATACATAGAAACTGATCTTGGGGAAAAAATGGGCTGCTTCCTTCAGTATTTCAAAAAGCCCAGACGAGAAACTATTTTTTATTTGTACTCAGCCTTAGACCATAATAATTGCACTGTTACTGTCTATGTAGGTGGGGAGTTCAGAAAGCAACTTCACCATTCGAGGCTTGAAACCGTCGACTGTCTACGACATCCACATGGCGGCGTCTACCAGTAAGGGATTCGGGCCGGAGTCAGACGTACAGTCCATCAGAACCACAGACAATGGAAATTGCTCAGGTAGAACTTTTTTTTTTTATTGAACTGTCAGAGCTCTGCTGAAAAAGGAAAGATAACAGAAACTGTCGTCAAAGAGTTAACGCTTTAATGACCGAACCTTTCTCTAAAGTTGTGATCGCATCAATCAAACGTCAGTCGCAAATCAGTCAATTCGCAGGTCAAAGACAAGGTTTAAAGGTACCAAGAAGCAAAGGATGAATAGCGTCTAAGGGATTCCTTTATCTCAATTCACTTCAGTAGATAGATTTGAGATGGTGGGACTTGTGATCGCCTTGTAATAAATTGTTACAAGTTTTAGCTGGGCCGTGATGACTTGTGAGACTTTCGATGGCTCGATTTCAACCCTGTTTTTCTCGATGTCTCGATCATCGTCTCAGATTCTTTGTATCAAGCCACAATTAAAATACATGCAACGGAGTGTGTACTCGGAACACTGCCTCCAAAGTTTCTTGAATTCCTCAGGGACATTGATTTACAGTTGTATATTAATGCAACGTGACAACGTTGTGCCATTTGATGACTGGAAGTGAATCATTTTGTTTTGACCTGCCCCACTTCTCTCTTTTCTTCTTCTTTTTGTAAAATTTTCTTGAGAATTAGTCAAACTCTAAATGACTGTAAATTGTAATCTTCCGTTCCTTACTAATTTGCAGTTCCAGTCATGTTTCCGCTGGTGGCCACCGTTACCTTAAACGAGACCGGCATTGCGTTGTCCTGGGCGGCCCAGAGCGAGGCTAGCGAGGTCCCCGTGCTGGGGTTCCAGCTGACTTTCTCCAGGGCAACTCACGACGAGATCCTCAGCCTCCTTGCCGAGTCCCGGGGCTATGTCTTCTCCGACTTGGGTAGGTTCCTCCGTTAATTTGTTGGACCTGAAAGGCCAGCCTTTTTGCCTCTTGATTGACCAACTGACAGACTGACAGATTGACTGACTGATAGATTGACTGACTCGACCAAGTATAATTTATAGGCAGAAATACTTAGACCTTCCGGTCAAACTACAAGTTATATTTAGGAATGATTTTGGACTCAAGGGGGGGGGGGAACCTTTTACTACAACTTTTCAATCAGCTTACTTGCTAACTGCTTTATCACTCTTTGTTTTTATGACTCCATCCACAGTTCCGGGTGAGCAATACATCATGGAGTTGATACCTTACAACGAGTGCGGCACGGGACCTGCCTCCACAGCGATAGTTGCCATGCCAACCATCACTGGTGAGTCGGTAAACACCATTAATCTCCCATCTGTGACTCATTCAATCTATTCCCCCTCCCCCTCCCCTCCCGCCCCCCAACAGGCCTCTGCTTAACTGTTTTTGCTCAGTGAGCAGATATTTCGCCTCTAAATGATACCCCTCAGTGGCCAATTTCTGGAGCTACTTAGCACGAAAATTTGGTAAGCACAGAAACTATTTGCTTAGTGATATCAGGTTACCAACCAAAAAAGGCACAGGTTTAATATGTTTGTAACTGGTCCCCAGCTGATTTTTGCTAAGTCCCCAAAATTTGCTAAGCGATATAATGGGATAAAGCACCAGCACATGAATGGTAATCTGGATTCATACTTAATTTTTTTTTTCACTTCAAGGATCGACGTATCCACCCCCGGAAAATGTAAGAGCCACTTCCCTGTCCTCCACGAGTATCCAGCTAAACTGGGAGCCTGTCCAGGGCGTTTCCCGGGCCTACTACAAGGTGGTGTACTTCCAGAACTCCGACAGACGGAAAGACGGTTCCAAGGATGTTTACAGGTTGGCTATCGCTGCTACTCTCAGCTTTGAGAATTCAGAAAGTGCTAGGGGAAAGAAATTCAAACAGAGAAGGGAATGTTGAAGGTTTGAAAGGGTCCATGCAATGAATTTTTCTTAGGAACATATTCTGTGTAACTTTCTCCTCATCTTAAATGTATGAACACTATTTGACATCCCTTTTTGGTTAATTTTTATTTATTTGAAAAGTGCACTTCTTTAAACATTCAAAAAGATTCCATGCTTTTCCGGACAACTGAGGGCGCTGTTGCTGTGATGTCATTTCAGGAAGGCACTCTTCAGTTTAGGGGTTTTTGTGTTCAAATTGTGAACCCAAAAATGGGCTTATTGAAAAACATCTCTGAGAAAAGTTTGCTCACTGGCTTACTGCCATGTACTGACACAATGACGAATCGCCAAAGAAAAGAAAATTTAAAAACAGCAAAATTTCCAAAAAAATCGGGCAACTTGTGGTGCTGAAAGAGCTGTAAAATGGAGGTTTCTGCCTGAAATGACATCACACTTTTGATCATGAATATGGAAATTTGCATTAGCATAAATACTAAAATGGCACCAAAGCTTTCTTGAAAATGGCAAAACGAAAATTGAAAACAAGGTAAAAGGGAACACAAAAGAGCATTTTCAAGGATTGCATTTCAAAAGTGACATCGTATGGCCCTGCTAAGTTTTGATTTTTAAAGTCTTGCATTCATTGTTGTTTCACATCTGATGTCCTTCTGCCTTTTATCCAATGCTTCAGTACTAATACATATGTTGTATTGGACGACTTGAAACCCTTCACCATCTACGCGTTGCAAGTGCGCATCCACCAGACAGGGATCGTAAGTCAATTCAGTGACTTGGTCTACTGCAGAACCCAAGAAGATGGTAAGAATACTTTGGCAACACTTGACCTTAAAGGCATAGTCCATCTTTTGTAATTTGTGCATTTTGTTCATTTGAAGCAACAAAAGTGTTCAAAATCTAATGAAGGATACTGAACAACTAACCTGATGAAGTTTCAGCTCAGCTTCAGCTGTATATTCCGAGAAAAACAGCATTCTAGGATCTTAAGTTCAAATCAAAAGTTTGCTAAATCATGTTTTGCATTATTTTGAATTGCAGTTTTACGCGATGTCGCGCACTGATCCGACGAATCATAGCAACCGCGCGCGCCTGTGCGTCGTGCCAATGCTTGCACGCGCTGCGCCGAATAACAAAACGAACTACTAATTTAAATTTTCCTACGGTGCTTCTTAAGACGCACCGTTGGAAAGGCCTTCTTTCGTTGATTTCTTCAAAATGAGAGCTTGCCAGAAAGAATAATTTCACAGGGAGTTTAGTCCCCTTACTATCTTTCAACCAAGTATGTTTTTCAACAATAATTACGCCAGTTACTTTTTTGGATAGCTGCAAATGATGGACTCCGGCTTTAAATCCATCTTCTTTCTCCATGTGCTCCCCCAAAAAAGCCCATTTCAATCTTGAATGTGTATTTCTGCATGCAAAAGTTATTAATTCTAATGCTTGTAGATCCTTAAAAAAAATCTTGAACAAATGCAACATCTACAAAAGGATGTCAGCTCCCCCCCCCCCCCCCCCCCCCCCCCCGGTAATGCACACCAGGAATATTTATACTACAAATTCCTATCCAAGCTTTTATTTCTGTCCTGCGGCATCTTACAGTCCCCTCGGCGCCAGTGGATTTCATTGCCAAGCCCTTGGACCCCCACACAGTCAGCATGGAGTGGCGTCCCCCACTGAACCCCAACGGTGTGATCCAGGCCTACAACATCATGTATTTACCCTACACCCAGCAGGCCGACGGGCAAGAGGATCTGCACTGGAATAGGACACGCAAGAAAGGTAACGTGCCCCCCCCCCCCCCCCCCCGCCCGATTTCTCCACATCACTTTAGGTGCAAAGTTGCAAGCGTACCCAACTTTAATAAGGGAATAAATATGTGCTTGGCCGATTTTAAACAAATACATTTAAAATTGGGTCTGGATGATGTTAATGTTCGGCTCGGGCCGTTATCAGCGACCAGGTCCCAAGCCACTTAAACGTACTTGGTTAAAACCGGCCAAGTGCATATTTCTTCCCATTCATAAATACATTTCTGTCAAAAAGTCAAAAACAAGTCAAAAATTATAGAGTCTTTCGTAGCGTTTGTTGATTATGTTGTATTTATTTTTAACAATTCAATGATATTTTTGGGAATATTAATAAACTCTTCTTTCTTTTTGCAACGTTGACCTTTCATAGTTTTGCCAACGCATGGTCGGCAAAAAGTGCCCACCGACGAAAAGTCTATCGAAAACCTGCTACACCGTTTGGTAACCTTTTCCCCCTATTCCTCATCAGGTACCGTGACCTCATCAACCATCAGGAACCTGACTAGTGACACCAGGTATTACTTCTTCCTGCGTGCCTGCACGTCCGTCGGGGAAGGCAAACCGTCCACTGTGTTGGAGGTCAAGACTCCTCGGGAAACCAACTTGGACGTCAACACAGGTCAGTGGATTTTTATTTCATTCATCTGACTGTGGTGTTTCTGCGAGAATTTTGGTTAAATGTTTTCACTCGTGAGGGAATAAATATGTGCTGGGCGGGTTCGACTCGGGCCATTATCTACGTTTAAAACCAGGCCCCTAGCCGGTCTTAAATGTACTTGTTTAATACCTGCTAAGCACATATTCACATTGCCAGGATGGGTTTGGTTCCTAGTAAATCATGCTAGGGAGCTAGGGTTAATAGGCTTTTTTTTTTAATTTGTGCTTCAGGAACCAGTAACAATCCCGACGAACCCAGCGCCACCGAGAAGGGATTGTTCATTGGGATCCTCCTCGGTACCCTGTGCATTGTTTTCTGCACGGTGTTGGCTGGTATCCGATACAAGTAAGTCTTCTCTTAGACAGTGGGCTTTCTACCCATCGCTAGGGCTGTGCGTCGGAACTGGGTACCCGAGTACCCGACCGTTAATGTCAGGAACCGGTTCCAGATTATGGGATCGGGTACCCGTAACCAACTTTACAAATCACTTAGTTACTTCTCAGACAATGAAAGAGAAAGGTTTTGAAGTCATTTATGGGGAATTTTCAAAATGAAAACCAGGCCACATGGGAAAACAAAACATACTTCACATTTATGACGCTCGCGAAAGCTGTACTTTACACTGTAAAGCTATAAAGCTCACCGCACACACTTGTATCTTGCTGTATTGATGCATCGATGCGGTAGTATTATCGTGCGGACCTTTGTAAACAACCTCAACAGCAACTTCCAAGATTTGATTTTTTGCATGTTTGGTGTTTGGTGTTTCGCAATGCAGTCATTAACTAGTTTTTCTTTTAAAAGTTGCAGCAATGTCAGTACTTATAAATTTTGATCGATTAAAATGAATGTACAACATTTGCTTTTGCTGCAATTTTAAGCAATAAATGGATTTGGAAGATTAGTATGTTATAGAAAATATTGTTAAACTGACTTGTTTCACGTGTTGGGCTTGTAGATGCTGGAAAAACCAAGAAAACCTATCATGTTCTTGTAGTCTGGCTCCCTGACCCCACTTAAGATGAAACGGAGCAATTAATACACTTTGGGGATTTGTAAGGTCAGAGAATCAGTCTAGCAGGATTGTACCCCTTCACAGGTGTGTAATCAATTGCAAAGAAATGTCAGAATAACTTAATATGAAAAATCAGGAAATGTTACTGAAAATAGCCAGTTTTCTCCAACGCTGGTCGGCCGACCAGCGCTGGAAAAATACACTTTTTCTTGAAAATGTCAGCACACCAGGAGCCACAATTTTAAAGGATGCTTTAGACCATCAGTCCCTAACAATTCAGTAAGGTATTTCGTGATAATTTGATCATTTCGGTTTTTGATGTTTGCAAATGATGTGTCTTCCCTTTAAACTCCAGTTCCTTTATGCAGTTATAACCAAAACAAAAAGAACACATTCAAGCCTATTTTCAGGATATGGGTTACCGTCATGCACAATATGTCCTTTCAAAACTAATTTTTATATCTTTTCCAATAAATTAGGAGGTACCACAACACTCATAAGAAGAAGATGGCGGCCAGAATGTCGGGCCATAGCGGGCACAACGGCCGGCGAGTGCCTGTGTCACGTCTGTCGCGAAGCAATAGTGTGGAGATGGCAATGACGTCATTTAGTCCCATGCTGCCTGGGGAAGTACCCACCAGACAACCTAATGGCCAGGTAAAAACTATCAGCAGAATCCTACGGTTCCCCCAGTCACGGAAAAATCCTGGAAAATCCAGGAATTTTAAAGCTATCATTAAAACTTTATAAACCCAACCCATATTTTAAAGTTTATAAATTTTATTTGCCTTTCCGAGTGAAAGTTGGGAATGTGACGATGATGCATGTCTTCCGAGTGAAAGTTGGGAATGTGACGATGATGCATGTTGTTTGTGACGTGTTCTCAGCAGAATCTTTGCGCTGAACACAAAATTTGGTGTTGTAATATTTTCAACTGAGCAGTTTTGTGGAATTGATGCCACTTTATTCCATGCTAGTCAAATTTAAGAGAGCCAGATGATCTCATAATGTTTATTTTGCTGTCGTCGTTTAGGTCCATTGTGAGTCACCGCTGCTCAGTCTTCGCCAGCCCCGTGAGTTTCCGGCCCCAGAAACACTCAGCGCCGATGAGCATGGTGAGCTGCCTCAGGTGAACAAACAACAGCAGCAGCAACAACAGAACAGACATACTCTGCCTAGCACATCCGACAGCGGAGTGGAACTCCCACCGATGAGGCACGGCCTGCCGGCGTGCAGCACCTCGCTGACCGAGTCCGCATCGGAGGACGGCACCGGCTCCTCGTGCCGCTGGACACCGTTGAGGGAGAGTACCAGCGGTGACAGCGGTCTGATCGGAGACGTGGAGTTCTCGGCGGAGACCAGCCCCGATTTCATCGAGAAAGTCCTCCGGGAGTACAACATAGGTGTTCAACAAGTTTGAGATCGCTGACGGATTTTTTTTGGTGAAAAAAACCTCAGCTAAGTTTGACCTCAGCTAAGTACACTCAGATGAATGTTAACCTCAGGGTTGTTCTATTCAAGATACCTCTGTAAAAAAAAAATGAAACATTGGAATATTTTCAATGTTAGACGAGTCCAGGAGGGTATTTGTGCCATAAAAGACTAAACAGAGTACAAAACAAAAACAATTACACCCTGATCTCTGGGAGAAAAAAAATACATTGTATGCATTCACTAATGTAGTTCGACCACGTATTTGTTATAGGGGTAACAGGAGTTTGCCCCAAAATTCATTAACCGGCATAATTCCTGGATATTTCACTGCTGTTTTCTAGTTCGGAGGTAATACCGGTATCTAGATCAATGTCATCAGGACCTTTGTGTTTTATAGCCAGCAGGACTTTTTCATTGAATGCAGTGGACGGCATTGCTAGACCCGACCGACAAGATTTGGGGAATCTTTTTTTTTAATTTTTATCAACCTCCATCTCAGGGAGCAATGCACTTTTGGAGTTGGGAATGTAGATTGTGACATGAAGGATGAGTTTGTGTTTGCAATGACCCTGATCAATTGTAATCATATGGACCTTTTTTGGGGGGGGAGGGGGGGGGAATAGAGGGGTACTTTTAATAGTGGTGCAAATTGAGACTACCTCACTCTCCCATACTGGACCAGGCCATTTATTTAACAGGCAGTTTTGGTAGCTTACATTTCCATTTACTTTGTAGTCAAACCGTGAAAGCTCATTCATATGCGGTATTGGTTGACAGTGATTGGGGTCATTGCCATGGTGACCAGGGTCAGAGAGGGGTCACTACTGCAGCGATCAGGGTCATCTTCATAGCAATCAAAATCATCGCTGTAGTGATCAAGGTCATCGGTGCGTAGTTCAGTGCCGTTGCTGCGGCGAACAAGGTCATCGCTACGGTGATCAAGGTCATTGCTGCAGTGATCAAGGTCATTACCACAGCAATATAGGTCATATTTCTGTGACCAAAGGTCATCACCACAGTGATCAAGGTCATCTTCAAACTGATCAAGGTCATCACTGATTCGATCGTAGTTTGTTCTGTCAGTGTCAAACGTCGTCGCTTCACCAAGGTCACTCTTTAGAACCAACCATCAGAGGTCGGTCTGTATGCTGACCTGATATCACCGTCAACAACAGAAATAGATAGTCGAAAGAAACATTTTGAAAGTATTGTGACCTCACTAGAGTGCGTATGATCCTGTTAAGTCCCAACTATGGCATCGGTTTAAACTGCACTTGGGATGGTCACAACGATAGTTGGGACCGTCTCAACTGCAGTGGAGAAAAGCTCAACCTATAGTTCGGGTGTAGTAATACTAACCACACACAACTGTCCTGAATCTTTTTTTGGGGGGGGGGGAGGGAAGGGGGAGTGTTTCAAACCGCCCAAATTCAAACAGCCCTAGTGAATTCGGGCGATTCACAATTCAGTGCACCACCAAGAGTTTGCCACAGAGAGTTCATTTTTCCCAGTGCATTGTGGGAGATGGTCAACAAATTCGCAGCGCGGGACATTTAAAATTGTTTGTTTTTTCTGGTCAGTAGTTTCGTAAGCGTATGATTCGAATATATGTTCGCCCTTTTTTTCCCTTTTAATCAATATGGTGGGTTTTTTTATGAGCCGGCAGAATGCTATGCCCCAATCTATAACAAAATTAGCTCAAGTTGTCTACTGACTTTCATTCAAATGGACCGCGTTTTGTCGACCGTAAACTTGAAAAATGGACACTCCGTGGCAAACTCTTGGTGGCGCACTGCATTGTGAATCGCCCAAATTGGACTGATTTTGACGGGGTAGGTATACACATTCAAAGTGAGGTCTGATCCACGCCCCATTCTTGAGACGGGTCCAGCATTGTCTTCACAGTCAGGGATTGTACATATTACGTATGCATTATATATCTTAAATACCGTCACACACAGTATATATATTTGTAGTTTATCAAACACCTGGACCTCATGGGTTTGTCTCGTGACAAGAGAAACCTGTACCAGATCAGGTCTGTCCAGTGCTGCGGAGCCACCAAGCAGGGCTCTATAACATCCAAGCCACTGTTCCTAATGGACACTGTGCCTGAACAAACGAGGGCGGTATGTTACCTAACAAAATGACAAGGACACTTGGCTGGTTCACCTCCACTGTTCACCATTTACGTAAGGCGCGTGTGTACCAGCGTACAAGAGGCAAGATGGCCCAGTGGTCCTTTTGTAGGCTTGCCCTGTCTCTTTTTCACCATAGAGGGGGTACTTGCGAGCGGACTCCTTTAGGCAGCAGGTCCGAGTGCGTATACAGTCTTGCACCTGAATACTGTATTGTAAACTGAAATCTTGTACACACCTCGTTATTGTAAATACCATGATATGCAGTCTTAAAAGGCTGCAAGTAGGTATATATTTTAAGATGTGCTCAATGTGTGGAGTGATGGGAGTAATCGAGGGAGACGGTGGGAGGATCTAAGGTTGAGGGAGAAAGGAATTTCAAGGAAGTAATTTCAAGATTTTCAGTCACAAAGTTTATTCCCCACCTCAGCATTTTATATAAACTGGAATCAAACGAGTAAACCTCATGATTTTCGTTCGTCACAAAAAAAGATAAATCTGCTTGATTGGTATTCTGAAAATTTCCCATCAAAGAAAATGAGAAATATGTCTTAGGACTTTGTAAATATAAACAGAAGTATTTCTTAAGACATAAATATTCATATGTAAACACAACAGTGCCTTGTCGGGGGAAATCTCAATCATGTAGAATAAAAGTAGCACTAACGCAAGACAAAATTTCCCTCCATTTTTGAGTTTTGAATATGAAAAGAAAAAAACAAACAAACAAAATCTTCATAGAAGAACAGAGTCATTATGCCTCAAAATGATTTTTCGGAACAAGACTTCAGAAATGTTTCTGAATTTATTTAATTTTTTATTGTAATTTTAATTGTGTTGTCAAAAATAATTTTTTTATATCTCCAAAAAAAAAATGAAAATTAGCAAAAACATACCACCTCTCAGAAATGCATTCGGGACAAGATGAAAAATTCTTATATTTTCATCTTAAAATGAAGAACAGAAACAAAAGAGTAGAACATGTAGGCCTTGTTATTCTGTAACTCAGATTCATAGTTGTTCGTAAAACAAAAGATCAATTTGGAATAATTTAATGTATGTATGTATATCTATATAATATATGATATCAGGTATATTTGAATTCAGTTTAATGTCACTGATGCTGTTAACATTTTTTTTGTGTGTTCACAGTATGTTGATAATAATTATATATTTCCCCCGATGAACATTAAAAAGAAAAAAAAAAAAAATTGTCATGGAGAAAAAAATATATAGTAATTCAGTCTTTTAGAGAGATGAATGTTAATGATGATGAAATAAGGGGGAAAATATATTTCTTTGCCTTTTTTTGGAGGAAACGTTCTGTTAAAACAAGATTTACTTTTCCCCAACATGGCTTCTTTTTTTGGCTGTGTTCACAAAAGTATTTTTCCATATACTGCCCCAAACTGTCCAAGCACTCGTTTAAGTATTCGTCAGGGAGGACATACCATGTAAGAGGTCTATTAGTCTTTGGTGCTGTGTGTTTTCGTGACCGAATCTGTACCAGAATTTAGTAGAATTGATTCCAAACTAATTCAGAGAATCATGATAAATCGTCATGTTTAATGTTGGAAGGTTTGCCCTCCTTTTTTCCCCCACTGTTTTTTTTTTTCCTGAAGAAATTTGGAGTTGATTCGACAGAGAAATCTTAGACAGAAATCTTAGACTCCTAGACAGAATTAGAATCATGTCCAACAACCCTTTCAATTCTGTACTGAAGGGCAAAATTTGAATTTGTCAACTTCCCATGAAAAGATTTTGAACAGAACTATGGATGGGGCAAGTTCTCACAGAGAAAAAAAGTTGTAAATATAAAACTGATTGTGTAATTATTTTCCTGTTTTCATTTACCTGCTGAGCTTTTAAGCCTTTTATGAAGTAAAAAGAAGAAAATTGGTTTTAAAATCGCTGAATAGAAAAAAAAACTTCAATTGCTGCATTATTAAGATTGCTGCAGAAAGCTTTGGTTTTGCGAGCCAAGCATTTCGTTCTGAAACTGAAATTTTTTTAAAAACTTTTTTGTTATGTTTTTTTAAGCGTTAATTGAAATGTCATTAAAAACACAAATGGCACAGGAAATCTTATATACTAATCAAGATTTTTAGGTAAAACTGTCAGCTCGCCACCACAAAAGTTCCTAAAGGAGACTTTTTGTTGCGGGGGTTTAATATATTGTGTTAGCTCATTATAGTTGACCAGATTTTGGGTGTTTTGGTTTTTTTTTTTAACCAATCAGATCATTGGCATTTAATACATGGTCATGTTGAAATTGAACATTTCTTGCAAAGTAACAAAAAGAAAGGGGAAAAAAGAGAAAATGATCAATTATAAATAAGAGAGACTTTGAAATGTATTATAGAATAATTGTTGACACGTCTTCCCAGATTTTTCTTAAAATTTTGTTTATTTTAATTGTTTTCATTTGTATAATTTTTGATGATATACTTCATTCAGAATAATGATTTATTATTAATTATTATTCAGATCCCCATGTATGCTAAGGTTTAACCTTAACTGAACAAAAATATTTTTCATTGCCATGTCTACTTCTAACGCAGAAGTAAAAACAATTTTTAAACTTTCGTTGTTTATTTTGATTTCTGCTATTAATTGAATACTGATTCTTTAAAACCATATTTTTCTTGCATAATTATTTCATAATGTCTGCTGCATTATTTTTTTGCTGCATCATCATTTGTAGCTGCTTTTGACAATGAAGGATCTCCTTATACCCGATTTCAGTGAATAATTCATGCAATCAGATATTTATATATTCCACAGTATTGATATGTAATGTTATCCCGGCATTGTCAAGTTTAGTATCCGGTTTTGAACTCAAACAATGCGTCCAAACAAAACAAACTAACGTCCCCAAACTTTGCCAAGAGACTGCAAACTTGAGGTTTTTTACAATTTTTTTTTCAATATTGAATCAGTTTATAACAACAGACGGAGAGTCGACTTGAAAGTTTTTTTACTGTATATAAACAACAAACTTCATCATGGTATAATGTATTTTATAAGAACACCATACTTTAATCGTCTTCAATCATACACTCGGAGCACTGTAACTCCCAATTTTATCCCAGCATTTTGATTGGCTGGAATATTGGTTTATTTTTTAAAGTTTTGATTTTGGTTGCTTATAGTTTCGGATTCTGAATCACTCGTGATTAGTTTTTAAGAAGGTTAATTGAAGTGGTTTCAAATGGAACATTTGAAACACATTGTCGTCATGTTTCATGCTCAGTTAGGAAGCAACATTACCTCGGTATTCAATTTAGCTCGTCCAGGACATCAATAATACATACTTTTCAATTATACATGTATAGGTAGTTCAAGGTCATATTGGGATTTTTGTTTTCGTTACGTAATTTTTTGTTTGGTTAATTTTTTGTTTTAGGGGTTCTTAAAAAAAAATGACATCTACCTCTTAACCGTATTAATCTGTGCATGTCTTTGTCGTCCTACGAACATGAAACGACTCGTAATGAGAATTTTTCGTCGGCATTAATTAGTCAGTGTCATGGATCCATACAGTAAGCCTATGGATGGGTAGTCGGGGTTCTACACCGCAGAGTCAACTGAAGTTGAAGTGATTTAATGGAAGTATGGAGTGCCAATTCTTACTGTGTGTGATGGGATCAAATTTTCACGGAGCTTCTTGAACACAAATTCCCTGAGCAGAGACAGGTTACCAGGCAAGATATCATGGGATTCATATTGGTCGTGACTGGTTACCAGCTACTTTTATTTCCTGAGAATATATGAGGCGTTCTGGCAAAATTAGACAAAACTGAGCAGAGGTCGAAATGAGGGTTTGCAGGTATTAGGAAAAAGAACAAAATTCTCCGTACAGTACCGTTTGTTGCACTTCGATCGGACATTCATGGACAAGTCATGGTTGTTGAAAGTTTACATTTATCGACACGTCACAAAAGTAAAATACTGAGAAAAAGGCCTTCAAAGGTTTTCAAGTTTTGTAGTTGTGAAAATGAAAGATGCAAGTTGTTTTTCCTTAAAAACACTTTTATTTCACTTTTTAAAAAAAATACTATTTCTTGAAAACACATGCAGTAGACATATCAAAGATTACAAATATCAATAAACCTGAACATCTAAAAGAATCATCCCCATTTGCCAGAGCGCCTCACACTCATTTAATGTTCAGAAGCTCCTTGAAATTTGGCTCATTTGAAATGATCCGATTGATAGTGCCGATAAAGAAAAGTAAAAATAAAACGGGTTATTCTGGAATCTGCAGAATGGATTTATCCAGATGGTGTTATAATAAAATAAAAAAATGATAATATTGCAGATAATAATAAAATGGATGTATTTTTTATTAAAGCAGAAGAGTAAATGAACAAATTATTTGTTACAGTGTAAATAGAATATTAATGACGAGTGACTTTAAAGTGAAACAAATGTATGTGCTTCACAATATTATCATGTATTAGGATACACGTTTTGAGGTTATCGGTATATCTTCTGTGCATGGTTCAGTTTTTGTTTTATATTCTCTCTCTTTGGTTTTTTTTTTTTTTAACGTTATCCTAAGTATTCAGCTGTTATGTTTTATGTAAGTATTTTTCTTTACAATTTTGTATTGTTATATTTCTGCATGAGCCATTTTTACATGATGGTGGATGCATTCAGGTTTTTTCAAGGGATTGACTGGCCGTGGAAGTCGGTCATTGGGCGTGGCGTCATCGTGCGAAGAGTTTAAAAAGCAAGGGCTGGAGGTTGGGCTTTTGAACACTTTTAGACGCATTTTGTAAAAATGCTGTGGCTAACAAGTAATTTTTGGCTTAGTGTCACCCAACCTTAAATTTCAACAACCCCCTTAACCCTTACTCTCTGAGGGTAGTTTACTGCATGTCAGTTGGTTATGCCAATGCCCTCCAGCTACAGTATATTGGCAGATAAACTATCTTGACAGTGAAGGCTCCAATTGGCAGGAGTTGGAGGCCCTGGAGGGTGCCTGATACTGACCAGCTGGGGGCACTCACTTTGTAATCAGAGGACTCTCATTGTTCTCTGTGGCATGTATTGGAGTGCCTGTCCAGTTACCCTTGAAATGACATGGCAGATATTGGAGGGCCATGCAAAAAACATAGGAGATTTTCTTGAGGCACATATTGGCATGCGTTGGAGGGTCAAGTAGGGTAAGGGTTAATATCTACCGTGAAATCTTGATAAGTCAAACCTCAAGGGAGCAGGTTCAAAATTTGACTTTTAGACTTTTGAGTTAAGCAGGGTTCGTATATCATTGTTATACTACTGAAGGCAATGGATTCTTTGTTTGACTTAACAGTCGTGTTACCAGACTTTGACTTGTCAAGATTTCACTGTAATAGCTTTTGTTAAGGTCTCACAGATAGATAGCCAGAGGAGTCATTTTAAATTGCAAACAAATAATCATGCTTGATATATATATATATTGTTTCAACACCCAACCTCCAAGATTTGAGTTTGTAGAATTTTTCTGAAAAGGAAGGCAAAGAAAAGAAAAAACAAGAACACACTGTTGTTTGGAGTCAAAAATGTATTCGGTTATTCAAAGTCATCCCCTTTTGTTTTAGTCGACATGAAATTAACAAATAACTTGACAAAAACATTTTATGCCAACCAAAACATTTAGTAAGAAATGCCATCAAGAGAACCTTAAGATGAATCCAATTTTGTGTGGGAAATAACCCACGAATTTGGCGCAACAAATCCAAACTTTTGTCAGTGTTTAAAAACCAAAGTGGATTTTTTTAAATCTTCAAATTCAAACAATTTTCACCTAAAAAAATGGAAGAGCAAATTACGTTCATTGTGTTCTTTTTTTTTTTTTTTATGTTTTGTCTCATATGAATTGTGTTCAAAGGGGAAAAAAATGAAAATATAGCTTTGTGCTTGGTGCAAAACGTGAGGTGTGTTGAAGCTTGTATTCGACTGAAGAAGATACAAATGAAAAGTGGCCTTTTTAAAATTGTCAATTAAATTTAGTATTTTTTTTCTTACTTTAAGAGATATATGTATAGTTATAATCCTTTAATGTTATAATGTTTTTGCTTGAATACCTCTCTTAATCAACTAAAAAAAAAAAGAAGGGAAAACGTGTTTATATATTTACTCACAGAACTGTTTTGGAATGGTTATCAATAAATCTATATTTCAACAAATACTTAGGTGTGAAATGGATTCTTATGTACAATGTAACTACTTTGGGCTTATGCTGTGGGGTGGCACAAAGCAACTGACGAATAATAGGTATCACATTGTTTTTGAAATTGAAGGGGCCCTCATGATAGAATTCGAAGCGAAAGCATTTTGCTAGCTTTGTGCAATAGCATGCAGAATGGTTTTGGCATTGGGCTGGGGTGGATCCAGGATTTGTTTGTGGGGGGGGGGGGGAGGGGGGGGGAGTCAGGCCCGTGAGATTTTTTTTTAATGTCCCAGTGGTGTAAATGGGGGCGCTGTTCAAAATCGGACACTATCAAAAAAGCCCCCTTAACCCCATGCTGGCTACGCCTCTGTGTCATAATTTTTTTTTGGGGGGGGGGGGGGGGGGTGTCGTAGCAGGTTTTTTTTACCCCCCCCCCCCCGGATCTGCACCTGGGGCCCTTGTGAGTGTACAGTGCCACAAGTCCTTATTGAACCCCTAACCCTTCCTCCCCCCCCCTCGCCCCGAAAAAAAGGATAATAAAGAAATTAAAAACCGAAACAAAAAATAAATAAAATAAAATCATAGGGATTTTTTAGCCGCCTTTTTTTACATTTTTGGGTTTCTATTGTTTTGCTTGATTACTGCCATCTCAACCCTAACCCAAACAATAAATAATTTACACAAAAAGTACATTAAATTTGAGGATGAATCATTGTTCAATATTTAAAGTAGATTCCCCCCCCCCCCACTTCCCTAAAGGGGAGGCGGGGCAGTAATACTTGCGAGCATGTGACTATAGAGGGCGCACTGTTGCCTGGATCCTATCAACACATTTTTGTGTGAAAAATGAAGTCGCCGGAATAGCATGCAGTAGTTGGACTTTAAAATTTAACAGCAGTTGTGCACCATTTATCTGATTTTTACCTCTACAAATCAAATACATAAGTGAGTATAATATGCAGCATACGTAGTTGTCACAAAAGCAACGTTTGGTTGAGAAATTATGTAAATATTGCAGTCGCTACATAATTTCCGTATTAAAATTTAAGCTTTTCGAAACTAACACGAAAAGAACGAAGGAAAGATTCCCATATCTGGCCATCAGTATTTTTTCCCTTAAATGACCTATCAGCCATCAGGAAGTGATATTATGTCCTGAAAAATCAAACTTTGCAGGGACAAGTTTTGAATTTTTACTGAGAAATTACTTTGAAATTTTCAGACCAGTCCCATAGGCATAGGGTTTGTGCACAGGGTGACAAGTGATGGCCAGATATGGGAATCTTTCCAGACCTTTTGATTGAATTACACTGGTACAAATTGGCCTAACCTATCCCATTCTACTTTTCCCCCCAGGTTTTATGGCAGAGGGTGACGTCGTGGCTTGATCTCACTGCATTGCAACATTGAAAACAGCATTCACCATGGCAGATACTGATTCCACCACGCTGGTAATGAGCATTCTCTGTACACATTGAATATGAAAAAGAACAAGAAAAACTTTAAGAATTGTAGCACAGCGTTTGTTAGCCCCATAACATGTGTCTCAAATACTGGACTTCCCCCATACTGTGAGCCATACAGCGATGCATGCTAAATTTCTCGAAAAGTTGATTTCCCTGAATTTAAAATCTAGTTTGTATTAACTATGGAAGCTACTTACCTTGTTAAAAAGCAGGAAAAATCAAAGTCCTACCTCTAGTTAACCTGTGAAAACCCTGCAGGCATTTCTGACAAACTTTCTCCAAATTTACTTTTAATTTTATGTTTTTTACTAGATTAATAAACGTCTATAGGTAGGGAATTTCGAATCAATTTTTCTGCTATAGTTAGGTGTAATAGGCACATGGTGTAATAGGCACAGGTGGCCTAATAAAAAGGTTAAAAAGTTACACGATATTATTTGATCTGTCGTTCCGACCTGTTTGTCTGTGCCCCAGGCCGCCATCAACTACTACTGCCAGGAGAAACTCTATCGCCACATGCAGACAGTGGCGCTGGAAGCTATCAAGAAATACGGTGCTGACCCCATCTTGCAGTTCTTCAAGACATATGGCCTCATACTCGAAGGTGATCACTCAAATATTTCAGATGCTATTGGTGTTGACCTGGAACCAATTTCGTAAATCTGCTAAGCAGAAATATTGCTTAGCGAAATTTTGACAAAATCAGCTGAGTACCGGTCACAAACAGATTTGGTTGCATGACAAGTTGGCTGGTAACCTGTGATTGACTTGTGATTGACTTATGATTAAGTTAAGATTGACTTGTGATTGTATCTATCTCCGTCGCAGACCGTATCGCTGAGGGTATGCGTGAGCTGGAATCCATCAAGGACAAGCCAGATCTGATCCTGTGCACCACCATGGCGCTCATGTATTCCCACAAGAGATGCAAGACGGTTGGTAAGTCTCAAGATCATTGGACAGAGTCAAGACCATTAAGACATCTTGCATGTCCAAGTAGTGCATGGATTATAGGGGACACTGTCTGGCCTAGTGATGCCGCAGACTGATGCTGATTGTATCTGATTCATTCTTCTTCTTTTGACCCAACAGATCGAGAGGCAGTCCAGGATCTGGACGCCAAACTGAAGGAGGAGAGAAAACGGACCGGGGAGAAGGTACGGTCTCGCTTCGACTAAAACATGAAGACATACACCATAGCATGGCTTATCCTCTCTTGTATTCCTTTACTGCCATCTCCAATGTTTGCAGCATTGTTAATCTTGCTATCATGACGTCACGCATCGTTATCATTGCTTGGTCTCATTGTGTTCTCAAACTGGAACAAGCTGCACCTGAGCAAGCAAATACGTGCATAGGCAAACATTCACATTATGGTAACAGCAAGGAGCTTTTCCAAAACCTGGGCATCATCTCAGCTTGGGCTTCAGGATTTGAGGCCCTAGAGTTGAGACCCTCCAACTCAATGTATTTCTAAGTTTGATCATAATACTATGGGTATTACTGTTTATGCTCCAGGGTCTGTACTTTGCGGCTACATTTCTGTGGCATACAGGACGACACGACAAGGCTCGAGAGTATGTGGATAGAATGCTGAAGATGTCACAGGGAGCAAAACAGGTAATTTACTGATTACTGTTATGATTTTCACTGACACGGTTTAACACAAATTTACGAAAAACTATACATTGATAACACCCCCCCCCCCCAAATAGAAATTTATTTTAGGTATTGGCTTCTAGGCTTTCGTTCTCATATTGACTTCTAGGCTTTAGTTCTCATCTTTCTGGTTTGAGTAACATCAATGTTTTGACTTTCAGGTCTCAGTTCTGGACTGTGAAAGTGACAGTTCTTGTCTTTTCTGTTTTTCTTTACTTGTACATCTTTTGTTTGTCTGAGCAGGGCCAGGTTCTTCGAGGCTGGATTGATCTGACCTGCGGCAGGGATGCCTACGTCAAAAAGTCTGGCAAATATTTTGAAGAGGCACTGAGGTATGACAAATATCCATGAATTGTCAAACATGTCCTGCATATGAAAGCATACACTTTGAAGAGTAATATTAGTAACTTTTCAGTTTCAATAAAGAAAAAAAAAAGGAAAGAAATTGTCCGACATTGAGTACATCCTTTTAAATCCTTAGTGACAATACTTTTATAGAATATAATAAAAAAAATTGACCAAAACATTTATAACTTGTTTAATTGAAAATATTTTATAAACAAAACTTTCCATCTGCAGCCACCGTAAACGTTTCAGTTCTGGCCACTTCAGGCTGCTCTCTACACAATAGCTTAAAGCGATGATGTAGCCAGCCTATGATTATAATCAAGAATGCTACAAAGGTATTGTGAAAAAAATGGTTCTTTTTTGGTTGGTTGTCGACATGACAGTGGGGCATCCAAGGACGTAGAGGCGCTGATTGGCAAAGCTCGTTACTTCACCCTGAGGCACAACTACAGCGGCGCATTGGACCAGATCAACCAAGCGGTGGTGTCCTACCCTGGGTTCATGCCGGCACTGATTGAGAAGATGAGACTCCTAATGGCGCTGCAGGATTGGGACCAGACTGTGGAGACTGCTCAAAGGTAGCGTGTGAGGGGTTTGGAAGGGCTGGGGAGGGGGTTGGGGGGGGGGGGGGTGCTGGCACTGATTGAGAAGATGAGACTCCTGATGGCGCTGCAGGATTGGGACCAGACTGTGGAGACCGCTCAAAGGTAGCGTGTGGGGGGGGGGGGGTGCCAGCACTGCCTGATTTGTCACAGTTCATTTGAATAGCTTGCCACTTGACATGAGACCAATGTGACTTGTGATTGTCTTGTGATGAACTCTACAGCAACGCTTGGCCAAAGTCGAAGCACGCATGCCTCACAATCAGGGAGGTTTGGACCTATCAAGAACAGTTTACCAGCTAAAAAATCATACACTCTGTGCTGCGTGTGCCTGATTCCCTGCTTATTCCTGCTTAGTTCTATTTGCTTAGCAGTATGTTCAGCATTTCATGTTGCTCTCCCTTGATCTTTTTGTGCATTAGAGGGACAAAATAAAGCCTTTTTTTCAGAGGGTTGCAGATGCCCCAAAAGAAAAATCATTAGGAGAAAAATTCAATTTTAACATCTCCTCCAACCTAGTGCCTCACCTGTTACTGACTAACCTTCTGTCTTGGTTATTTTAGGGCTTTGAGTCAACAGTCCAGCTGCCTTGAAGCCATCAGAATGGAGATTCTACATATACTGTGCAGAGACGGAAAATACGAAGAGGTAACTGCATCAGAATCAAAAACATTAAATCTGCCCCAAAACAAAAGCAGGCACATGTGAGATACATTCCTGCAAATTATGTGCTTGTCAGCTTTGCTTTTATTCTCGTATTTTCCAAAACGCCAGCTTTAAAAAAAATTTACAACATGAATTGAAATTTTGGTTGCAGGCTGTGCTTCGTCTTGGGGAGTTGATTCAGTTGTTGGACCGGTTTGAGCCCAAGAATGGCTACATTTGCTGGCATTTGTCACTGGTCTACAGCAGAGTGGTAAGCAGCCTCTAAACTTGATCTTCAAAAAAGATTCCAGCTTTATGTATTGTCTGTGATAGAGCTCAGTAACTAAACCTGAAAATGTAATTGACAATTAATTCTGATAAGTAATTCTCTTGACACCCCCCCCCTCCCAGTGTGGTCGCAACACCCAGGTCCTACAGCAGACCACTACCATGGTAGAGCGTGCGGTGGCGCTTGAACCAAACAACGCAGATTACAAGACAGAGCTAGGCTACCAACTGCTCCTCAAGAACAAGCCGCGAGACGCCATGAAGTACTACCGCAGCGCTATGAAACTTGACGAGACTAGTGTTGCTGCCCTCACAGGTCAGAACAGAGATCAGTAAGGCCGTGTTCGCATTACTTGGCTCCGGCCAGCATTAACACATTTTTCTATGGGAAATGGATTCAGTCATTTTCATAGAGGCTTGTGTAATTGCAAGCCGTAGCTATGTGATCCGGACTCAGCCTAAATCCCTTCCACTTCAGTGGCCCGGGTTCAAATCCCACCCAGAGGGACATGTGGATTGAGTTTTTCAGCCCCTGCCTGATTCTGTGGGTTTTCCCTGGAATATTGCTACTTGGTGTTTGTCCCACACCTAAAATTGAACATTACTTCATCATGTTCTCTCTTGAGATTTCTTGAGGCTTCGGAAGGCCTTGCATATTCACTTTTAAGGAACTGTTGGTTTCATTACTTTCCAACTGAAGAGTAAATTTGTCTGCGTATTTTGCCCTCTAGCTGTGAGCCACACATACATAAATTCATTTGAAAGCTTTGCAAATGAAAATCATCCAAAAGTAAGCTCCAAAAATTCCAACTAAACAAAAACAATAAATTTGCCGAGTCCTTGATTATATGTACAAATTGAGAACTTTTTGGCAATGTCTACTTTAATATGTAGATCAATGGAAAGTTGACAGCGTTGTTATTCCTCAAATTCAATATTCGTTGCAGACCGGCATTCCAGCATTGGGCCAAACTATATTATTTTGAAGATTAGAATTATTGAAACAAGTTTTAAACAACTGGGAGCGACTTAATGCGAAAGATTGACTGGTACCGTTGTTTAAACTGACTCAAAGAGTCCAGTCAGTGGAAAAATAGTACATAAGTTCAACCGTCGAATTGATTTCAATCGCTCAAATATATTTAGGCTCTAAACACATGTTGATTCTGGAATGCAAGGCTGACACAGGTGTAAGACCCCTCACTTTCTTAGCTGATTATTTCTTGCTTCCTCCAACCTCCAGGCATCATCAAGTGCCAGCTTCTTGAGGACCATCTTGACGATGCTGAGCAGCAGCTGGAGTTTCTCAGCGAGATTCAGGAATCCATCGGCAAATCGGCGGTAAGTCTAAACTGGTACTCCGTCAAGCTGGTGACAGGTGGCAAAAGAATTTTAGGAGCTCAAAACTTTTAATTTTCTTTGTAACAATCACTGTAATGCTCTGAAAAGATTGATACTCTATGAGATTATGGTGTTTACCAAACTTGCAAGATGGCTGTATTGAACTTTCACCGGAAAGTTTTTTTTGAAATCTAAGCTTTATTTTCACTGTTGTTTTCAGGAGATATTAGGCCCTTGTCATCGGGTAGTCTGACATGGGGTAGTAAGAACTATAAATTCAGTCAAGTTTTAGACACAAGTTGCTGGCCCAGTAAATTTCTGTATACCGCCCTCTATTTTTCTTCACTAGCAACCGTTGACAGTGTAATAGAGGGTGACATACTGAGCTGATATATCCAAGTTAGTTTAAAAAAAAAGTTCAAGTGGGCTACCTTGTTCCTTCAATGAACTCCTTCCATAAACACCTTTCGAAAGTGGAAGGATCACACCGCGTACGCATACTGGTTTCTTGCATATGACCCGAAGTACCCATGAATAATTGTATTCTGAAAGTGCAGTACACAATTAGCATCTTCACGTTAGCCTCGGGCACCGTCAGCAATGCGTTGGAATGTCTGTTCCAGTAGTCTCACCCAACTCTCTCTGTGTAACTGTTGAGGGGGTACTTCAGAGTCTATTTATGCAATGGATTTTTTTCTCATGTGACTTTCTCTCCTACAGGACATTTTGTTCCTGCGTGCCATACTGGCCCACAAGCGAGCCAAGCCCACTGAGGAGGTAGTGGCCCTACTCAACGATGCCAGCACCACCCACTTCACTGCATTGAAGGGCATCCCGCTGGGTATCGACTACTACTCCCAGATGAACCCAGACTTTGTGCTGGAGTTGGTCAAGGAGTATCTGGCGTTTGCTCCCACGGAGGTAAGGACAGAGTTGCGGTCAAATCCATCACAAGACCGGTCACAAGTACGGTCACACGTAACATTGGATGAACAAAACAAAGGAATAGCTTTGTCAAATTTCATTTGCTGAGAAAAACACAGAGATTAAGGAATTTTGAGAAGACATTATTTTTGTTGATTTAAATGCAAAAGTTCTGCAGATATCCAGTGGAGTGCTGTGGCCTTGTGGTCTGGAGCTTCAAACCAAAGATCCATGAGTAATTCTGCAGGTTGTGGGTTCGAGTCCAGCCTTGGGTTATTTTGCATGTGCCCCTGCACAAGGCACTTTGTCACTCATTGCCTCTCCCCACCCAGGAGAAAATGGGTACATGTGTAGGCAGAGATGGTTATTGTGATTGATTCTAGCTGCTTTGCGCCGAAATGGCAGCATTCAGCTGTGTTATCCCCAGGGAGCTGAGTTTGTCTTTGGAATGTTTCTTGGGCCCAATGAGCAGGGGTAATAATGATGTTCCTCGAACACCAATACTGGTGGATGCATGTGCTTTATTTTTTTTAAATGCATAATTATTATTAATATCGCAACCTGGAATAATTCAAATAATTGATTGGTCCGATCTCTACCTGATTCAGCCCCAGGCAGCTGGCCAGCCAGTCAGTCCCATCCTGAGCCGATGTGCCTCCATCCTAGAGCCCATCACCAAGGCCATGCCTGGCCTGCTGGAAGCCTTACATCTCCTGAGTCGCATCCGATTCCTGTCCGGTCAGATCGACATGGCACAGAGCAGCCTCCAGCTCTGCCTGGATCGAAACCCGCAATTTTCTGACGCTCACCTACTCATGGCCCAGGTAAGATTGATCTCTCCCTGTAAGAACATTCATAGTTACTGGAATAGGAGAGGAGATGGCGCTCAGGTGGGGATGGAACCCAAGACTTCCTGATCGCCGGTGCATTCCTCAGATGAATTGTATTAAAGGGAGTATGCGAGAAGTTGAATTTTATCGTATTCAATTTTCAAAGTTGAGCAAACAAATTAACTGGAGCAGGGTTTGAACCTGCGACCTCCGGATTACCGTTCCTGTGCTCTACCAACTGAGCTACCCAGCCTTGTGTTGGCGGTTTCCCATTTTCTCAATGTCTTTGTTCCAGGGGTGCTAGTCAGAAGCCATTAACCTGTACATGCCATGTAGCCAGGGATCACGCCCAAAGTCACGCTACTAGCAACATTAGCAATGTTGCAAACCTGGGAAATAACAAACGAGGAACACTCAGAGAAGATACAGCATTTGTTACAAATTTTCAAATAAAACACAAAGGGAAACTGATCAGGTTCATTATTATTATTTTCAAAGTTTTATCGTATTCAAAGTTCTAAGCTTATTAACAAAAATTTTTGTTCAAGCCTTTACATTTTGTCATTATCACAGAATCATTCTTTTCTTCAGTTGCCAAGTAAAAATCAAATCTTGTGTCTTCCGTTTAGATTCATCTGCATGCTGGCAACTACAAGCAGTCCTCCCAGTCCCTGGAGATGGGACTCAGCTACAATTTTGAGGTAAACTCTCTCATCTTTGTTTTGCATCCATTGAAATATTGGCAACATGTAAATAGCTTTGTTTATTTCGTGGTTTCAAATAGTGTTAGGATTGAAGGATGTTTAACAAACCCAGACCTTGTTTGCTGCTTCAGCTTAAGGTTAGCACCAGCTGACTTTCAGTGATCTATGAGCCAGAGATGAAGCCAATGCCATAGAGAGAGCCATGATTTGGAAAATGGCTAAAGATTTCCCCATCACAAAATATTGACCATATTTAATTGTACTGCTTTCTTTTGAAGTACAGGTGATGTCACTGTATCCCATGATTCAGGCCAAGGTTTATGTCCCTAAGCAAACTATTTTACATTTTGCATTTTCTGTGTAAAAATCTGACGAACACAATTTGAAGCCTTACAAGATGGTAGCATGATCACGTCCATCGTACCTGTTCTTAATAGGGATTAAGGGTTAACTTTCATTTTCTCATGCGCAAAATGTCTTCCATCTTGCATTCTACTGCTTTTTTGTTTAGGTGAGGGAGATGCCGCTATACCACATGATCAAGGCTAAGGCCCAACGCAAACTCAACCAGCTGGATGAGTGCATCAAGACGCTGCAGAGTGCCATGCAACTACCAGGAGTCAAACAGAGGGCGGCCTCCGCCTCCAAAAGGGGTGGTAAAGTCCGTCCCATCGCAGCCAGTGACCGAGTGTCTGTGTATTTGGAGCTGGCTGAGGCATACAGACTTACTGATTCCCAGGTAACGATCTTTTGTCTAGTTTGTGTTCTGAAGCAAGCCGTTTTACAACAGTTTTCTCCCTCTGATGCTCAAGTAATGGTTTTCTATTTAGTTTATGTCCCTAAACAAGCCGTTTTAAAAAAATTTCCTCCATCGACCAGAAGCACAACTCGATACGTGTGAAAAACAGATTGCATTATTCTCAAACTGTTGTTAATATATAAATACCCTGTCATACCATATAGTACAAATTGCTAATGGGTTGATGTTATTATGAATATTAGATCTCTCAAATTGACAAACAGTGTTTTTTCTCTTCGCAGCATGAAGCAGCGAAGGTGATGCAAGATGCTATCAATGAGTTTGGCGGTACACCAGAGGAGGTGCGTGTGACCATCGCCAACGCTGATCTAGCCCTAGCTAGGGGAGACACGGAGCTAGCACTGTCTATGCTGAGGAACGTCGGCCAAAACCAGAGGTAGGAAAATCAAGTTGTGTTCTCCATGCTCTTCAACATATCCATTTGTTTTGCTATGAATAAACTTGAAATTTGTATGTTTTATTCTAATCACTAAACCTCCTGGAAAACTTAACTCCCTTCTTGTGTGAAATAACAAATGTTGATCCACGAACAGTACAATGATACTTATGATAAAATTTTGTTTTCCGCAGTTATTTCATTCAAGCACGAGTCAAGATGGCCGACATCTACCTGAATCACCGCAAAGACAAACGACTGTATGCAGGCTGCTACAGGTATGTCATTGAAAGTAAACCACAATTTTACCTCAGGTTTTGTGCAACACCCCTCTAGCTATGTATATGGTATATGCCTTGTGCAAGTAGTACTAAAAATTTCCTTATATGGAGATTGGCGTGTGGTGCAGAACGCAGCGGTGCCGGTGTAGTGTGAATTTAGGACTCCGTGAAATAAGAACTCATTGGTAGTATTGCCATGCCTAAAGTGAAGATAAATTCGGAGTGTGACTGGTCATGTGTGGGGGGTTCAACCAATAAAAGGGTAAAAGGGACCAGATTTCATAGGAGTCCAAATTTCATGTGACCCCGGAAAAAAGCGTTAAAACCAGTCGGTTTTAAACCACGTGACGGGCTCTCCACCAATAGGAATGGGTAAACTGTCTTAGGTATTTGGGAATGGCAGTTGACTGCCAAATTTCTTTATAACAAGTAAAAAGCTGTTACTTAGGCCAAAAAAAAAAAGTCGCCGGTTTCTGGTATGCGCGCGCGTCGCCGTAGCCATGCGCGTCGGCAAAATGAAAAAGTTTTTTTTTCAATGAAAGATGATGTCTCAAAACCGCCAAACTCACTGGTTTGACTGGAATCCTGCTGCTGCACAATTTTAACGTGTTTTTAGATGGGGTTATGATCGAGAATAAGCTTTATGTGGCCTCTCTGGTCTCACATAATATTTGCACTAAGTTTAGTCGGGCACCATTTGCAGTCATCAGCCGACATTTGAAGCAAAAAAAACAGGTAAAAAAAAAAAAACCGCGTCACCGCACCACTTTTTGGGCAAGCTCCATACCAGAAACCGGAGACTTTTTTTTTTTGGCCTTAGCTGATGAATTTTTGTTTTTCGAACCAAATACTTTCTGCAAACATATTCCACAGAATGCCTTCAATTTGTTTTTCAAAGTTCTGTATTTGTTGCCTGATATCCACTTGTACTTGTGGCAGTTTACTTTCTAGAAGATTTGACCTTTGAAATTTGACCTTTATCCTTTTAAACAGGGAGCTGGTAGAGAAGCAACCAAGCCCCGAGACCTCTTTACTCCTGGGGGATGCCTACCTGAACATTCAAGAGCCGGAGAAGGCCATCGAGATCTACGAGGCTGCCTTGAAGAAGAACCCGCGTGATAGCGCCCTCGCCAGCAAGATCGGCTCAGCGTTGATTAAGACGCATCAATATACGAAGGTAAGAAATGTGTCATTAGACTGGTGATCTGACCTCATTGAGTGAGGACAGGAAACAGTTTCTGAAATTTCATTGGTTACTATCTTTCTTTCCTACAGTCTGATTGGCTTAGTTCACAAGTACTTGACATGTAGCAATTAGGTGTGTATGTTAATATTCAATTTAACTTGACCCCATGTCAGAGTTCATCAGGACAAGACATCGCTTGATGCATTGGGCTGTTTCTTACTTCAATCCAGTTCATTTCTTGAAACAAGCGATTTTATTTTGCTGGGATGAAAGTTTGGAAAGATTTTACTTGTATTTTTTTTATGAGAAGACCCACATTTGTAATTAAGTTTCACTTTTTCTTTTTGATGTATGGTTGGGGTATAGGTTGAAAAATGATCTTTGAAAAAAAAATTATCATATCTTCACTGAAAGTAAAAAAAACCAAAAAACTTTTAAATGTAATTTTTTTAATACATTCTTCTTAATTTAAAAATTAAAAGTTTTGATGGAATTGGTCCAAAAAAAGAGTTAGTTTATATTTGGAAAAAAACAGATGAGAGTAAAGGAAAACTAAGGAAAACTTGTTTGAATCTTTCAGGCCATCAATTATTACGAGGCGGCATTGAAGACAGGAGGGCAGGCTTTCCTACGTTATGACCTGGCCAATTTACTGCTGAAACTGAGACACTTTGAGAAGGCGGAGAAGGTCCTAAGAACGGCCCTGGATCATGAATCGGGTGAGAATCACGAATCACCAATCTGGAAATAGACGCCTTGCGCGAACGGCAGAGGGCGCTTTGTGTCCACTTCCGTGAGTCCCAGTGGAGGGACCAACGTGTGTGAATATTGGTTCACGTGCATATGGCGCGAAATACGCAGTGGTCTCTCCCAACTCTCCCTTTCTTACCATTGAGGGAGTACTTGTGCGCGGAGTCCATATTGCTGGTACTGCTTCTGAATCGGTGCTGTAAAAAAGTTAGAACTCTTTTTCCGCTATATTTTGGTTGTTTGCATTAACAGCTTCTGACGTGTCTACCATGATGGACGACTGCAAATTGTTGGTGATGCTGGCCAAAGTTCATCGCCACGCCAACAAGATGGAGGACTCCATGCTGGCTCTCACGAAGGCCCGAGACATGCAAGCCAGGTAAAGGCAAAATACTTCTATATAAATCAAATTTTCCGGAAAAAAATATGGATTCCCAAACTTTTTTTTTTTTTACTTTTTCTTTAACGATGTATTGAATGAAATTTTTCTTTTATTATCTGAATTTTTATTTCTGATATAAAAACATTTTCACTCAATTTTTTTTAAACAAAAGGACCAGTTTTTGTTTTTTTGTAGAAGATTATGGGGTGATTGAACAAAAAATTATCCTAGCTCCTCTGGAACAAAGGACTGCCATTGATACTGTTTATATGTCAAGAAATAGTTCAGGAACCCTAAAACTTAAGTTCTCTCATAAAGTTACTTTTATTGTGTGTTTCGCAATGAATTGGCCGAATTGTGTGACAGTATCAGTGAAAGTGAGCACAGTTGCAAAATAATTCTCATTTAAAAATCCTTCATTTGTCAACACCTGGCATGGTGAAGAAAGAAAAAAAATGTTTTCATGATGCATTTGTTAGTGGCTTGAGTGTGTAGTTGATGAACTGCGATTTGTTTTTGAAATCCTTCTGCAGGATCCTGAAGCGTGTGCAAGTTGAGCAGCCAGACGCAGTGTCTACTCAAAAAGCACTCGCTACAAGGTTAGTTTGGGGACTTCCCATTAGGGGTAGGGGTAAGTGTTAGCGTGAGGTGTCCCAACAACCCACATCCCTGTGGACTATGTGGGACTCCCCTTTCAACACACAGTCCACTCTGATGGTGCAGTGTTTGAACAGCTCTTCTGACTGCTAAGAACCAGCCCAACTTGGCAAAAGATGGTTTTCAACTTTTGATTTGAAATCAACGTTACTCAGTCATCCACGACTACAGGGGTACCATTAAGGTATCAATGGAAAGCTGATAAACTGCCCTTTAATATGCAACCACATCGACATCATAATTTTGAGGTATTAATCCATTTACTTTTGGATGATCTGTTCTTGATACGCCCTGTACGTCAACCTCTTTGTTCGACAGCATCTGTTCCCAGATGGCAGAGCACCATGCCACCCAGCGAGACTATGAACGAGCCATTAAGCTGTACAAAGAAGCCCTAGTCTACACGGACAGCGACGGTAAAGCCATGCTGGAGCTAGCTAGGCTGTACCTGGCAACAGATGAGGTGGATGCTTGCCAACATCAGCTGGTTCAGCTGCTACAAGGGGACAAGGAGAACGATAACGCTACTGTGGTATGATGAATAACCAAATCGGTGATTTTTATTCTAACGACAGAATTTGAGTTCAAGTCCTACTTGGAAGAAAATTCACGACTGGTGAACAAGAAAGTGTGACGAAATTCCAACTTCACACTTGCTGTTCTGTCTCATGAACTAAAAAAACTTGCCAATCGAAACAAAAATCTTTGTCTTTGCAGATGATGGCTGATTTGATGTTTAGGAAGGGAGAGTACGATCAAGCAACGTTTCACTTCCGGCAGCTGCTGCAGCGGTCTCCTGGTGAGCAGTCGGTTCATGTTTAGTTACATGTTATTTTGTGTTTTTAGACTGACCCTCTCCAGAGTTGGAAACACCAGCAGTTTCTGTGGGGAAGGTACTTCGATTGTCATTACATGAGTACATGCTATGAGCATGATTGCTTTGCTGTGCTTAAAGGCACGTAGTAACATTTGCAACTACCCGGAAACGTGTCTACTGATTTAACGAGAAAAACCTTGCTCAAAGTGAAGATAGGACTGGTACCAAAAACCCTGTGAAATTATTCTGCCTGAAATTATATCATTTGGAAGAAAACGATCATTGAAGGTGGTTTAAGAAAGTGTGCCCACAGGCACAGTTTTTTATGTTCGTTAGCAACGGAATCCAGTTACAAAGTCCCAAGAATTGTGCATACGTTTTCTCTTTCTTCTCAAAATGTATAGTACTCAGTAGTGCATGCTTGTATTTTGATCCCTTCAGATCACTACGAGGCCCTGTCCAGACTGGTTGATCTGCTACGCCGTGCAGGCAAGTTGGAAGACGTGGCTCAGTTCTTGGAGCAAGCTGAGAAGGCATCGTCTAGAGCCGCCATGGATCCAGGCTTCAACTACTGCAAGGGACTGTATGAATGGTTAGTACCAAGACAGGTCAATTCATAAATTGTAATTCAACATTTGTTTCCGTCCAGTACGTCTTTCAGAGTTGCGCCGAACTAAATTATTTTAAAGATTTGAATCAATTACTTGAAAAGTTCAACATTAAATTATTTTAAAGATTTGAATTAATTACTTGAAAAGTTCAACATTAAACAGGAGCAAATTGGGAATGAAAAATGACAGAGGAATGCCTGCGTTACAGTTGATCATTTTGAATAGCTTGGGACTTGACTTGTGATGACTTGTGATGACTTGTGATGACTTGTGATAACTTGTGATGACTTGTGATGACTTGTGATTGACTTGTGATTGACTTGTAATGACTTGTGATTGACTTGTGATGACTTGTGATTGACTTGTGATGACTTGTGATTGACTTGTGATAACTTGTGATGACTTGTGATGACTTGTGATAACTTGTGACGACTTGTGATGACTTGTGACAACTTGTGACAACTTGTGACAACTTGTGATGACTTGTGATGACTTAGTTACAACTCTGCATATAAATGTTATATATGCAGATCCCTTTCAATTTTTTTAGTCTCCAACTCAATATTTATGTTTGCATTAATTAATTTATTTTTATTCATTTTTTAGGTATATTGGCAATCCCAACGTCGCCGTGAAGCATTTCAACATGGCCCGCAAGGATAGCGAGTGGGGTCGTCTGGCCGTCCGTAACATGATAGACATCTGCATCAACCCAGACAATGAGACACTGGGAGGGGAAACGTTTGAAACTGTCAACACTGACGCTGCGTAAGTGGTCCTTTCTAAAGTTTTTAAAATTGTATTCTTGCCCTCCCCCCAAAAACCCCTGATAATGACACATTCCTGAAGGCGAACTCTGAAGTTCTCTTTGTTGACTTTCCTTTAAAGAGGATGAGATCGGTTTAGTGTATGCCTAATTTAATTCTTTCACTTCAGAGACTTCAGACTTCAGAAGAGTTTTGTAAGGTCGTATTTCTACAAGAAAATATGTTTATGTGGTTGCTTCAAATAAACCAAGCTTATTTCAACCCTAATTCATTAAAAAGACTCAGTTGAGCAGGATGGGTTATTAATGATTCATCTGTGTCACGAGGGAAGTGTTTTAGTATCAGTAACATTGATTTGTCATTGTTTTCTTTTAATACACAGGAGTGCCTCCGAAAAAGCGGACTCGGAGCAGATGGCCGTAAGAACCGCCGAGAAATTCATCAAGGTAAAACGCCCTGTCCATTAGCTTCAAGATATCTGCAATTTTGTTTTTATGAGTCTTCCTTATTTTTGAGTATGATGACTGATTGAAAAGTTGTCTTCATTTCTTGGTTGGCTCTAGGAATTGAAACCTGTGCCAGGGTCGGACGACCACAAGATCATGGAGAACTACGTCCTGATGGCATCCAAGTCTAAACCCAACACGGAGAAAGCCTTGTCATCGTTCATGGAGATGGCAACCAGCGAGGTATAAAACAGCATTATTTTATTGCTGTAAACTTCAGACTAAATACCTTACATCCGTTTCAGCCTGTTGTTCCAGAGTTCCGCTGAACCAAATTATTTCACAAATTTGAATTATGTACGAGAAGAGTTTGATGTTTGAAACAGATAAGAGAGATTATGTCAAAAGCTGAAGTTTGTAGTACTGATGAACGACACAACTCTAGTCAATGGAAAATTAACGCATAATTTGAACTGCGCCCCCTCTAAGGGCTCTGTGCGCAAACAAGAGAGGGCGCCTTTCGACCACTTTTCGAGAGCCTCATTAAGGTGTTTTGAATTGTAACATGCTTGAAACAAATCAGCAAATTTTACCCTCATATCCCAAAGTATTGTCTTCTGTCGTTATTTTAGTTGCATTATTCAGAATTTAAAACCACACACATTATTTCAGATGACTCCTGTTGCCTGTCAGCATAACACAGAAATCCTGAAATGTTTTCCTCATTGTTTGAACTATCTTGTAGAAGGAGAATGTCCCCGCACTGTTTGGTGTGGCCACGGCTTACATGATACTCAAGCAGACGCCCAGGGCTCGCAATCAACTCAAGAGAATTGCTAAGATGAACTGGAACCCGGTGGTAAATATGAAACTAATTGCAACTTCCCTGTATCCCTATTCCCCTTCCCCTACCCAACAAGAACATCCCACCCCTCCCCCCCCCCCCAAAATAAAATAAATATCTTAACTTTTGCTGATGTAATTGCATCTCGCTAGCCCTTGTACAGGTCTGAGAATACAGTGCATATGAAATAATTTTGTTGAAGGCAAAACCCAATAATTGAATCAACATCTCCCAAATGCAAGAATTTCATCATTCAAAATAGTTTACAAAAAAGTAGATATTGTCACGAACAGGAAAGGTTTAGAGAGAAATATGTATGATTGAGCTATTTACACAACAAATTGATTTCATCGGCTCGGCTGTCCATGACGTAATGCCGCACTGCCCTATTAAATGCAGGCTAATCAAGTCAACAAGTACCCTACCAAGGTTGGTTCCAAGTTGCAGAGCTAAGCATATCAGGGTTTATGTTTTTTTTTCAGTTTGTTTTTGTTTTTGTCGGTTTTGGTTTACTCAGGACGCAGAAGACTTTGAGAAGAGCTGGCTTCTGCTCGCCGATATCTACATCAACACTGGAAAGTTTGACATGGCAACAGAACTACTCAGGAAATGCCTTCAACACAATCAGGTGAAATAAATTCGAACAGAAAAAAAAAATTCAAGATATAAATTAAAAAATTGAAAAGCGGCATAAGGTCTGACCTGCATAAGATTAAAGTGAGTCTGTGCCACAGGCATAACTTATAGATGTATGAATTATTCAAAATGTCGTGCTACTATGTCATGCTAAATTTATCTATAGAACGCTTTCCCGCTGGTTCGTTCTGTAAATTTGGGGTCCACTTTTTACCTGTCCTTGTTAAAGGGATGTATGCAAGTACCAAGGTATCGGGCAGAGGAAAAATGTCACATTTTTGGACCTTAAATCTATAAAAAGACCCAGCTGTGCAATAGATGGAGTGAATCACTCTCACACTGTGGCGCAGTTTATGCCCTGAAAATGTATGTTTTTTTGTGGAATTGGCTGATAATCTACTATCCTGTAAAAAGTATACTCCTTTGCAAATGTTGTAAATGTTAGGATAATTTTTGGTTTCTTTTTGCAGTCATGTTGCAAGGCTTACGAGTACTTAGGCTTTATCATGGAGAAAGAGCAGTCGTACCACGACGCAGCGCTCAATTACGAGAAATCCTGGAAGTATGGTAACCAGAATAACCCAACCATCGGTAAGTAGCATCCTGAAAAGGGATCCGACTACCTTGTACTCTGGTGATTTGTTTTGTTTTTTAAAGTATATGGCTGCATCCGAATCAGTTGTCTAGAGCTAGGTCTAGGTCTGCGCCCATTGAAAATACGTGGGGACGCGCTGACAATAGACGTAGCCATAGCTCTGGAAGCCCGTTTCGGACACGGCCTATCCTGGCTATATGTAATAGAAAACAATGAAATAAATAAATTCCTGTCATGTTTCTAGGTTACAAGCTGGCATTCAACTACTTGAAGGCAAAGCGATATGTGGACGCTATCGACATTTGTCACAAGGTCCTAGCAAGCCATCCCAACTATCCTAAGATGCGTAAGGACATCCTGGACAAGGCGCGGGCCAGTATACGGATTTGAGGATGGATCACAACAGTCTGGGCAAAACAGAAAGACAAGTTGCAAGGTCCCGAGTCTCACCGAACCAAAGCGTATTTATGGTCGACACAAATAGAATTTGGTTTCAGGCAAACTTTACGTATCAATTTTTCATTAAATGGATTTTAGATTTGTTTCGAATGACTGCAACCGTTGATCTTGTGCATGTGGTCGTTCGTAATTGTTTAAAACCTCACATTTTGGAATAATTTGGTTCTGCTTAACTCTGGTATGCCAGTGTTAAATGAGTGTTTGAGTTTGATATTCAGGGATGATATTGGGGTCGAAAATTGAAAATCCACGAACAACATCGGTGTACGGTTCATTCATGTATTTGCCGCAACAGGCACTCCTAAAAACTGCCCACTGCAATTCTTTCATCCCAGAAAAAAAAGACAGCGAGGAAAGCTTCTCATTTAGGCATTTTTAAAATCCACAAATCTTGATAAATGCAGAAAATATTTTGCCCCTGGATAAAGAGGGCCTTGGGTGCTGTTTTGGGAGAGCTGTACTAAACAGATGTTTAGAGTGTCAATATTTAACATTGGTTTTGCCCTTCGGTGATGAATTTCCCCCAATTTTGATGAAAACAGCAAGGTTAACCCCTTACAAATGTTAATTTGTCAGAAATATCAAATTTTGCCCAATTTTCATGATTTTGATGAAAACGGCAAGGTTAACCCCTTACAAATGTTAATTTGTCAGAAATATCAAATTTTGCCCAATTTTGATGAAAACAGCAAGGCTAACCCCTTACAAATGTTAATTTGTCAGAATTATCAAATTTTGCCCAATTTTCATGATTTTGATGAAAACAGCAAGGTTAACCCCTTACAAACGTTAATTTGTCAGAAATATCAAGTTTTGCCCAATTTTCATGATTTTGATGAAAACAGCAAGGTTAACCCCTTACAAACGTTAATTTGTCAGAAATACAAAATTTTGCCCAATTTTCATGATTTTGATGAAAACGGCAAGGTTAACCCCTTACAAATGTTAATTTGTCAGAAATATCAAATTTTGCCCAATTTTCATAATTTTGATGAAAACGGCAAGGCTAACCCCTTACAAATGTTTATTGTCAGAAATATCAAATTTTGCCCAATTTGGATGAAAACAGCAAGGTTAACCCCTTACAAATGTTAATTTGTCAGAAATATCAAATTTTGCCCCATTTTCATGATTTTGATGAAAACGGCAAGGTTAACCCCTTACAAATGTTAATTTGTCAGAAATATCAAATTTTGCCCAATTTTGATGAAAACAGCAAGGCTAACCCCTTACAAATGTTAATTTGTCAGAAATATCAAATTTTGCCCAATTTTTATGATTTTGATGAAAACGGCAAGGTTAACCTCTTACAAATGTTAATTTGTCAGAAATATCAAATTTTGCCCAATTTTCATGATTTTGATGAAAACAGCAAGGTTAACCCCTTACAAATGTTAATTTGTCAGAAATATCAAATATTGCCCAATTTTGATGAAAACAGCAAGGCTAACCCCTTACAAATGTTAATTTGTCAGAAATATCAAATTTTGCCCAATTTTCATGATTTTGATGAAAACAGCAAGGTTAACCCCTTACAAACGTTAATTTGTCAAAAATATCAAATTTTGCCCAATTTTCATGATTTTGATGAAAATGGCAAGGTTAACCCCTTACAAATATTAATTTGTCAGAAATATCAAATTTTGCCCAATTTTCATGATTTTGATGAAAACAGCAAGGTTAACCCCTTACAAATGTTAATTTGGCAGAAATATCAAATTTTGCCCAATTTTCATAATTTTGATGAAAACGGCAAGGTTAACCCCTTACAAATGTTAATTTGTCAGAAATATCAAATTTTGCCCAATTTTGATGAAAACAGCAAGGCAAACCCCTTACAAATGTTTATTGTCAGAAATATCAAATTTTGCCCAATTTTGATGAAAACAGCAAGGTTAACCCCTTACAAATGTTAATTTGTCAGAAATATCAAATTTTGCCCAATTTTGATGAAAACAGCAAGGCTAACCCCTTACAAATGTTAATTTGTCAGAAATATCAAATTTTGCCCAATTTTCATGATTTTGATGAAAACAGCAAGGTTAACCCCTTACAAACGTTAATTTGTCAGAAATATAAAATTTTGCCCAACTTTGATGAAAACAGCAAGGCTAACCCCTTACAAATGTTAATTTGTCAGAAATATCAAATTTTGCTCAGTTTTGATTGAAACAGCAAGGCTAACCCCTTACAAGTGTTAATTTGTCAGAAATATCAAATTTTGCCCAATTTTGATGAAAACAGCAAGGCTAACCCCTTACAAATATTAATTTGTCAGAAATATCAAATTTTGCCCAATTTTCATGATTTTGATGAAAACAGCAAGGTTAACCCCTTACAAATGTTAATTTGGCAGAAATATCAACCTTTGCCCACTTTTGATGAAAACAGCAAGGCTAACCCCTTACAAATGTTAATTTGTCAGAAATATCAAATTTTGCCCAATTTTCATGATTTTGATGAAAACAGCAAGGTTAACCCCTTACAAATGTTAATTTGTCAGAAATATCAAATTTTGCCCAATTTTGATGAAAACAGCAAGGCTAACCCCTTACAAATATTAATTTGTCAGAAATATCAAATTTTGCCCAATTTTCATGATTTTGATGAAAACAGCAAGGTTAACCCCTTACAAATGTTAATTTGGCAGAAATATCAACCTTTGCCCAATTTTGATGAAAACAGCAAGGCTAACCCCTTACAAATGTTAATTTGTCAGAAATATCAAATTTTGCCCAATTTTCATGATTTTGATGAAAACAGCAAGGTTAACCCCTTACAAACGTTAATTTGTCAGAAATATAAAATTTTGCCCAATTTTGATGAAAACAGCAAGGCTAACCCCTTACAAATGTTAATTTGTCAGAAATATCAAATTTTGCCCAATTTTGATGAAAACAGCAAGGCTAACCCCTTACAAATATTAATTTGTCAGAAATATCAAATTTTGCCCAATTTTCATGATTTTGATGAAAACAGCAAGGTTAACCCCTTACAAATGTTAATTTGGCAGAAATATCAACTTTTGCCCAATTTTGATGAAAACAGCAAGGCTAACCCCTTACAAATGTTAATTGTCAGAAATATCAAATTTTCATGATTTTGATGAAAACAGCAAGGTTAAGCCCTTACAAATGTTAATTTGTCAGAAAAACCAAATTTTCATGAATTGATGAAAACAGCAAGGTTAACCCCTTACAAACGTTTATTTGTCAGAAATATCAACTTTTGCCCAATTTTGATGAAAACAGCAAGGCTAACCCCTTACAAATGTTAATCTGTCAGAAATATCAAATTTTGATGAAAACAGCAAGGTTAACCTTGTTAATCAAAGTACACAGATGAAGGAAAAAAACCCCAAAATTTACGTCGCATTCATGCAAAAATCAGAATGGATTGTAAATAGTTATGTGTGTACATTATTATGTAGATGTGTCTTTAGTGAGTGTGTGTACATAAAAGGGGGAAAGGAGAACAGCTCTGAACTTGGAATATTTCATTCATTGTTAATTTTCCTTTTTTTTTTAAAATATATATTCATATATATAATGAGATATATGACATATCTCAAGAAATGTCAATTTTTGGCCAAAATTACGACATTTCCTGGTTTTCTTTTATTCGTATTGTAACCTAAGGTGTAGACTTAAATTTTAAGTTCTTCATAGTATTTAAATACATGTACTGTATAGAATATGCTCATGGTTAATTGGAAATTACGTAACAATTTTTAAGAAATGGTAATGTTTGAGTTTGTTGGTGAAAAATCATTAAACCATAAGGCTGTAGCCTTGTTATTTTTAAAACAAATTTTATGGGTTATAAGTTTTTTCCAAACAGAAAATGAACATTTTGACAATCAATAGACGGTTCGGGATGTTATTTCTACATATTAAATTTTGGCGTTTTTTTTATGCAAGACTATAGCCTTGCTGTAATAGCCTTGCATGCAAGACTATAGTCTTGCAAGACTATAGTCTTGCTGTAAGAGCCTTGCATGCAAGACTATAGCCTTGCTGTATGCAAGACTATAGTCTTGCTGTAATAGCATTGTATGCAAGACTATAGCCTTGCTGTAATAGCCTTGCATGCAAGACTATAGCCTTGCTGTATGCAAGACTATAGTCTTGCTGTAAGAGCCTTGCATGCAAGACTATAGTCTTGCTGTAAGAGCCTTGCATGCAAGACTATAGTCTTGCTGAAAGAGCCTTGCATGCAAGACTATAGTATGCAAGACTATAGTCTTGCTGTAATAGCCTTGTATGCAAGACTATAGCCTTGCTGTAATAGCCTTGCATGCAAGACTATAGCCTTGCTGTATGCAAGACTATAGTCTTGCTGTAAGAGGCTTGTATGCAAGACTATAGCCTTGCTGTAATAGCCCTTGCTGTATGCAAGACTATAGTCTTGCTGTAATAGCCTTGTATGCAAGACTATGGCCTTACTGTATAGTCTTGCTGTAAGAGCCTTGCATGCAAGACTATAACCTTGCTGTAATAGCCTTGCATGCAAGACTATAGCCTTGCTGTATGCAAGACTATAGTCTTGCTGTATGCAAGACTATAGTCTTGCAGTATGCAAGACTATAGTCTTGCTGTAAGAGCCTTGCATGCAAGACTATAGCTTTGTTTTTTAAAGTAACTTCAAGATAAGCTTTGAAAAATTTATATCCAAAAATGAAAACTTCATTACTGCATCCGAAGCTTCCTTTAGGTTTATTGACGTTTCCGGCCAGAGTTATGGTTAAAACATTTTTCCCAAGTTTGATGTTGAATCAAAATTTTTTAACACTCGTAAGAAATGCAAACTTAACATGTTACTAGAAATATAAAAGCAGCCTACGTGCCTAAATCAAAATGGTTATGGCAAGATCATGCTTTTATTAATATCTGAAAATACCTAAAAATATATTTTACTTGTTAGAAAATCATAATTTGTCGAAATACAAAAGTAGCACCACCATCAGTAATATAATAAGACTCTACATAATTATCTACATAAAATGCATCTAAAGTATCTGGGAGGGTACATACATACTATATTATTTTTGTTTTTGGGGGGGGGGGGTTAAAAATAGGTTATTTGCTAAAATGCAAATGTATATAACTTTCCCTGTAAGAACAGTAGCCAAGAATTATAGTTGTCTTTAGTACAGATGTTTTCCAGGACCTTATGCTAATTTTCTCTTTTTACCACTTTGCATCACAAAAATGGGTTGCATTAATTTTCACTTCAAACTGGAATAAAGAAGAAGAAATAGCTACATTAGCAGTACCTCTAGCTGCACAGCTCAACTAGGTAGCATCAGCTCATTCCAATAACACTGATCTCAGCTCAGATCGACTTGAAGACTTTGGAGTCAAGCCGGCATCTTGTTACACTGGAAAATATATTTTTTTATAAAGAAAAGAAAGACAAATGATTAGAAAAACTATTAGAAACAATTCTAGCTCTGTATAATGTGTCACTCTCACAACGCAACCAGGAAATCAGGACCTACAAATTTGAAGAAATGTTCAAGATTCCACTGAAATGAACTTAATTTTGCAAGAATTTAAAAGGCACCTTGTCCTACAGAAACACGACTTTAACAATGGATTTTTGATCGGACATTTTTACTCTTCTTAGGGTGGGCATGTTTGCAGGGCCTCAGCAGGGGTGTAGTGACAATGAACGCACCCCGGATAAGTATTTTCCCGAGGGTAGGATTTGACTTACCGCATCGTAGTCCGTTAGCCTCCCACATCGGAGCCTCCTGTCCCGTGCGGGCTCCATTCTCAGTCACACAGTAACACCTTGGGTGAACAAAAGCAGACAAGATTACTCCAAATCAATAATTACATTAATAAGTGGCCACCGATTACACTGAGAATGTAACAAAAATGAAGATTATAATTCCATGTTTATTCCCGTTAGCTTGATAAAGATTTTACAAATTGCCAATTTTCAATAAACGTCATCCTTTTGGATGGATGTAACATGTTGGATGGATGAACATTGCAAGGGTTAAACAACACTGACTGAATAAAGTCGGAAAGGGGAATGGCCATCGTTCATATCAAGGCCACGGCCCAATATCATGGTGCTCTTAATAGAGCTCTCTCATAGGACGCCATCTTCGTAGAAAAATGATAAATGTATATTCAACTAAAATTCTAAACACGAGTGCGTGTTGCTAGAAATTTCTTCAAAATACGGCACAGCCGATGCGCGTCACGAATATTTGACGCCCAAAATGCCAATGCACGTGATAATCTGTAGGAATTGACGTCATTTGAGAGAGCCCTATCAAAAGAATTCAGAGGCAGAATTTGATTACACTGAATCTGGTTGGCACAACTTTGCCGCTTCAGTACCATGAAATTGGCCGAAGGATTTGCCAAAATGTTGTTGAACTGAGTGGACTAGTGGTAGGCAGGGGGAGGGGGGGGGAGGGGGGGGGGGGAGTGGGCAAGCTTACATGGTTCCTGAGCACTGTTTAGGCTGATAGTAGCCATCACTACGGCAGTGGGGCAACTGAGCAGCCATGGCTGGCTGTCCAGTCAGACGTGCTTCATCCAATGCCTGGCGGGCTGCGTTATACTCACGCCGACACAGGGGTTCATCAGCAGCTGAAACAAAAAAGATTGAACAGGCCATCCTTTGAGAGTATGAGGTACTGTAATGACGTCGCACTGGTACATTTTTACAATGTGAAAGTTTCAAATTGAAGTTTGACTTCTAAACTGGTTCAATAAAAACAGTTTACCATTAGTACCCAGAAAATGACATGTAAGTATACATCGAATGCATTAATATTCCATTCCTATCAAAAATGTTCTTTTCCATTCTTAGTGGGTTACAGATGTATTTTGTTTTACAAGCCAAGTAGGTCCATGCACACTTGAAAAATAGTACTTTAGCGTAAAAAAACCCTGACTTTCAAACAACAAAAGTGAATGAAATTCAAGTGGATGTTTACTTACTGCAGTGGGGCTCTCTGAGAGCTGGTGGCCTCCTCCCAGGAACACAGAAACAGCTGACGAAAATTAAAGATAAGGAAATACCAGAATATCAAATTGAACACATTAATAACTAACTTTGATTAATGATCAATTTACTTGAATTCTGGAGATGTTCATTTTCAAAGTGTACTAATTTCAAGTTGAAAGACGTTTTAAGAAAGAAAGAGAGTAAGAGTTAAAGAAAATAGGAACAAAATGTATATGAAAGTATTCAAAAGGAAATCTTACAAAAAGATAAAGTGAAAAATCAACAAGCACAATAAAGACTCACAGTAATTTGATTTATATTAAACAGAAACCGAGTGTGTAGATAACTAAATTTCAAAATGATAAGTATACATCTTGATGTTGTCATTTAGGATGCAAATGATTCAATACAACCAACTCTGTCCCTGTTTGAGTAGATTCTTGCGACAAAGTGTCTTGCCCATGGACACACAAACCACATCAAAATACAACAGTCTTACTCACAAGAGTCCATGGCACTCCTCCACACCAAACTCGTCTTCGCAGTACGGTATCGGCACGCCATACAATGGAGGGCGCTGTACGCCGTCAGCGACCTCATCCCACAGGAAGTTGACCCGCCGAGTGACTGCGTCTACCTCTGACTCCCCACACTGCTTAGAGGATTTGGCTGAAGAGACAGAAATACAGAAAAAGAGTTTCTTCCTGTAAACCTTTTTTAAACCCAGATCACTGACTGACTTACTGACACACTGGATCACCTCAGGTTTTTTTTTTTGGGGGGGGGGGTGTCCCCATCGGTGTTGACAACAACACAGTCCAAAAGTAAATTAACCGATTTCTGGGCAATTCCACGAAATGCCAAAACTTAAAAAAAATCCAAATGCCACGAATGAAACATGTACATGTATATCACTTTGAAGCTTCTTAGCTGTATTTTATCGAAATATAGTTTATTTCTGTTCAACAATTCAGCTGTTATGAAAAATTAATAAATAAGAGCACACACAAAATCTATTTGCCAGAGTACCACTGACACACTAGTGTTTTGAGCCGATGTCTACTACAGCAGAAAAGTTGGATGAATAATGTCTTTTTTAAATCATTGTTTTATCAAAATAAAAATCCACGTTATGATTTTAAATTGTATTTAGCACACTGTTCAATTGTCTTAAACATATGTCTGACACCGTGGAACTGCCCTTTGCAGTACTGTATTGTATTACTATTACAGGACATTTTTCATTTCTTGTAATAATTGAATAATGAAGATTGAATAATAATAACGACTCCTTGAAGTTAAAAAGGGATTTATACATCTCGAGCACCCCCCCCCCCCCTCCCTCATCCTGTAGTTCGTACTCACACGACGGGGGTACCACAGGGGTGGTGAACATAGCCGGTGATGCCATGGTCGGTCCAGCCTCATTGGAGCTGAACACGGCTGTAATCCTGGCATGGTATTCTTGGTCAGTCCTCAGGCCTTCCAGGACAGCAGTCATCTTGGAGCCATCCACGGTCAGTCGTTCCCAGACGGTGGCCGGGTCACGGAATTCCTCCGAGTCTGTGTATTCTATCCTGTATTCTGCCATGCAAATTGGATTTTAAAATATGCAACAATTCTTTTTTTAGTCCTGACAATTTATTTGCGAACTTGACTCTTTGCAGGGAAAACATTTGGTACATTGTTTAAATTGGGTTATTTCCAGTGTTGCTATGGTAGCAGTGTCCATGTGGATACTTTACTGCATTTAGTTTTTATTTGTCCAAAAAATAATAATAAAAAAGGCAGTTCAGTCACAGAATTTTTAAGTAAGTACAACTCTCAAGTGATCATTATTCGTGAACAAATCATGGAATTTTGTGTCACGCATCTGCTCCAAGTCAATATACTATTATAAAAAACTGAACACTCTAGTGATTTTATCGCATCCTGCAAAAAAATTAAATAAATAAGAAAAAAAAAAAAAAAATTGTGCCCTCATAGCTTACCTGTGACATCCTGTCTCTCAGGTGGAGGGAGCCAATTCAGGATTGCCTTGGCTGAAGTTGGGCCGGCTACAGTCACTTGAGTAACGGTGAATCTCGCTGGTTGGGCACCTTTTGCTTCAAAAACAACAGGTATTTTATTCCTAACGATTCCTAAATTAATAATAATAATTTGGGAGGCTAATCATCCTTACTCGCAGCTGGTATGCTGAATTGCAAAGGATGCGGCTACAACGTGGTCGGGCCGCTGGCTTGTAAAGGCGCCCATGGCAGCCAGCCACATCGCGACAAATATGACCACAGAGCACAGCCTGAGATCGAAGTGTTTGATTTTTCCAGAGGGAGGAAAAGCGGAGGGCCCAAAAAAAACCCCTCGTGGCACAGGAGAGAACCAACGCACAACTCTACTCACGTATGGCACGTATGGCCCGCGGCCGGGATTCGAACCAGGGCCACAGTGGTGTGATGCGAGCGCTTTACGCACAACCCACCAATGCCACTCAAGGGTGAGTGAAAAATCTAATTAAAATTGGAGGATACAGGACTGTTAGGGCCAAATGGTCAAAAAAATGGAGTCAAAAATAACCACTAACCTGGGTCTCTAGATGTCACAAACACTGCTTCGCTCACTTCACTCCTTCGCTGGGGGTCCAACACCAACTGCACGGCAAACTCGAACTGGACGCCAGGCAGGAGAAAATCTACCATGTAGTTGGTGTCACGGGTCCGTTCCTCTAAAAATCTGAGGTACGGAGGGGAAAAAACATCAGTACCAGAGAGAGAAGTAAATTTTACAAGTTATGAAAAAAAATTACAGAGTGCGATTTGAAAAAAAAAACAAAAAACAAACTATAAAATTATGAAAAAAAGTCTTTGAGGATTCCTTCAAGAAAATTCCAACAAGCTCCGAACAGTTTCCACATAGGATCCTATACGTGATGCTTAAGGATTTGAAGATGGGTCATTGTATCAATTTGGGGTCCATTTTTTCCTGTCCCCGTTACATCTGACATCTATGATTATATAATTCTGATGCACTTCTTAATGTGTGATTTCTCCAAGAGTGATTATGAACAGCAAACTAGCTACCCAGAGGCAAGTTCAGAGATAACAGGGACAGGTAAAATGTCACACTCTGAAACATAAATTCTATAGAATGACCCTGATGCCTTATAAGATAGCCAATACAGGCCAATAGGTATCTTGAAAGATCCTATAGGAACCAAAAACCTATAAAGATCCTATAGGATTCTTTTACAACTTTTATCTAGAAACAAATTTTTTATTTTTTTTTAACTTACTCTCTTTGGAGTGGGGAGCGATAACGAACGTTGTAGAAACGATTGTCGGTGACGAGTTGAGAGTCTCCAAGGGTTTGATCGACCCAAGAGATCCGGGCTGAGGTCGGGGAGAGAACGGTAGCTGCTACGCTGGTTGGGGGTGGGATCACCTCTAGACGGTTGATACAAAAAGTGTGATCAATCAATATTATCTTTCATTTCTACTAAAATTTTATGATCGATTTTATGATATATAATGAAAATTTTATGATATATGGTTGTCACATCTGTCGTCATGATTACTGATTACTTCATTGATCATTTGTTTATCAGTGAGATCATAATCTAATCATCAAGATCACCATTGAGGTTATTGCAGGGATGCAACCGGACGCAGGCATTTTTTTGCAGGAAACTTGAGGCATACACTAGCAGTCAGATCAGCCAACATTCCAGAAAGTTTGCATTGCTTTCCCTCAAGCCATGACCACTGCACATGACCACAGGCATCATTTTTGCTTTGCGTGGCCATTAAGCTACAATTTGTCCCTTTTTTCATTTTTCTGCTTGACACTAACCAGTTCACATCGGATGACGTGTATACATGCAAAGGTTTTGCGGTATTCGGAACTGATGACGGATAAACACGCAACGAGCGGGGCCGGAAATATCTGTCTGCAACCCGCTCGCAGCGAGCAATGCCGGAAACATCAGGGTGTGCTACCCGCAGATGGCCTGAACCCATCTGGCATCAAGGTTTGTGAAAAAAAATCCCGCACCTGGGTCCGGTCATGTCAAACTAAATCCTGCCACGAACTTGTTAAGCTGCCATATTTTTTGGGCTTTGCGCGGACATTAAGCTACAAGTTTTTCCCTTATTTGGGCTGCTTTGTATGGGCACTGAGCTACCGGGTTTTTTTTTTGGGGGGGGGGAAGGAGAATGTCATGCAAACTTCAAACGAGGAAAAAACCTGCCTCTTTGGATGTCCTCTGCTGGAGTCGCGGCAAAACCCCCTAAAGATATTTGAAACAAACTGGTATCTTGAAAACTTAAGATCAAGGGCGCTAGGTTTTTGGTCACCAACAAAAAGAAGATGCTCACATCTCCATAAAAACTAAACAACTATCGTTAGATGACTGCGACAGTTATATATCATAGCTATAACTGTTTTTATCACCTTTTCAAAGTACTTAAGTGTTGTATACATAGGTTTATAATGGTAGTTAAAATAAGTAAAGACTTGATAAAAGCAGAGCTTATTGCAGGAAACAAAACTCTTTACAGCTGCAAAAGAGGGCTAACCAGCGCAACATTTTTGTAAAAGCTTCTACTGGGGGCAGGAAAGTTTGGCAGCATTTTTTCAGCCACGCTACTGGAAAAAGTTCCAAAAACATCCAAGCTGCACAAGACTTTCTACAGTTTTTTCTTCTCCAATTTTTAATGGCACACACAGGAAATATAAAATTAATAAAAAAAAATAATGCATGCCTGATTCAAACCAAACTAGGACAGCACAGAGATTTTTCTACAACTCATCACAGCGGGAAAACGTTAGACCAACAGAGATCTATCGAGCCTAGTAACTCACAACCTTTATCAGAGATCAGAGGGAAGACATGTACAGTCACATAGAAGGATGCACGGTACTGTTGGATGCAAGACTGTCTATTCTATCAACCATCAAGAAGCACATGCAGGACCCACAACAACACGAACATGTTTTGCAATCCATGGTAGAGTTACTAACCCTCTACATCACATGAGTAAAGAAATACTGAAAAAAACACTGAAAGAAAGCTTGTCTACAAACAACTCTTAACGTCAGTAGCTCAATAGTGGGGATGCAGGCAGGGGAAGCCTAGCGGGGGTCACACATTGAAGCATTACGACAGCAGGTATATGCTACCTGGCACGGACACCGGCCCCTGGGAACCGGTATCTGGGTTTCTCCTAGGGTTCCGATTGCAACCTTCCGTCAGGAACATTGTCCGGACGTCGGCCACCCGGCTGCGATAGCCCTGCTCCTCCATGCAGTCATCCTGCAGTCGCTGGAGGCAGTTGAGGTACTGCAGGATGCGGGGGCAGATGTCGCCTTCCCCGCGGGGTCTGGACTCGAACTGTTGGATGCACCGCTGCTGCTGCGCACATCGCTCCTCTGCATTGGAACCATTGGGCACTTCTTGGTTCTCACAAGAGCGACAGTTACATGTACATGTTTTTCACTAATCGGGGCAACCTATCTCTCCTTACAGGCATGCAAGACTAGATCAGTTTTTGTTTCTAGAGATGCTTAAATATCGACAACCCTTGTTTAGCATAAATATACAGCCTGCAGGTGAGGCACTAATTTGGACTTAGCGCACATGAACTCCCTCACAAGGGGAAAGTTAGGAGGGAATCTTGAACACATTACCCTGTATGCCTAGTGCGCACACGAAACGATACAAGTTTGCGCGCATTCAGAATAACTTAATCGTGCTCAGTGATCATGCAAGTTGTCCGTTAAACAAAGCTCTCATGAGTCGTCATGAAGCGCCAATTACTGTTCATACATATTGAGCGGATGAGGCACCGTCACTTATATATTCTTCCTATCAAGACTGGCCAACAGGTGTTTTTTTAGCCCACTACCGTCCAGAAACCACAGGCCTTGAGATCTACATTGCCACAGGCACTTTCAGGGGGTTTTGAAAATTTAAGCCAAATGCAAAACATTAATGAGTGTTTTTTTTAATTTTCAAAATACATACGAGAGAATTGAAAACAAGATTGGAGAAATAAAATCAAATGTATTACATATTCCACAATGTAACTTTCTCTGTATGTGACCCAAGCAGGCATACAATCATTTCATAAATCTTTGAGGAAAAACGATAAAAAAGTTATTTGGGGGGAAATTTGAAATCTACCTAACACCTTAGCATCTAGGATCAGCCTATTATTTCAAGAGAAATATCTGATTTTAACTTCTGGCAATCCCAGAAACTCGGACATTATTCGTATCTTAAAGTGTCACAACTGGAAGTTAAAATTCAAAATGCAAGATGCAAAACACAATGCAAGATGCTATCACGAAAAACGTACGACAAGACAATCTAAACTACTAAAATGCACTACAACTACTGAGACACACTCACAGTAAGAAAATTAAAAACATACCTGGTGGTGGAGCTGAAATAGTAAAGGGGAAAAAAGAAAGAAATTAGTCTTCTGGAATGAAAAAGTAATTTTAAGAATGCTCTCTTTATATACACACACATTTGGTAGTGTGTGTAAAGACCTGTACAGACATGGACTGAAGATTTGAAAATTTAATGACCATAATTACAAAACAGTGTGTCCAGATAGGCTGCCATTTTGCACATTTACCAAGCGTGAATGACTCTACCAGGATACTAAATTTTAAACCAATCAGTCATTGCATTCTGGCATTAGAAGGGGGGGGGGACCCGTCCGAAAGTAAGAGGAACTGAAAAACCATGGCTCTTTTAGGGTAAGAAAAAAACACAGGGAAAAAGCTTACTCATGGTCTGTAGGCTTCTAGACACTGATTCACTCTGCCCGGCACTGTTGAACTTGAAGACCCTCAGGTAGTAGAACGTGTCCGGCTGCAGGTCCTGGATCTCCACAGATTCCTCTTCCGGTCCTACCTCCATGCTGCCTCCATCGCTGGCTGACCGGTCACGCCCGTAGGTGACCCGGAATCCTTCCGTCTGCTCGGCCGCTACGGCCTCGTTGACCACCCACGGACGACAAGGGTGGTAGGGGAGGAGCTGTAGGTCAGTACCCCCTGGGGTGGGGAGGGAATGCCTGGGGAAGTAACCCAGAGAGAGTACCAACTGGACAGTTCCGGTCGATTAAGTGACCATTCCCACCGAGCCCACTTATCCAGCCTGCCCGACCCATTTGCTGGGTCGGCAACAACTAATTCGGAGAGTGTTAGGACTGGCAAGTTCTAAAACTTTGAACAAATTAGCTCAGGCAATATCGAGCTTTTGCAAGAACTGTTTCTATAAACGTTTAATAGGTGGTGTTACAGTCAAGTCCATCACACAGCCAGTCATAAGTAAATCAAGGGCGGATCCAGAACACAATTTTTTTGGGGGGGGCCCAAAAAATTTTTGGTCCCCCCAAAAAATTGGATTCTAGATGCTCTGTGGTGCGATCTGAGGCAATTTCTGACCACTTTAACCAATTTTTTTTGAGGAAAAGATGGTGGTGTACTCATTGCCTGCCTTTATTGCGATGTCACATTAACAAAAAAAAAAATTGGTTTCGTTTTTTGGGGGGGGGGGCCATGGACCCCTTTGGCCCCCCCCCCCCCCCTGGATCCGCCCTTGAAGTATATCACAAGCCCAGTCACAGATAACAGGGGATCACTAATAACAAAGAAATTCCCTTTTAATAGTTCATTTCTTCCTCTGTCATAGTTCATTTCAATAGCTAGTGACTTGACTTGGGACTGGAGGACTTGTAATTGACTGTGAGGACTTGTGATGAACTATACAACACTGGTTCTCGGCGTACATGTGCCAGCTTTTGAAAATGCTGTTTAGTATCCTGCAAGTCCTTTGACAAGCTAAGCCCAGGCGCTGCATTTTTGCGTGCACATGCATTCTGTAAACAATGCCTTGGCCAGCCTACTTTTTGTGTCACTCTTTCGTGTAATTTTTGTCATTTCAAGCAGCCATACTCTGTAAAAACTATGAATACATCACTGACACTAAAGACCACTTACTCAGTGGTTCTGGCGGTGCCTGTTGGAGCCACTCAGTGGATTTCACCTCTCCATCTCCGACGTCATTATATGCCTGTACGGTGACCACGTACTCCGAGCCCGTCTTCAAACCGTCCAATTCTTCCTCCGTATCGTCGGGCCCCACGCTAAACAGCGTCAGTTCCCCGCTGGCCGTGCTAGTCAGGCCAAAGCCCACGATGTAGCCTGTCACTTCCGCCTCACCTTCGGGCCTGGTCCAGAAGACTCTGGCCGTTTCGGCCGACGTGACCTCCACATTGACCTGAGCTGGTGCGGCAGGAAGCGGCTTGCTAGGAAGAACTGAGGATCAAACAGAACTAAGCTAGATTCTCTTAGACAATTGGTCTTTGTAACATTACATGCAACTATTTGATTATTATAACTTTTTCAGCAAAAGAACATTAGTTATGTTCTCAATGAGAGTAGGGATTGACTGTTTGATATAAGAATGCAAGAAAGGGTTATTGTGAATAGGATATGTCCATACCAGATTTGTCTAGGGCATTGGCTATGGTTACTACTGTATCTTAGCAATGGTAAAGCCCAATCATAGCCAGAAAATTCCTGATTCGGACACTGCCCTAATAGCACAGGTATAAGAAGAAAAACCAAACATTGAAGCCTTAAAAGTGACTTTGTGGACACTTTTTCTTGTGGGGTAAAGAGAACAAAAACACAGCTTAATTAAAGGTGTTATGACGACATACCTACAGGGTCCGGAGCAGGTTGTGTCCATGTTGTTGATGTGGTTTCACTCTGACCGACACTACTGACCGACTTGACCTTGAAGACGTACTCTTCATCCGGAACCAAACCGGTCAGTTCAACCAGCATGGTGCTTGGCTCCACGGACCCGGTAGTCAGCTTACCGTCCGGGTAGCTTGACGGTCCGTACAGGTAGTCATAGCGTGTGACACTAGAGGAGGTAGGACTCCACATCACAATGGCGGTCTCGGGGGAGGATGGGTTGGCTTTCAGGTTAGCTGGGGCAGTCGGGGCTCCGGCTTGTATAGATGGGTGAACAAGCAATAAGAGTGTAGTAAATAAAACACACATTTAAAAAAAACCTCCCGCAGAATTTTCCTGAGAAGAATCCTGCAAAATCCAACTGTTGAGTGAACCAATTAGCAACTGAGCTATAAGTACACTAATAGTAGCTGAGGTGCATTCATCAAACTACTGCAAAACATGGTGTTGGATTTGGATAATTGTGATGAGTTAGGGCTACAAATTAAACAGAAAAGGCTGGCTTTAAGCTTGTTTTTGTTGGGTGGGGGTTCACAATAAAAATGGGACCATATATAAAGCTTCATCCATTAATACTTTGAACAAGTGTTTGCAAAGTGCTAAAAAACGGTGGAGAAAAGAAGTTTATACAGACCTGCAAACTTGACCACTGGATTAGCCGCATGCCTTACTTTGTACCTAATTCAATGACTAAGGTTTTGTTGTGATATACTATTTAAACATACTTGTAAAAAAGACCGATTCAGTAGTCGGTCGAGTGTTTCAGCAAAATCTGCTTATGTGAGCAATATTTTATGGGTTAAACTATTACAATTTAACAAGAACGTGTACAGTTTTGTTTCTTGCCCATGCTTGACAGCCATTTTCCAGAAAATAATTCTATCCACAAAAGTTCTGTATGCTTAAAGGGAATATACATCATTTGCTTTTGCTGTAATTTTCAGAAATGGATGGAATTGGGGGGTTGGAAATATATAGGAAATATAGTTACAGTGACTTTTTTGAGGTTTTGAGTTCGAAAATGCTATAAAAACCAAGAAACACAATCATTTTCCTGTAGTCTGGTTCCCTGACTCCATTTAACAAGAAACAGAGCAGTTTACATATATTGGGGAATTGTAAGGTCAGGGAACCAGTCTAGCTGGCTTGTACCCGTTCATAGGTGTGTAATCGATTGCAAACAAGTGCGATGGCCAATGGGGGCCAGTATTTGAAAAAAAGCCAGTTTTATCCAACGCTGATCGGCCGATCAGCGTTGGAAATTGATACAAAAATACCACTTTTCTTGAAAATGACAGTATACCAGGTGCCATGATTTTACAGGATGCTTTACACTGTCATTCACTAACAGTCCAGCAAGGTATTTCAAAATGATTTGGTAGTTTTATTTTTTGATGTTTGCAAATGTTGTAATGTCCCTTTAAAAGGAATGAAAAGCATTTCTGTCAAGTGTGATTCCTGTCAAAACTTCACAGCCACACAAATTTGGATTCAGCCATTCTATCCAAATTCTTGAGACTGCAACCCAGTTTCGGTCTCACACCTGCCTAGGTCAACAACAAAGAAAAAGTCAACTACAAAAAAGTTATGACTCCCCATTGACTTTCGACCGCAAGATGTCAAAACAACCCATCATCTAATATGCCCCACGTTACCATGCAGGCCGGATCAAGCCTTTCTCTTAAGGGTGCGAACTGAACTAGTTTTGGTAATTGACTGTCTAGACTGAAGTTTCGGAAAAAGCCCAGAAGGCATTCAACAAAGACAGTAAAGGTAATGAAATAAATGTACACCCAACCCAAACTACCCCTGCATGTAGTAACACCAAACAAAGCTGGGAATTTGGTATGTATATTCTGGGCCAACTGTTATTTCCCATGTTTGACGCAAACTGAAAATTATCTGGACACAGACCTTGCTGATAAAAAGCCCATCAAAATAAAATAATTCTTCTCGAATTTATTCTCCCACACACTATTCTGCTTGGTATAAAACCATATTTGACTTATAATGCATAGTTGATTATTTGTTTTTTGTTCAAGTTTCACAGATTGTCTGTTTCTGCTTTTTTCTTCTTCTGAGAACTAAAACTCAACGGACCAATCAATCAATCTTTCAATATCAATAAATCAAGTAATTAGGCCCTATTACCCAAAGAAATTGATAATCAAGGTCAGTAGTTGAAAAATCAAAGGTTTTTTTTAGTTTACAATGCAACTGAATTTCAGAAACCACAATAGAAACATGGACCAGATTCGCATAACTTAGGATTGGGGTGGGATTAGGATGGGGATTTGGGTGGGATTAGGATGGAGTGGGGATTAAGGTATGGATTGCGGTGGGATTAGGGTGAAGATTGGTGTGGGGATTGTGATGGTGTGGGATTAAGGTATGGATTGGGGTGGGATTAGGATGGGGATTGGGGTGGGATTAGGATGGGGTGGGGATTAAGGTATGGATTGGGGTGGGGATTGGGGTGGGGATTGGGGTGGGAAGAGTAGGGTGTTACACTTCATACCTTGGTACCACTGGTAAAACGCCTCTTCACTGGTTTCCCCACTAGCGACGGCTGCCAGGGTCACCAGGTAGCTGGTACCCGGCTGCAGGTCAGACAGCAAATACTGAGTCAGTTCGGTAGGCAGGTCCATCGTCTGCAGCTCGTTCTCATTGGGGCCGTATTTTAGCTGGTAACCAGTGATGCAGAAGCCGTTGGTTGGTGGGGACCAGGTGACCCTTGCCGAGTCGCTGGATGGGATGGCGTTAAGGTCCTGGGGTCCAGAATGCACTCCTGTTTGGTCGCAGAGTTTGAGGATCAAATGATTAAATAACAACAGTATTACTTTTCAATTAAGAGTTCTTAAAAAAATACCTCAGTTTTTGAAATATACTCGCAGCTCTGTGGGCTATGACTTTAATAACTGCTTTGGGTTTAAAATAGACACATATAGCCCACATATAGCCTAACTAATTGACAATCACTTTTCACAAGAAAATTAATGATCAATGACGGAAAAGCAAACCAGTTTTTAAATGATGGGGAAACAGATGATAAAAGTGGATAAGATTAATGAAAGAATAAGTGAACAAACAAAAAAAACGCAATAAAGGAACAAAAGGAATTCACAGGAAGTACGAAAGGAGAGAAAAAAAGGAAAAACAAACAGAACAACCAACCATCAATTTACAAAACCAAAAAACGAGAATCACAAAAGAAACCGTACTGTCGACTTGACTGAAGCTGCTGTAACGACTCATGCCCTTGGAAGAAGCCGTGGACATGCGAATTAAATAGTTCCCGCATGGTTCGGCCAAATCTGAACACAAGAAAAAACACACACAAATATAATCAACAATCACAGTATTTTCATTCGTTTTTCTCCCTGGACAAGAGATAAAGCAGGGATCTGTATCAAAATTTCTGAGGAACCTGCAAATTCAGGGCAGGTCTCATGAACGTTGTGAGGAGGGAGGGGTGCCCCCTAGAAAAAAAGGGAGAGAAAAAAAGAAAAAGAGGCGCGAAGTCATATTGCTGTTTATTTAATGGGTGGGGGGCCAAATGTCCCTGCCCATCCTCTAAAAAATGGTAAATCGAGAATATGCTGGAAAAGTACAGGGATTCTGGAGGGGGGAATGTGCTTTGGCCCCCTCCAGAAAAAAAACCTGGCGACGCCCATGGAAGCTCTGTGCAATTTTCTGATAGTAAACCAAATTTGTCACTTGTTCACATTTACTGGAATCTTTTGGGGTACTTGTACCTTCGATTTCATAAGAGTTGTCAGCTTTGGCTTCCACCTTCAATTTAATCAGGTTGCCGCCGGCCAGCTTGTACTGCAGGCGGAAACCCTTGACGGTGGCCCCTGGGTCAAGGGTCGGGTCGCCCCACTCCACTCGGATACTGGTTGGGGATGTGAAGAAACTGGTGAATTCTGGCGGCTCAGGTCCTGCAGAAAGATTGATTATACGCACCTTATTGAACACAGAAAAGATAGATGTTGACGTTTTACTTATGGTTCCCCCCCTCCCTGCTGCTTTCTGATCCGTGCCATAAACAAAATATTTTTGTTCGCACAATCAAAATTTATTCACTTTTGAAAGAGAACTTGAATGAACAATCCAACCCTTGTTTGATCATGAAAAAAAATACTTTGCAAGTTTGAAATATGTTTATGACATTTCAAGCAGATATTTAATTTGTGCCAAGCCTAAACTAAGGATGCAAAAGTAACCCCAACCAAGATTCTTTTCATTAGGGTTTCAGAAACCCTTAAAAGAAAAACAAAAGAAGCAGGACAAAAGAAATTGTAGCCTATTGTTGAAGAACAAAAGAACAGCAAAGTTAAAGGATAATTGGAGAAGGGGAAAAATATGGTGAGAGGCAGATTTTGTATCTACTCACACATTTCCCTCTTGGCTAAAAATTATTACTAGGCTGAATCACTAATGCCAAGAACACAAGTACATTAAGACACATACATGTACTTTCTGACAGATTTGTTATGCACACAAGACATACTTGTAGTTTTATAAACCACAAACCAGCAATATGTCTCAGTGGAGATGATTTTATTTTGGTTGATTTTAATAGAAGTGGTTCTTTCATAGAGAAAAAAAACCACCAAATTTATCTATGGTTTTATCAAGCTCCAAATGACAATCCAGGACTGAAAGGTAAAGACCGCTTCAAGAACTGGAGTCAACAACTGTATAAAGCCATGACCAGCCAGTTCTACACCTGATAATCGACACCTGTAGCCCAGACCTTACAAGTTATAACCAGCTTAGCCTATGAGATATGATGACCTTAAGTCAGTGGGGTATGACAGCATGAGATAGATGAGATGTGGTCTGACTCCTGGCATGCATGCAGACAACTAGAGCTGAACGAAACCATGGAGCTCTAGCTCGAAACCATGGAGCTATAAAAAGGAACCAAACCAAGTGCCAAGATATATTGTACCCTGGGTCATGTTTCGGAACGGCAGGTGGTTCCCTCCCATAAAGTTGGGAAATATATCTGTTGCTGCTTATAAATTACATTTATCATGACACTTTTAGATCAGCAAAAAGTCCTCCAAACTCAAGCTTGAGTCTTGATTGAATCTTGATCTGAACTGCCAATAAGTGTTGTTTATTGCAAAACCAGGTGTTTCGGAATTTCTTGTACAGATGAAAACATCAACTCTTTCTGGGAAAGTCTGAATATCAAATGTGATGACATTTCTGGAAAATTCAGGAATATGACACCATGTTACAGAAAGAATTTCCTCCATATCCGCTTTATTTCTAAAGCTTGTAGGGAAAGGAGTGCCAACAGTATCAGAGTACAATTTACAAAAAAGGAATTTGAAATGGTACAGATACATTGCTGAAATGAAAGTAGCGTTATTGCTGTATGTGTTGAACCAGTACTAGCAAGTTATAGGCCTAACGCTGTTTGGGTGCATTTATTATTACTTGGGTATTTTTTTTTTCAGCACTAAATTTTTTTCCAAGAAATGTTTAATGTTTTCCCCAGTGAAGTGCAAGGTGCCAAACCAAGCATTCGAAAATCCTCATAATTTACCTGAAGGCCTAGTTGAGAAGGTTAATGGACCATCAAGACAACTGTCCTTGACGCCCAATTCAGTTCAATACTCTGCTTTGCCTTGCCTTGCTTCTTTGACTTTGTTACAGGCAGTTCTGACAAGCTTTAAACTTGCCTCAAACGATATCAAGGCATGCAAACAAGGTCGACTAACCATGAAAACCAATGCTCTACACTGCAGACACTGTGTTACTTCATGTGAACCCTTAGGCACAACCATGGAGCTAATTTCAAAGGGGAGGACAGCTGATTTTTTTTAGGGAGGGTAACTGAGGAGTTAATCACTTACACAGAGATCAAACGCCTGATGCAATAAATCAAGATATGTCAAAAAAATTTGTTGCATTTTTTTTTTAAACATGTTACTCTTCATAATCTGCACTCACACTTCAATCCCACCCCATCCAATGCAACCCTTAAACTATTTTTTAGAAACGAAATAATTTGAGGGGCTCTTTTTTGAGAACCATTCAGAATTTTGATTCAGAGACCCAAAATTATTTTCAATCAAAATTGTAACAACAGAGTTTTACCCTTTTTAAAATACTCAGGTTAGACAACACATGTGTATGACATTCTTTATACACCTACGCCTTTTACAAAACATGTGGGCCTATATCAGTGACTGTCAGTAACTCAATTACTAGGAATAACGGTCCCAGTCTAGAGATAAAGGGTTTAGGCCTGCTATTTTATTACACCCCTCCAGGTGCTTAAAGTCACCTCAAGAAGTAATAAATTGATGAATGGGGGCTTGTTTTAGAATGGTTCTTACTATAAGGTTTCACTGGGGTGGAAAGTTGAAAGATTATTTCAGTTCTATAATAAAAGTGCTGCCTCAGCAGTATTGTAATGTTATTTGCGGTTACTAGCTCTGCGGTTAAACAGAACGTACGTACACCCCCCCCCCCCCCCTTTGAGTTGCTGATTCTTGCAGGAAGCCAGCTTTTTTTTTTTAACAAAAAGAAAGTTTGATTAAGAGTGATATCTGAGAGTAGGCAAGAAATGATAAATAAAAAGCACCCTTAGCGGGAAAAAAAAGTACTATCAAAACCTCACTCCATAATAAACAGGACTTGGTTATTTATGGGGTTTGGAAAGCCCTGCGACCTTAACCACCCACTTGAACCCCGTAGTGTACAAGAATCATTCAATCAATCAATCTAGTTTTATTTCATAACTTCATAATGAAAACATATACAGTACATAACTTAATAGATAAACAAAACATAAAAGTAAATGACAAAGATAAGTAACAAAGATAAATGAAAAGCAGAGAAGTTATAAGGAAGTTGTAAATGTAAGAAGTCCAAGGACTTATGAAACACTCCCTTTTAAACCCCCCACATACCATATACCATGGAGACTTCCTAGCTCCATGCATATACCATACTGCACACCTGTTGGGGGTACCATACCCCATACCCGCACTACAACAACCATGGTCCGTGGTCCAAACCAACAGTCCTTTTTACCTTTACGTTTGGACGTGACCACTTTTCCTTAATAATATAACCTGAAACATTTCCAAATATTTAAAAGAAAATAAAAAGAAAATGTTCAGGACTCTTATAAAGTTTGTAAACAACAACCAAAGTTTCATTAGTACGCTGTAAAGCCAATAAAATAAGCAATTTCGAAAGTAGTCATGACTTGGACTTGTAATTACAATTTGCTCTCTGCACCAAATTGGAAACTTCAGTTCACGAACGCAAACTAGAGAAAAACGTCTTATTGATTTATTCATAATACACATTTACATGATTTAAGAACTTACGCCCTTCACACGACGCCAGGATCAGCAGTAGTGTTGACAAACACAGCATCAAACCAGAAGAACATGGTATTATCGCCATTTTGCTGAGGTCAGGGAAGGAGCAAGTTGCACCTCGGAGAGCGAAATTTCCAGCAGTGCCGATGTCTAGAAAATGCCACAGCTGGCTAGCTACGTGCTAGTCAAGGCCGGAAGGCTCCATTCTTTAATAGGGAAGGCCAATATATCAACCCCCAAAAGGGCGGGGTAAACCCGGGGTAAACCCGAAACAAACAAAGGAACCCACTTTTTTGGAAATATATCAGCCCTGAATGTTTAAACTTTCACTTTTATCTCACGCACATTTTCAAATTCGTTTGGATTGGATTTTAACACATTTTACTCAGCATAAAGATCACCCCTGTGGAAACTTTTTGGTTTCGTTCAATGGAGATTTTTCGATACAGCCGCGCAGCACGCATGATGTGCATTTAATTTAGGATGGGTTAATTTTATAATCACCAAATTTAACGAAGAGAAATTAACCGAAAATAGATGGAGCCCATATTAGTGGAAATTATGTATAGTTCGAAGGGTCTGTAAAGCAACCTCCGCCTCATAGTGGATGGAGTATAAATAAACCCAGTTGACTTTTAAAGAGAGTTTTGAGAAACAACTTTCCGTTTTCTTCATTTATATGCATTTTGTTCGTAATAAATAAATCTGTCCATAAAAGAAACAGCTGGTTTCAGCTAGCTAATAACGCAGAAGTAATTTGAGGGCAAAAACGGTCGGTTGATGGGCTTTCTAATTTTAATTCCAACTCAGATTGAAGGGGATACTTTCGGCCATAGAAGACGGCCAAAAGAATATTTAAGCAGGGACTCCCTAAATCCTCCCAATACAGACGCAAGAGAAGAACGTCAAACAGATCGACATCATTTTTTTTTTTTTTTTACAAAAGAGCTTGTTTTTATTGTCAAAATTATGCCACGTGTTACTACAGATTGAAACCTGACTCAAGCCCAACATACAGAACAAGCCGTATTACTCCCATCAATACAACAGTGTTACCTTATGTACATGTATCAAGTGTGATTCAGTTGAAAAGGAAATACGATTAGCCCTATAGTACCCCATTTAATCTATATACAGAAGAAATAGTACAATTAAATAAGCTGTACTGAAGAAAGGAACATTTCGTCAAAGCGTCCTGTGCGCTTCTTAAGGATTATTGTCCATGATCAAGTCGAAATGTTCTTGCAGCATCCATAAAAGTACGGAAATTATGTGTGTGGAGTTTACCAATAATGCAACGATATAATGCATGACCCAACGCCATCCGTTTCAACATCGCCATTACGCACAGATGTTTGGCCTGTCGTCTTTTTCATTTGAAACGTACACTCTCTACTCAAAAATTCTCGGCACTTACAATTTAACAGCGGAACTTGAGAATGAGCAATACAACCTTAAAGGAACCAATCGTTTTTTTCACCGATACAAGTTCTCTCAGACTAACTCTTTCGCTGAGGAATTTCCGTAAAAAACAATACTCATTCTTTACAAAGTTACTCGACTTATGGGATATTGCAAAAATTGCTCTCACGTCGAATATTTTCTTCGTAACGACGGCTCTGTGGGAAAGACAGTGGCACGTTCACTACTGGACTCTGACCCCGACCAAAACAATTATCACATTTGAAATCCTTGATTAACAAATGAAATCAAACCAATTTCTTAGCAAATGTTAATTTAAGGAATACCTGTCCCACATTAAGCGACTCCTGTCAAACTGTTGTATTTATGTACCTAATTTTAGTCATTCTCTTTACGATTACATTGTCTGGCATGATTCTGTGTACATGCATTTTAGTACTATAAAAACGATATCATATCTTAAAGCTCAGTCATAAAATCAAGCAAAATACAGGGTCTATAGAAAATGGATATCCATCTCCAAAAATGTAATTTGGAATTTCCATCGAAATTGTTACGATATAAGGCCAATTTGGTATGGTGCATTCATCAACCTTTTGCATTAATACATTTCTTACTTCTACTACACTTATTTTGTTTCTCGATTCTCAATTTGTATTGGTCAGTGCATCTAAACAGCCTGAACGAAATCATTTGTATTGTTAAATTGTGTCATTAAACTAATCCTATACTACCGTCAACAATACTGCTGGGACAGGGGGCGGGGCTATAGAGACAGAATGGAGGAGGCAAATCAAAAGATTCCGTGTGAAAACAAGAGTCAAAGAGCAATGGACGATTCTACATGTCTTCTAAAAGATGAAATTCAAGATGCCCGTTTAAAATGACTGTTAGGGTGCAGCGTAAACTTTGCACTTATTTAAATACGCAAATAGTATTTACAAGCTTTAAAAAAATCCAGTTCCTTAGAATGAAATGTACATATAAAACGCATTAGTTTACTACAACTACAACTTCTTGACACAAATGAATAACAGGCATTGAACTTTAACCTTTGACATAGGCGGTGGTAGTTGTGACCTTTACTAGATATTGATTGCTTTTGTTTAGGTTTTGGTGTTTTTCTTGAAGGGGTTCCAATTCTGCAGACGTCGTGCGAAGCTATTGGACAAATATTCACAATTAAGATTCTTTCTGAATGCCATTTTTTTTTTATTTATCTCCTCCCATCAAAATTCATAAACTTGAGGTCATCCTTAGGCCATACTCGGGATAAACTTGGACATACATAAACCTTACACTTCAAAACAATCTACATGTATATCGTGAATTTCAGGCAAATCAGAGGTCAAAGTTCAAACCCTCTTATATCCTGTGTCAAAAATAAAACCATTAACAACGAAAATAAAACGAGTTGTTTTTATAAATTACAAAAACATCTACTACTTGCATAGCAACAACATAAGCAATCTCTTCTGGTCTGGCAAGTAAGCAACGACAGAATTACGTGGACAATCAAAATGACTGGATATTCTTTCTCCTCAAGACATTTTAGTACCTGATCCAGACTTAAATTGACATTAATTTGCATTGGATAGTATCTCAAGTAGTTGGTTTTTTTCTTTTCAATCGGTGATATGATACAAAGTCACAATACTGCCAGAACAACAAATTTGACTGAATATTTCTCAAAGATTAAAAATAAAATGCATTAAAACTGTATAACAAAATTAGAAAATAATTATAACCAGTAAAGTACTTTTCTTTCATAATTTGCAACTTACACTGCACCTATAGGTAGGCCTATATTATTATTTTTAAAACTTGATAAAACTTGATAAGATTGAATAAGTTAATCACACTGCCACCGGTAGTACAATATTTAACCATAACTTACGCACCATTACACGTTTAGGGAAAAACAAAGCAATAATTTAGAGTATAAAAAAATATATCAAATGCTGCAGTGAAAACGTCAGAAAAAAAACTTTTGAAAGGGTTGCTTTCAACGTTTGGGATTAAGTACTAATATTCATAATTGGCTATATAAAGAACAACGACAGTTTTTACATTAGTAACAGACTGCTGAAAGGCATTTGTACACGAACTAATATTCAAAACATAAGTACTTCTGTGTCACAAAGTGAAGAATAATGGTTCCTTAATATTGCCCCTATGCCTTTACAGTTTTGTCAAAAGGACAAAGATCAATACAAAAAAGGACACTGATATTCACTTTCAAACTTCACCAAAGATGTCTACTTATTTTAAATTCTGAACAGTATATGTAAATATTTTATGTCACTCTTATTTCCTTTCTTTAAAAACTCCTGTAAAAAAAAACGTAGCGTATGAAAACTAATTAATGTAAAAAGGGAAAGAAAAGAACAAAATTGGCAAGTATATTAGGGCTGTCGTGTTTCAGTTGAGGAGAAATCAATTCGGAGAAAGCATTTGAATTCGAAACTGAAGTGCCTCATTGATACTATACCGTGTGTGCATATGCGCTCACCAAGTACACGGTACACAATATTCACAAGAGCTGCAACGAAACAAGTTGGTAAAACCAATTCAGAATTTCACTTTTGTAGCTTTAAACCTAACTGCCTCAGAGTGAAAAGTTTGGCCAACAAAATCGTTTACATCCTACATGCATGTGTATAGCATGTAAATGTCTCTTCATTACATACGTAGAGACGTTTTTCATTTTTAAAAAAAAATAAGAGAAGTGTCTCTGCCATCTTTTTTTTTTTTTTTTTCAATTTCCATCGAATATCGCCCCTCCTCAAAAACCTAAAATAATTTAGGTGTCGAATTTATTTAACAGAAAGCCTTGGTAACGTTTGGCGAGTACTACACGTGTGCATGCATTTTTTTAAAAGCCAAAACATCTATTTCCATCCCGTTATTGTCACAAGAGGGCGCTGTATAGAATGAACAGTGGTCAATTGGCGACTGAAAACTGGTTCTGCTAAAAAGTCAAATTTAAGGGGCAGCAGTTTATGTACTTCAAAGAACACCGATTTGAAAATACATCATTGTATTCCCAAACCTAAAATACATTAGAAAAATGTTTTTCTTTACAAAAACCTGTCTGTTACGTCATCGTAACGATCAACACACAAAAATAAATACACCACTGGTAAAGTCTTTAAGAAAAACAGCACCATAAACCGGGGCAATCTAGCAAGAATTCTACTTAGTTGGACTGTCGTCTCCGCTCTTCTACATCTACAATTTGTAAGTAAACCCTGACGGACAGTATTTGCAGTATAAGTAATTTAGACTATTTCATTTTACAAAAATTGTGGCCAGATACAAAGTGCATGTGATTCCACTGACGTGGGTTAATTATTACGGTCGATAATAAAGCTACATTGAAAATTCATCATTTTGCTGACAAGCATTAAAAAAATTGCTTCCTAACTAAAATTTAATTTTTTTTTTCTGTGAAATATTTTGTGTTTGTGTAAAAAAATTCCAAATAAGACATATATTTACTTACAAAAAACATCAAAAAGTGCAGTGTCCTAGCCTTTTCCCTTTCAATCAGTACTTTCGGCAATTATCTCATATTGCTGTTTACACATTTTTTTTTGTCGCCTTTCCCACTTGCAAATTTCTGTAATCGTGTACAAAAGCTACAGGTGCGTTGTGGTCACTAATGCACCCCAAAAAAACACACCCTTAACAAAATATCAACTCAATTTAAACACCCCATTGAAAAGTTACTTCTGACGCCGACCCCTTATCTTACAAGCATTTTCACTATGTCAAACCTCGATCCCCCATTTATATCTCGTATAAAAACGGAGATACATTGGTCGCTTCACAAAAACCAGAATCATTGCATTAGTTCCACAAAAAGTTACAACAAGATGCATGTGTATTTACATAGGGTTCGGGTGTGGAGGTGTAAAAAGGGGGCGGGGAGGTGGAAGGGGGGTGTGGGGAGATCAATTTCTAGCTTTGTAGTTCTGAGGCGGTGATAGCATTCAAGTCTTTCATCAGACCTTCCAGGTTCAGCATCTCAGTGTTGAGATCCTCCGTGCTGAAGGAACGATTGGCTGCCTGAAAAACGAAAGAAAAGTTGCAGTTGACGTCAGAGTTGTAATTATATCATCTAAAGTCATTAAAAGTCCATGCAAGTCAATCACAAGTCAATCTTAAGTCAATCACAAGTCATCACAAGTCAATCACAAGTTAATCCCAAGTCAATCACAAGTCAATCACAAGTTAATCCCAAGTCAATCTTAAGTCATCACAAGTCAATCCCAAGTCAATCACAAGTTAATCCCAAGTCATCACAAGTCAATCCCAAATCATCACAAGTCATCAAAAGTTCATCCCAAGTCATCACAAGTCAACACAAGTCAATCCATGCTTGCTTTGTCACTGTTTTCTCGTGAAGTGTAATAGCCACTGGGATGAACTTCAACAAGTTAGGTTTGGAACATTTGTTATTGTTTGAAAGAAACAAAATGCATGAAGAGCAAATGATGCTACACGTCTTTAAGACCCTTGTTTTTCCCCAGACCCTCTTATCCACTCACCCCAGGGCTGGTGCCGTCCCCTACCCCTCGGTAGGTCACATCGGGGGCCCTAGGGGTCACCACGGGTAAAGGCTGGTGTCTAACTCTGGCCACGCCCGCCTGCTGGTTACGCTTCAGTGGGCTGTAAGCCGGCGCCTGGATCTTGACTGTAACATACAAGGTGGGAAACAAAAAAAAACCCAGTGTTGAAATGATGGGGTTTTTTTTAATCACTGCATGGCACTGCAAGATGACAGAGTTACTTCATGATCTAATGTACCTACAAAATGATGAAATAAATTTTAAAAAATAATTGACCTGCACCAAATTTTTGTTCCAAAATCATTTAAGCAATATACGCTATAGATTTTTTTATTATTGAATAACCCTCATTACCATTATCTATACGGTGCTACCGACCTTAAATAAATTCCATTTTGAAAATTATTAATTACTACATGTAATAATAACTTTCTGCAAATGAGCAAAGCTGTGAACGTGAATAATATGCCTGATATATGAGCACACAACCACACCTTTATATAAGAGTGCCTTAATATTTAATGAGGTATTTGAAAGCTAGAAATCTTAAATTGCCGAATGAGAAAAATCTGAGACTGTAGCGTGGGAAAAATGGTTTGGCTGATAGTATCAAGCCTACTAGAGCAGGTCAAAGGTCAAAGGTTAATAAATCCATCACCTTTTGCAGGCTGGTAGTTAGGAGGTGGGCCGGGCACACTAAAACTCGTCAAGGGGTTCCCGCCCCGAGACGTTGAGCCCTGCGTGCTTGACCCGTCGTCATGGGAACTGGTTGTGTTAGTATCGCTATGGTAACCTGAGGAAAGGTTTGAAAACAATTGCACTAGAAGTGAAGAGCGAGTTACCACCAAGAGAACCCAAGGAAGTGTTAATAATAAATATTAATAGAATTAGAAGAACCACACTGCAAAAATATTTTGAGTGATGCTACAGAACAAGCGTATCCTTAGTCTTGATCGCAGACTGGACTTGGTTTTATTCTCCTAAGAAGAGGGTCACTATTACTAGGATGAATCGAATATAGTCTTAAACTTTGGCAAGCGAACCTCAGAAATTCCGAGCATGCCCCACGTGCGCACATTAGCTTGAACACAGCACGTACGAGGTATGCTCAGGATTTCCTGGGTAGCGCTGTCTATGTTACTAAGACTGGATTTGACTCATCTCATTGATAGCAACCCCTTTTGGCTGCGGCCGTTTTTACCGCACTTGTCAGGGACCGGCTGTATTGGGGGAATAAAATCCAAATCCAGTTTTGGATCAAGACTAGCGTATCTTGGGAGATCTATGGCACATGATGTCATTTCACAAACCCAAGCACTAATGAACTTATGTGATTTATATCATGCACAGGAAACCATGGATCTCCTTTAGAGAGGATATTATGATTTTGGGCAAAAAGTTATGCAAAGTGCTAACCAATTTTTTTTTAATTCTGAAGAATGCCTTCTGCATGGTCATAAGGACTTGGGCTAAATTAAAAGGAAAATCCCCAAAACATAGAGTATTCGGATATAATAAACAAGTCACTCTAAGTATACACTGAATGGGCTGAAAGTACTGGAGACCTAACCTCAGCAGGCCAACGTTGTCTTCAAAACTTCTGACTATAAATTGATTGCTATTTGCCTTGAGGATTGTCCCTTCCAAACAATCAGATTGCATTACTTCTTCACTCTTTCCACTTTGTGAAATGCAGTGCCTACTTGACCCTACAACAGGGGTCATTCGACCAATGTCACACTGGCAGTTTTCTGACTCTATATCTGAGCCGACATGTTGAGGCAGCGCTCAAACCCTAATCTCTTTGTGCCAGTCTAGGATCGTGTACCTGATGACGTCGTGTTTGTAGGGTACATGTAAGCGGGGCGATCCATTTGGTGTTGCCTTTGGGAGGAGGTGTGGTAATCGTACCCGCCGACCGGCGATACGTGACGCTCTGTAGCGGCCATGTGGAAGGAGAGAAAGGGCAGAGGGCGGAGAAAAAGCATGCAAATTAGTATCAAAAGCTGTTAGTTTACCAGTGGGGGTGTTGGAGGAATCTGCAAAACCACGATGCATTGTGTATCACCACTTATTAATAGCTTTCTAATTCAAGATGCGAATTTTATTCATTCTAAGATTTACTCATTCTGAATTTCATGAATAAAAATTCATGAATATTTTGTCTTGAGATTTTTCTTTATTTTTCAAAGCGATGTGGTGTGTTTTACGCCACAGAAGATAATTTCTTTAAAAAAAAGTAAGCTATTTCCACACTGAACACAGCAATAAAGGACAGGGGGAGGGGTGGGATGGGACTTGCAAAATCATGTGTTTGTTAAAATGCTTCATCCACAACAAAAGGTTTAGGGTGACACAATGCATTGTGGGACACATTCGCAAAGTTTACAATGAAACCACACCCAGTCCAATTGCTTCCAAGATTAGAGAAAATGAAAGAACAAGGGGCAGAGAAAGTAACTGTGGCATTTTAAACATGGCATATTTGAAGGACCGGCGAGAAATTCTCAAATGGGCACAATTCCCAAATGGGCAAAATTTCCAAATTGGGCACAATTCCATTCCTGCCTTTCTCATCAGAAGTTCCTGCAAAAAATATAAAACATTATTTAACCTCCACCACTGTGAGTTATGAAAAACACCGATCAACAAAGACAAATTCAACCCACTCTTCGCAAAGTTAGGTTGAATAACCTGCTGGAGAGAGAGACGGTAATAGGAAAGAAAAATTTACAAGAAATGTTCCATAAAGTTGGAGAGAAGATAAGTAAATATCTCGTATACCATAAAGAAGACTACTGTTCAAGCAGCTTGAACATAAAGAATAAAAGTGTCATTTTATTATGAAGTTTTACAGTAATCAACTTTCCGTGTAAATTACCTGTAGAGAGAAAAAAAAATAGAAAACGGGATAAGAAAGGTTAGTTCACTGAGATAGACACCAAGTTTTAAAGCAGAAAGGATACCAAAAGCAGCGAAATACACAAGTAAATTTCCCACAACCTTGGTAAGGTAATATAGTAAAACTGGATGTTATAGCATTAAAAAATCACCAAGATAACTACAAATCCAGTTTTGGTAGAAAGAGAAACAGTTTTAGTGATAGCTTGAGAAGATTTCAACCAGAGTTTGGGATCTCTCAACTATTCGACAAATACCTTCACGTTCACGATCTCCAAACCTATCCAGTGAGCGTGAGCGAGAGCTTATCCCTCCATAGCCCCTGTCTCCAATGACACGCGATCTCCCACGCTGGGCCTCAGACCCAGCCGACATGCTGGACTCTCTGGTCTCCCGGGTCTCCATCTTGGTCTGGTACCCGGACATCAGATTGGAGCTGCTGTTGCTGCTGGGCCAGTAGCTGTCGTTGGCCAGTCCAAACTCGTTGTCCACGGACATGGAGCGGCGGAGGGGTCGGATCGGGGTTGAGAGGTCAAACCCAGCACCGAGGGAGGCGCTGGTGGATTGCAGGAGATCTATGGGAAAGTGAAATAGAAGGAAAAAAGTCAACGGTCAAAAAGTTTGTTGGTAAGCAAGGGTGTGTCAAGGTTGCTAAAAACAACAACTTCAGTTCAGTAACCTCCTTTGCTGTTGTTTTGCAAAGATGCTTTGTGTTCTGTCATGTGCACACCTGAACATTAAAGTGTTCCAAAAGACCTACACATATGCATTCTGTATAAAATTTTAAGAATTAGGTTACCAATTCAAAGCAATACACTGAAGTATGAGTTTAGTATGGTGTAAAAGACGCATGCATCTTAATCCATTTGTGTGTGAGAGCTTTAATTAGCTTAGTGCCAAACACTTGAACACATTGTATTACATTGTATTACACTGTACTCATTTCCTGCTAATTTTTCATAAAAGTATACAGTGCTAGGGGGTTTGGGGTGGTACAGGGAGTAACAGGTAGAACATTAAAGTGTTCCAAAAGACCTACACATATGCATTCTGTATAAAATTTTAAGAATTAGGTTACCAATTCAAAGCAATACACTGAAGTATGAGTTTAGTATGGTGTAAAAGACGCATGCATCTTAATCCATTTGTGAGTGAGAGCTTTAATTAGCTTAGTGCCAAACGCTTGAACACATTGTATTACACTGTATTACATTGTATTCATTCCCTGCTAATTTTTCATAAAAGTATACAGTGCTAGGGGGTTTGGGGTGGTACAGTGAGTAACAGGCACGGCAGTTTGGGACGGTACGGGGAGTAAAAGGCAAGGTGGCTTGGTGTGGTGTTGGGAATGTAAACGGGTTTAAGATGGTGAACTTCTAGATCCCATACACTAAAAGTGCTATTATGTCAAGGCAGACATGATGATTGCACACGACGCTTTTATCTCACCCGAATTGCTGTTGAACCTGCTCGGCGTCTGCACTTCGGCATGTTCCACCTCAATCAGCCTAGAGGGCGCCCCAGAGGTGCTGGCGTTGTTGTTGTTGAAGGAGAATTGGGAGGTCCCACCGTTGCCAACGTTGCTGCTGCCGTTGTAGGCTCTGAAAGACTCGGACGAGTTCTGAAAGACACTGGACTGGTAGCCGTTACTTGGGCGGGGTGGAGGGGCTGATAACCCACCTGTAAGGGGGAGAAAATAAGACCGTCAGGCAAAGCGATTGATAGATTCAGGAGCACAGTGAAGGACCGTAGTCCCTAGAAACCTTGACTTCACATGGAGCCTGATGTCCAAATTGTGAACCAAGTCAAAGGGTGTGCCATCAGTTTAAAGCAGAGAAATAGATTTAGGAAATGATTTGACTTTTTTCTAGCCTCATTATCTTGTCAGATACTCATTATGTAAGCTGCTACAAAGAAAGGAAATTTTGTAAACTAAAAAATCTGCATATCAATTGAGAAGTAAGTTAATATTCAATGCGATAATCCCACTTTTTATTCAAATTGCAACTAGGCACAAACTGCACAAAAGGAACTTCTAGGCACGTACTGCAAAAAAGAACAGTTTGTGATGCAAATCAGGAAGTATGACAGGCCAAAATTACCTGAAGAAGTCTTTCCCAGTGTACTTGCACCACCATAGGACCCAAACCCGCTGCCGTAGCTAGTAGGGCTTCCGTAAGCACTGTCAACATTGAGTCCTGTGGCACGATCGATTGTATGGAAGCCGGCACGCGGACGCGGACGCGTCACGCTGATCCCCGATGTCCCACCGTAGAGGTCTGATGCGGATCGTCCGTAGTTGTTGTCCAGCTCCTCGGAACGATAGGACTCATAATTCTGGAAGCTGGAGCTGTAGGGGGACGTGCTGGCAGCCGGGATGTCAATGGGGGAGGTCGTGCGTAAGTTGCCCCGGGGGTCCTGGGCGCTGAGGTAGGACTCGGATCCCCGAGTACGGTAACCAGTACTGTCCACGGAAGACGCGCCGATGCTCGACGCGCGGCCGCGGGCGTTGGCACTCCCGCTAGTGTAGCCGCTAGACTGGGTCTGGGCCGAGGCGTTCTCGGTGAAGTTGTAGTTGGGCGGTGGTGGGGAGCGGCCCATGGTATTGGAGATGCTGGAAGACTGGGTGCCAGTCGAGGGACTATCCTGAGGGATTGGGTTAAAGCTGGCTGAGCGGTACAGGGGAGCTGCAGTGATGGCTGGTACGAGAAATTCGGAGAAAGAAAGTTAGTCTAGGAAACCTAAGATTATTTTTCACCTGAATCTAAACTTACCAAGAGGACAGCTACATTTTGAAATAAATCAAGTATACTTAATGAGATCAACTCACTACACCTGCTTCAGCATACAGCACCATACTACCGAAGTATTCTTTCAAATTACCTGGTAAAGCTGTGTTGGTCGTAGATGGGATTTCTATCGCTAGGGGTCCGTTCTCTATTCCTCCCTGAAGCATGGCCTGCAGATTCTGATCCTGAGAGGCATCCGACGTAGAGTAAGACTTGGCAAAAGTCTGATGGCTGGAAGACGTCTTGTAGCTGGTCCCATCCGGTAAGGGTACCGACTTCTCCACCGAGTGTGACGTGGTGGTCTCCTCAAAGGTGATGGTGAAGGGCTGTGGACCGGCGTTCTGCTCCGGGAATGTGATAACCTGGTTCTGCCCTGAGTTGGCGTTAGTGAACGACGTCTGCCTGTCCAATGTACTGTAGGCCTGTCCGCCGGCGTCCACGCTTCCCTGGTAACCACCGTCTCGCAGGCTGGAATAGCCGTCGTTGGCCGTGTAGTTGTTGCGGACGTCTTCCACGTGGATGTTGGTGGTGTTGTAGTTGACGCTGGATTGTTGGCGATCATTGAGGTTGGCCTTGGCCCCCCAGGATGCATAGGGAGGGGAGGTGCCACCCGCTACGAGAACGAAGATAAACGAATCACTCTAAAAGAAATCAATTTATTTTCCCATGTGGACAATGACTACGAGAAAAAACTATGATCTAGCTGGATCTGAAAAAAGAAATAGGGTTGTCAATATGACGGGTATTTTACCATTTGAGGATTGTCTTTCTCTGGTTCAAACTGTTTCAATACCTCATTTTAAAGTCTGTTTAGTTGCTAGGGTCATGGCAATAATTTTTTTCAACATTCTTGTTCAAAGCCGATGTCTACATAAGCACGTAAGCCAAGTATTTATGCATTTAATATTTTCTTGAATGGACAAAGCAACTAAAAACAGTGCAAAGCGAAATCATTATGAGACAAAGAAACTACTATTTTTTACTTCTCCTTTTCATAAAGTGAGTTGATATGAAAAAGAAAATTAGAAAATTAGTGAGAGACAATCAAGGGTAAGAATTAAAGACCTTATTTAAAAGTAAGTGTTATCATTTTTGTTCAACGTTGTTATGAGTTCAATCTTAAGAGTCCCCAGCAAACACTTTTAAACGAAGTTGAAAAACTTAAATGATTATCACTAAAATAATCCTTCAGCTTTTCAAGAAGGGGGAATATATACCTGCTCTATTCCGAACCTCTGAGCGGTTCAGGGACTGTGATTGTGACCTTGGTGGAGAGATTGTTACAGAAGGAGCTGTGAGGCGCGAAGAAGACAAAGAAGAAAGAAAAACGAAGAAATATACAACATTAAATCAGAAGTTTGACAAAAATGAAGACTGTTCAACAAACACTACTGGCAAAGACAACAGTTTTGAGACAGACTTTAGAATAACTTTAAGAGACAAGTGTTCACAGAGAATTATATAGTATTCTTGAATGGCAAATAGCCACAGTAAAGATCTTGATCAGTGTTCCGCTACGTGAGGCCCAATCCATAGTTTTTGCTATTTCCCCCTTTTTACTTTAAAGAACTTTGTATACATCTCAAACACTCAAACAAAGTTGATTAAGACCCATAAAAGGATGTGTTAAGGCAAATAAAAGAAACAAATAAAGCCACTGACATTGTGAAGAATTTTCCTTTTCAATTCTTCCAAAAAGCCCCCCAAATTTAAAAATGCCAACTCAGATAAAAAATTTCAAGTGCCCATTGATTGCAACGAAAAAAATCCTCTATTCTCAGGTACAAATGACAAGCTTGCCAAACAAAACATACACTGATCCAAACAAACACAAAAGCATATTAAATAGTTAGGCAACATGTTCAATGCAAGAAAACACAACAAATTCCTCACTTCTGTTAGCATAATTTTCTGCAAACATAGAACTAAAGCTGTATTAATTAAACTGTTAATTAACTTGACAGTTAACCTAGAGATGATTGGTTACACATCTCACAAGTACAGTAAGTAAGAGAGTTGAGGTTAAACATCACAATCAATTTAACTAGTCAATGCTACCTGTCCATGCACACACCTACATGTTTATGTATACTTGTTCGGTAACTGTGGGGACTACACCCGTGTTGTCCCATGGTACTATGGGGACCGAAGACCCTGTGGGGACAGCAGAAAGTCCCCATAACTCGGTCCTAATTTGCCCAACAATAAAAACTTCCCCACAACGCGGCGACGGCCCGCCCAGAAGTGTCACCACAGTCCATCAGTGTCGCGGATAAGTTGCGTTTCCACAATATTGTTAATGTACTTCCGATTTGTTAGTATTCCTTACAAGAATGTCTTAAAAGCAAACGACGTACATCCAGAGCAGAAATTTGTTAGCAGCAGAATAGAGAAATTCAAGTTTTGCAATACAGCGCCCTCTATAGGGTGTGCATAGACAGGTTAGGCAGCATATTAGTTAGCCAACTGCATGCATGCATACATATATCTACCTGGTTGCCATGCAAAGTCTTCGGCACTGGTCCCCAAGGGCATAGAGTCTAGGTTAGCGTCCTGCCGGCCGCGTTTAATACGACCGGAGCGTTGGTAAGAGGGAGGGGGGATAGACGGACCAGAAAAGAGGGCAGCGTCAGGGTTAGGGGTGGGAGGTCGCGGAGTAGTTTTACCCACTGAGCCCCGGTTAGCTGTCAGCAAGGAAAATGGGTTAAGGTTAAAAAAAGATAAAAATTCAGATTTTTGCTTAATGTCCAGGATGACGGGAACTTGGTGAAAATAATATTAATAAGTATAATGATGTGCTTGTTATTTTCAGACTCTAAATGAGTTATTCAGGATTACCCTACTAATGAGTTATTTTATGATCTCTTTATACAGGAATTTGACATTCCTTTAGTACTGTAAAGCCATTTTCAAGACAATGCATTTGGTCCCTGGTATAGATCGGGGCGGAGTGATGTCATCCGATGAAAACATCTATTCATTTGCACACCAGCTTTCATTGGTTGCTATGAGTTACCGTTCAGTACTCCAGACTCAAGAACCATTGAGTTTGAAGAACATAAGTCTGGGAGCTAGATAAACTAAATGTAAAATATTCCCGGATTTCCGCATCCACCTATTTCTCTTGTATAAACATGAATGATTGTGTTTAAGGAACTGATGAAGGTGCATAATGCTAAACAGAGCATGCTGTTAGCACTGTCTACATGCTATGACATGTGGTGACTATCTACAGGTTTAGCGTGGTGCACTCATGCGACCGGTACCTGCTTCTTGTCTTGTAGTTTCTTTCAAGTTGCTTTTCTTTCGGTGCATTTCTGCGAGGAAGAAAACGGCATGGCAATTCAGTCTTTATGTCCGACACATTTCCCCTGACGATATTGCGATTTGTACTGTTATTAACTTAAAAGGCTTAATTTACAATTAAAAGAAATTAACATGAGAAATTCTTTTTTAGGTGCAACAGGTTCTTAGTATGCTAGAGTTAGCTCATCAGCAATTAGGACAATTTTTTTGGGTTTAGAAAGGAAGAGGCTAAGAAAATTAACAAGGATTAACCAGATCGTTAAGCACAGAATGCAAAAAAATATATGGGACAAATAGGTGTATGAATGGTTGCAAAGAACAAAAAAAGAAAAACTTTTTTTTTTTTTATACCAAGATGTGCAGGATTTCAGCAAATGTGGCATTGAGCATTCTTGGCAAATACATGAATTCAATGAATGCATGTATATTTTTAAATTTTTTTCTTATAATACATATCTTAAGTCACCATATGTTTTTCTTTAATTGGTATCTAACCAGTAAATTTGCAACGTTGAATTTTTCCTCAAAACTTGACAAGTTCTGTTGCAAATCAGGAACTATGCTGACAATCCATCGAAAATGTTAATACGACTCAATTACAACAAGTTGAGAAATTCCACTTGTCTGGTACGTACCATCTACTGTAGCATAATGAACTGCACCAGTACCTGTACCTCCTACATGCAGATCTGGGGGAGGGAGTGAAATGGGTAGAACAGCTGCAAGTCAGGAGGTTTTTTTACATTTTTTAATAAATTTGTTGGGGGGGCAAGCTGCAGGGTAGATGCTAGCAGGTATTATTGAACCCAAAGCTCACCGAGCAAAAAATGTAGGAGAGAAAAATATGCCGATGAATAAAAATATTCTGACATTAAAAATGCATAAAAATTGATTAATATGTACAATTAACAGCAGTCGAGTGTCATATTCAGGCCGGAAGTCTGGTTCCTCGTGTCGCCACAATGAATTTGTAAGGAACTCATGATAAGGATTCAGACTATAAGGCCAAAGGTTAATTCTGTCAGGCTTTGTGATTAATTTTTTGTGTTATTACAATGGGCTTGATTTTGCAGTTTTGTTCTTTAGACGGCAGTTTTAGTTAAATGTTAATGATTGCAAGGCTAGATGCATGACTCCAGTAGGTTGTCCTTAAAACATTTCTCATCAAATAATTCATTCGGGAATAAGTTAACATCTGTGCTGCAATACATTGTGTCCATGGTAGTCATATATATAAACAGATTTGTTGGGGTCTATTTTTCCATTTATTAATAAATGATCACCATTTTCACCAGTGAAATAAAAAACAAGATGGAAATGGAACGCACCAAATCAGAGCAAGCTAGGATGCAATCCATGTGACACATAAACACCGGGTAAATGTGGACTATTATAGTCAATTCATTTCTGAAATCGTCCAACTCATTTCAAAGTGAGTTTAGTGCCGAGTTTGAAGGGCAATTCCGTAAAATCCAGTTCTCCGCGTAGGTCCAACCACATGATGTACAAGGTCGTTAAGGTGGTACCTTAGTTTGGTCTGTAATTGTTTTCTACTCATTAGATGTCACATTATTAGTGATGTATCACATTCACTTTTCCGACAGCAGCTCATTAAAGTGCCTGACATGTATGTCCGAATTTACCGAACTGCCCGCAAGTTAACGCCAATCTGCACCCAAGCTCACTGGATAAATTTGCGGGCTTGGCCAATTCCACCGGAAAAAAAAAAAATGCTTGAGGTAAGTACAAGCACTGGGTAGGGTGACAAAATGGGCACAGGATGATGGGCGGAGCTAGTTGGAGGGAGAGGGGTCCTTACCTGATTCCAGTGAGGACCGATGCGACGTGGCCGACATCAGGGTCGGTGTTTCGTACTGGCTCTGCCGGTTGCCGGACCCCGCCTGCTCATCAAGATGAGACTCTTCATCCCGACGCAAATGAAAGAAACAAAAAAACAAGGCATGCAAGACAAATAAACAGGGATGGCAGACAGAACATGCAGGCTGGGGAATGGGGGTCAAGAGGTCATGAGTCATGGGTCAGAACATGCTATATAAATGTGAGTCAGTGATGTTGTGGTGTTGCGGGAGTCCATGGCAATGGGTGGTTGATAGTTTTGACAACCGAGTGTCTTTTGTTTAAAGTTTGTAACAACTGGACAAGTTTTGAATTAGTTAATAAACATTTGATAGTGAAACTGGGAACAAAAGTTCTGAGCTTATTCCTTGTTTCGTTTAACACTTTACTGAAATACCACAATAGTATAAGTTGACAAATGATTCTTAAAAAGCAGATTTTGTTTTGGGACTGATCTCTTGAATAATTCAATCAGTTTTGTTCCGTGTATGAAATAGTATTGTCCGAGTCATGCAGCATGCTTCCACAGGACATATCTTGTGAGCAACATGTAGTCACGAAATGAAAACCGTTAACACAAGGCAAAAACAACTAAAGAAACATCATAGGAGTGTTTAAAAATTTAACAGGCAACGTAAAATATTAAAACCTCAAAGAGCTATACAAGTGATTAAACAAAAGTAACAACTTAAAAAAAAAAACCAGACAAAAATGGATGAATACAAAATGCTTTCAGTAATGATGCGATGCTGGTTGAGTAAAATATATTAAAGACTTCACTGTTAACAACAACCATGCGAACTTTACAACAAAAACGAGCAGGTCAGAAAATATAAACTTCAATTACTATGAAACATAAATGAACCAGATCAAATGAGTTGCTAGGCAACCAATGAACCAATATGATGTTGGAGCGGTTGTATGGATTACGACCAGACTGTGATCTGACTTTAGTTTTTTTTACGGGGAAAGTAATGATCGTCAAAGTCAATCAAAGATAATGACGAAAAAAGAATGTCCCTGTCAAACTTCGTGTGAATTGCTTCACTGGGAACTAGAGGACTTGTAGTGACTTGTCAATGACTTGTCAAGACAAGTCCTAAAGACTTAAGACAAGTTTAAAGAAGTAAACCAAAGAAGCAAAAAAAAATAACTAGATAAAGCCAAACAACAAGGTGGTGGAACAAAATTGTGACCGGCTTTTCCCAAGTAAGGGTTTGTCCAAATCACAGTCTGATTATAATGTTTCAAGGCGTCTTGTACAGATATATGTATTTCCACAGGCTGATTTCATGAAATGTAAAGACGCGTCTTAGGAAGGGTAACTTGTCTTAACTTGCGACTTGTCCTGGGATAGATTTTACTAAACTAAAGACGCGTTCAACACGTCCTAACTTCCTTAGCAAGGCGGCTAAACTTGTATGAACTTAAGATCGGTCTGAGGGTCGTCTTATCTCATTAATGCGTGCGTTTATTTGTATGTCATCTGGAAATCATTGCCGTTGAAGACAAGCGTGGGCCTAGAGTTATAGTTTCAAGGAAGAAAATCGCTGTAGAGACAGATTTGATAAGGTTTCTGATACATGGGTAGTTTTAATAAAAATAGCTTATTTACAAAATTTAATTATATGCCAACACGTAGCCAACTTATTAAAATACAGTGATGAAACAGAGAGCAAGAATGACTCTATTGTATCTGAAAGTTTGTGTTCTATGCACGTGCCCGGGAAATTGGTTTTGCGCGTTTTTTTTTCCAACCACTGTTTCGTCCAGCAGTCAAAACAAACATGAATCAGCCATTAAATTGGTAGTTTTGATGCGTCTTGCATAAGATGGGTTTAGCGAAATCAATCTTAGAACGGGTCTTAGCTAAGATCGATCTTAGAGCGGGTACTCGTCCAGTCCTAAGATGAGTCACAAGATAAGACAAGTTTTGTGAAATCGGCCCCAGGGGTTTCCATCCACTAATCATGCATTAATCAAAATAGACAGTTGAAATGAAAAAGTTGAACAAGGCTTACAACTGAAATCCACAAAACTGAGACAAACACTACCGTGCAAAAAAAAAAAAATAAAGTAACCAAGAAACGCTGTCAACATCTTTGAGATCGTGATTAACTGTACCTTTTGGTTTAATTCTCCTCCCTCAATTGATTACACATCTATTGTCTAAGTAAACAATGCGCGTTAATCAAATCAAATCAAAAATTGAAAATGTAACATGAGCTAGCCGGACAATTTCACTGAGAAACATCTAAAAAAGAGAAATGGAAGAAAAGTTTCTTGCTGTGGTGTCTAAAGCCGAGCTGGAAATGGTGAACAATTCAACGTAGAGTTGCAAACACATATTATTTTCCACGTGCTGGCACTGGAACTCTTATTTTCACCTGGATAAAAGAAATAGTGTGGCGGGCAATCTCTGCAACATATCTCCAAATGCTGAACAAGTATAGAAAGCCATAAATATATATAAGTAATGTTGGCTTGAATCTGTTGAAAAAAGGGGAATTGGCCGTGGCCTCCAATACGAGTTTCTCACAGCTAAAATTTCTAGTATTAGAGACAGTTTTAAACAATACTCAGTTATCAGTCCATTTATGGTTCGATGGTCGATCCATTCCTAATAATATTACATTAAAAATTAATATTCATGAATCCACACAAGAGAGGTTAATAACATCCCGACAGAAGTCACAGGCTGCATGGAGTTTCTGCATCTAAGTATTGGTGTTCCCGTGGTTACAGTGTCAGCCTGGTAACTGTTTGCCTCATCTACCAAACCACTACGTAGTGATGAGACGTGGTCGTTGCCTCGTGTGTGCCAAGTTCGGCACCTCTGTTAAGCACGGATCCAACAGCCGCATCATAGCAACCAATCACTCTTGCTAGAACTACAATTTCTCCACAGCACAGTTTGCTATTGTTAACAGATGAGGGTCCTGTGTCATTAACTTTAACCAAAAAAGCCTTTCGGAATACGGTTCAGCCATACCACACAGTACAGCCATACCACACGGTACAGCCATACCACACACTAAAAAGATGGGACAACGTGAAATTAAGGTTTATCGACTTTGTTTGACAGGGTAGATTTTTGAAGATTACCATTCAACTTTGCCATGTTTAAAATGCCACTGTACAACACTCCCTTATGTTCCTCAAAAATATTGATATATTTTTTTTTAGAAAGTACCACAAAGCTCACCTTGCTGGTTCTGCACTGAAGATTGAGTGAAAGACGTCTCTTGAACTTGGTCTAGGAAACAAATTTATAAGCATATTTTTTTAGACAACATTACAACAAACTTTTTCTTTTTATTTTGGAGTACGTGTTCTCAAATACAGCTTCTTTACATTCCTCATGTAAAGCATTAACAGGTCACCAGCCAAAATTGTCATGTGATGTATACCAACATGTGACTGGTACTCAGTGAACATTCAGAAGAACTTTTTTTTAGCTTTGCAGCCGCCACAAATTTGGGCCAGCTTGAAAAGAAGGGGAAAAAACAGTTCTGTTTATCTGTGCCTAAGGAGTTTATATGGTCCCTTCAAATTCGGAAACCCACAATTTTACATCTTAACCCTAAGTACTGTAAAATTCCATCAAAAATCCACAATTCCTAAATATTCCAAAATTTGGCACTACACTAAAACCCAATGACACATTATCAAGAGGCATCAAGACCTTTGTAAAGTAACAGTGATTTGATTCTATCCTCCCAAATCCTACAAAATCTTTCAAAACCTCCTGGATTCTAGAAAATGTAGGGTAAACATATTATTACAAGTAGAAGGGATGAAGCAGATGCTTATTTCAAATTACCTCGTTGTTGGTCCACGCCACCGCCCTGTTCGAGCCGTTCTCGTTCCTCCTGCTTAGAGCTGACGGTTATCCCACCCTTCTTGCCGTCGGTTTTCTTCATCTCGACGCCTTCGTGGTTGATCCACAGGTCAGGCGGTACCGGACCAGTGCTGCCGATGACCTTACCGTTCTGCGACACGGGATGATAGCCGACCAAGTTGCTGTCCAATCAAATTTCAAAAAAATAGTCTTTAGGTCATGCGTGGCGTCCATTTCCTTTTGAATGTTTTGTGGGCATGACAGAGAACGTGGAACCTGACTGAATGGCGTTTCAAGTTATATTTAATCACTTAAGATTGTACCGATGAGTAACAGTCTAAGATGCATGGTCTCTAACTAAATTTCCATTTGACTAGTTCCCATAACCTCCATGTAGGGATGCGTGGGATCAGATGGCAAGTGCCTGACTAATTTGATTTGTTAAGACTTGAGCCGTGTCTGAATTACTTCGCTATGGCTTGAAATTACACACGAGTCTGCAATTTCAAGCCGTAAGTAGGCAAGTAATTCGGACACTGCCTTAAACCAAACATCTATGTGGTGCCCAGAAATCCTGATATGATTTAAGGGTAGAAAAGGCATGGTACCCGACTATTCTGTTGTACGATAATCAAGCCATTACTTCTACACTCCATAGATGTGAGAATCAATTCAGTAAAAGGTTTGAAAAAAAAATTACAAAGTGTAATCCTTCTGAATGAAAAGTCATTGAAAGACCTGATTGTTCAAGCTTAACTCTCATGAACAGAAATTCGAGAATATAAACTTACGCCGATCCCTTGGCCTTGCGGCGTTCTCTGTATGCATTTCCACAGCAGACACAGGCCGAGGCCCCACAGCAGCACTTCAGCCAACACTTGGCACAACTGTCTTCGTCCTCGCAGCAACACGGGAAGCAGGCTGCGATGCAGGCCGCAAAGGGCCCGCAGAACGGCGCACAACAACCGCAGGCGTCTTCGCACAGGGCGGCGCAGCACGGGCAGGAGTCAGCGCAGCAGGCACAGCAGCCACAGATGAAGCAGAGCAAGAGAAGGACTGCGATGATGATGATGAAGAGTACGACCAGGATGATGACGAGCCACAGCCACCAAGGGAAGCCCATGGGTGCGGCGCCGGCCAACGGAGCTGGAGACGTCGGGTCTGTGTCAATAAAAGACAACATCCTAATCTTATTCATCCAACAACGACAAATCTTATGGGGACAAGTCACAAGAGGCAATTTTCAAAGGCGCCTTGGAGGCAACCAAATGCACTGCGAGCAATAGAAATCATCAGGAAAAACAGAGGAATGGACACTTTCTGACAGCTTATGCAAATTTTTCAAAATATTAACATTAAAGTAAGATTTGCCTGTCATTTTCTCCTTGGACTTTGCCGGGAGCCAGTTTTTTTGTTTTTCATTTCTGGTTTGGTTGTTTGTTTTGTTTTTTATTTGTCTTCACAGGTATCATCCAAATACACGAGTCATTGAGACTCCAGGTGAGGGATACAGCCTGGAAATTGCCTCTTAATAAAAATTAGAAAATGTTTAGAACACTCTGGTTTTCGACTTGAAACACTGAAGGAACAACAGAAAAAAGGATTAAGTCACAGCAATAGAAAGGTCGTTTAGAATTAACATTAACTGTTAAAATGGGGAAAACAGGCATAAATGATAGTGAATCTGGTGTCGGGTGACCACTGTAAGCAAAAGGAATAGAAATATGGGAAGGTGGCACCAACAAGAAAAAGAGATATCAAAAATGGACAATGAATGGCAAAAATACAAGTATATAAGAGACAAAAAAAGGCAAAATATAAAAAACAACAATGAAACTCACAAATATGAAGAAAACAAATTGTGAAATAATCATGCGTAGTGCTAATGTGGAATTGTGTACAGCAAAACCTATTTGGGGGAATAATGTACATGTATAAGACAAGTTATTTTATTCATGCTGGATTTTTGTTGCTAATTTTGGTAGGGCAAGAAAGTGGAGGAGGGAAAGATGCAAATTTTGCAAAGTTGCCAATTTCAGCACCTTCAGTTGGCTTTGGGAGTTTGGCAGGTTTAAAGGGCCTGCCAGGCAGTACTGGTATTGAGTCCTCAGCTAGGCAGGAAAGGCAAAGAAACCAGGAGCAAAATTAGTACAACTGCACATCCCTTTAAGCAGTCATTTATGTCCTTAAAACTTGAACTTTGGTTTTCTTTTTCTCAAAAGAGCCATTTTAATTCCCAAGTAATTAACAGATGGTTAACGCTAGGAAAGAAACATTTTTAGGTAATAAGGGGGAAATACCTTTTTTTTTTCATCAAAAACTTCAATTTGACAGATTCCTACAAAGAATTTTTGAGTTTGTGGTGGGAGGCGGGAAGGAGTTGCTTAGTTTATTCAGAACTGGTATCGCTGCCTTAACTGGTTCCCCTCCAACTAGTCTTTAGCATTCCTACCACAAAGTAAAAATAGATTCATCAACTATGCAAATACTTTCAATAACGTAATTTTGTTGTTTTTCTAATAAATACAATTCTTTTAAATTTAGTAGGCTATCGCACAGCATTAGCCCTAACCACCCCAACCCTTCAAAATCCAACGGCATGTTTTGTTGGAATCTGTTGGAGTGAGGACTGCACTAGTACACTGATTATGCTTTACATGGGGTCATGCCTACCACCATAATCAGAGTCCAACAGTTTGGGTCTAGAGTTTACCATATGGTGTTGGATTTTGCAAGAGTGAGGAAGGTTCCTAGAAAATCACTGAAGGGGGATACGGTTAAGCAACGGACTCTTAATGTGTTTCTTAGTGCCCAATTCATAATATAGCAAGTTATTTTTCCAAAAAAAACAACCTAATAATTCCGGCAACTTTTTGAAATCAAGAGGTTTTGAGATAAACTTGCTTGCGAAGGGAGGGGGTAAAAATTCCTGGAGCATTTCTTAGACTGTGTCTTACCTGGGTTAACTGGTTCAAGCGGTCCCTTTGAACCATCCGGTAAAACTAGGTACATGTAGCAGAACAGAGGGTGTACGCAAAAGCATGATGGTAGTGATGGCGGTGATTTGTGTGGCGGTGGTGTGGGAGGTTGCGGAGGAGATGCGTTGGGAGGGTTGGGGGAACACGGGAAAAAAAATAATGAAAAACAAAAAATCAACATCCATGATCTCTCGACAAGCTGCAATTAAATCAATCAATGAGCGATGAGGCACTGGCATTTTTTTGATGTGTTTCTGCTTAAAAATGAACTTTTTGACAGTTTGAGCACGATGACAATTTTGTAAAAAAATTATAATAATTTAATGGTTAGTGTTATCAAAAAAGTATTGTTAAAATGTACTTCAACTTTGGAGAAAAAAAATCATTCAAAAATCTAAGCTGAAAAAGTCATTGCAAGCACAAAGCTGTTGGATTTCTATAACTTTAGCAATATCAAATAATACAAAACACAAAATATTTATAAAATGGCTGAGGCACATTGCGAGGCACCCAGGAATCTGAAGCAAGCCCCATGTCAAGTTTAACCATTAATAGGTCTCTCTCAAATGATATCAGTTCCTACAGACCAGCCGTGTGCATCGGCATTTTGAGCGTCAACTTGTATAATGCGCATCGGCTGCGTCGTATTTCAAACACATATCAAGCAACAAGCGTGCGTGTTTGGAACATTTTCAACACTGCAATTCTCCTGCAGAGTTGGCCGCCTTTGAGAGAGACCAATAAGTAGCTCAACCTCCATTTAATCATTACCTGGCGATTTGTGAGACACAACGTCCGATTCAGGCCCCTCCCCCTTGCTGGTGTGAGCGCGGATCTTAAAGAAATACACCGTGTTGGCAGTCAACCCGTGAAGCGTCTTGGTCAGTTCGTCTCCCGGCAGCGGCTCAGCGATCCAATCCGTTTCCTCAGATGAGTCGATGGTGGAGTATTTAAGGGTGTACCCTGCGTGTCAAACATGATGCGTGTGTTTTACAAGCGTGAAGAGACTTTTTACAAAAACTTTATCGATGATGGTTAACTGAAGTCATGCTGGTTTAGTACCCCAAAACCATGGTACAAATATGGGTCTGTACGAAATAAGCACCAGTCTGATTTCATTTCAACTTCAACGGCTTATTAAAAAAAAATGTTTTAGTGGCAAGTGCACACGACTGGCAATAACATTTTTTTGTGATTTAAATTCTATTTCGATGATTGGCAAATTTGTGTGTGCCACAAATGTACATGTACTTTTGTTGAGGTTGTATCTGGTAAAGTTGGACAGCAAACGTTCTTGCTAAACCAAAATCAGCCGGTTCCCTTTCAATAGTGGCACACATCACATGGCATTTTTGTGGTTGGTAACCCGTTGTGGCTAAGCAAGCTTTGTAATGTGCTTACCGCTGATCTGTCCGTTTGGTAATCTCGGTGGTTGCCAGTTCACAGTGAGCGCAGTCGTGGAATTCTCAACGTCAACGACTGTCAGCGATCTGGGTGCAGAGCTTGGAGCTGTGGTAGTTAAAAAAAATAACAATTTAAAACCTGTCAGCGAAAGCCACTTTGTTGACAGAATCATTTTTTTTTTACAAATTACATTTTATTTTCCAAAACTGAGTTGATTAAATTAGATTTCATCAACAATGAAAATTGAGTTCAACAAATCATAATCCTTGATTATGAACACATTTTGAAGATAAAATGCTGTTATTAGGGGCGATAATACAAAATTCCAAGCTAAAATACGTTGGAACATTCCACTAAACCGCACTACATAGCTTATGTAACAAACAACATAAAAAAATACAATATACCAAGTAATCTTGAGTGCAAAGGAAGTGCCCTGTGAGAAAGTGCATTGGGTCGTATGAATAAAAAGTAGCATTTGCTTTTACTACCATTTTTTAAGCATTTACTCGTGTTTATATGAATAATAACAAAGCAAATGCTTGTACTTTAGTGCAATTGCTAAAAAGTAAAAGTATTTACTTTTTACTCTTTAAGCTTGTGCTTGATGATAAGCAGTTGCTTCATTTTGTATGAATAAAAATGAGTAAGTTCTACGGAATTGGAGTATTTACTTGACATTTTTCAAGACTGGGTCAGGGCAAGCTTGAAAAGGAGGAGCAATTACTAACGTTCAAAATGGCAGCGTTCATGAATGTCATTCGGAAGGAAAAGGTGTATGCCCCCAGGAGGGAGTGTCCAGTTACCAGATACAGGCAGTTGTACTGATTTGAGAGAGAAAACGTGGAGTGGATGGCTGATCATTTCTTGGAACACTCCGGAGAGAGTAGAGGAGGAGCACTGACTGCAAAGCAACAACTGGAGGTTTTTCTGTGATATGTTGGAGATCCAGGGTTTCAGGTTGGCATCGGAGAAGACCTTGGCATTCACCAGAGTACCGTATCCATCACAATCAAGCATGTTCTGGATCAAATGATGACCAAGGCGGAATTGTGGATCAAGTTCCCTCAAACTGCAGCTGAAATACAATCTGCTCAGGAGATGTGGCAAGCGCAAAGGCCATTTCAGATACCATTTGTATTTGGAGCAATAGACTGTACTCGTGTCAAAAAAAACAAACCATCTGGACCACAGGGGGACGAGTACATCAACAGGAAGGGACATGCAACTATAAATGTGCAAGCAACATGTAATGCAAATGAGATGTTCACAAGCGTTGATGCAACCTGGCCTGGCTCTGTTCATGATAGTCGGATATTGAGAAATTCGTCTGTGGCTACTTTTATGAAGCAGTCAGGAAGCGAGGCAGCCCTCCTAGCTGATAAAGGCTATGGCATTACTCCTTGGCTGATGACACCTTACACCCCTACATCAAATCCCCAAGAAGAACATTACAACAGAGTTCATGCGAGAGAACGCGTAATCATTGAGAGATGTTTTGGACAGCTGAAACAAAGATTTCCTATACTACAGTACAAGGTGAGACTTTCTCAAGAGAAAGTTCCAGCTACAATTGTCGCGTGCTTCATGCTCCACAATGTTGCTAAGTATCTAAATGACGTCGAAGTCTTCCCAGACCAAGTGATGGAGGATGCAGAAGAAGATTTGGTTGGGGTAAATGATCCAGGAGAGGATAATCGCACCAGAAGACGAGGACAACAGAAGAGGAGGGCCATCACAGACATGCTGTACCAAAACGCAGAATAGCACAATTGATAAGAGATCATTTATTTTTGTCTGGTTTATTGCCGTAATCATAGATTTTTACCAAAACGCAGAATAGCACAATTGATAAGAGATCATTTATTTTTGTCTGGTTTATTGCCATAATCATAGAAGTTAACTATTTGCCTGTTCTATTTCCAAGTTGTTATGAGTTTGTTCTGGAGAAGTTTGTGCAACAATAAAGCTGACTTTGTCCTTTTGAAACTTGAAATGAAGGTAATTACAAATGGATGGTTAAAGGCACCGTATATCTAACGACTGAACACGTCTTTTCTGGTTCATAAAATAAAGCCAAAGTCAAGAAAGCCTATCTGCATTAGATTAAAAAATTGTAAGAATTAATCATACAAAAAGGATAATTTAGTATAATATTTATTGACCTCTATCGGATAAGTTTTTCCTCATTTGATGTATATCCTCAGAGAAAGAAATGTTTCCAGAAATTCAGAACTAGAAAAAGTAATAACTTTGAATGCTATTTTGTCTTTTTTTTAGGACATAAATAATCGAAATGTACACCTCATTTGACTTTTCTGTACACAAAATAAGTAATTGGCAGGAATTTTTCTCCGACAGTTAAAACAATTAAGAGACAATAAAAGAAACAAGTTCAATCGTCGCTGTCTGATTCCGAGTCACTAATCTGCTTTTGTTGCATCCGTATTAACTTTAATTGCTCTAGAAGGACTAATCTCTGCAGCTCCGCAATTGACAGCTCCTCTGTTTCTTCTGTTTCTGGAAGACTGGATGTTTTTGTCCTCTTAATTGACCGTGCAGGAATCTCCTGACTAGTGTTGCTCTCCGTCAAGGTCTTACGGCCATGATGAGGCTGGGACGTGTTGGGCGGCTCCATCTGGGATGTGGATGCGACAGGCAAATCTGTTGGAGCAGCTCTGCGCACGCCAACACTTACGGCACCTGATAAAAATAAGAATTAAATCTGTTTAAGTCCGGTGAAAAATTCAGAATTACTTCTACAAGTCAAGCACGCAAAATCGACAGGGTGTATACAAATACATCATAATTTGGCTTACCTTGTACTCCACTGATAACTGAGGAGATCTGTGTTTGCATCTTTTCCAGAAGCAGTTTTCCCCACTCTTTTAGCTGAATGGGTTTGTTCCCTGTTTTGGAGAGATCTGATTTCACTTTCACATCATTTTTCATGTTGTTGAGCTTTTCCATCAGTTGCTTATCTGTTAAGGAGGTGCCAGTCTTGCGCTGATACTCAACCGCCATCTGCTTAACAGCACATTCCTTTTCAGCTTTTATTTTGGGCAACTGTGATTTGGTCAGCAGTGCCTGGTGCTTTTTTACAAGTTTAACAAATATACTTTGCTTGCATTCTGTACTGGCAGAGCAATTTTCTTCATCATGTTTTTCGAGATCAGAATCACTGCCATCCGCCATGCTGAAGTCTCAAGATACAGCGCATCAGCTGCACTGTGTGTGTCTGTACGTGTAGACAATGGAAGCCCTATTGTGCAAAACCGTTCGGCTGTGCAGTCAGCCACAAGCATTAAGCATTTGCTACTATTTGTACAAGCAGATGCTGAACAGTAAAAGAAACATTTTATTCATACAAATTCAAGCAATTGCTTATTCCTAATGCTTTTACTTCTCAGTAAATGCTTTTGCTGTTTGCTTGAACTTCATAGCATTTGCTAGTTTTTATTCATACGACCCATTGTCTTCATCCAGGAATAAGTGTTTGGAAAGATTGCAGATGGAGAGTCAGGTTGACATAGCGGTTCTTTTCTCGCCTTCCACCGCTGTGACCCGGGTTCGATTCCCGCCTGGGCCAATATGTGGATTGGGTTTTCACTCCCTACCTAGTTCCGTGGGTTTCCCCAAAATATTCTTTAATAATAATAATAATAATAATAATAATAATAATTACCCTGGATTGGACATTTGGGAGACATCCCCATAGACTTGGGCACACATTTTTTCAAACTTAAATGTGCCCTAACCCAATATTCCCTTGTCCTTTTTCCACGAATTTCAGTACGTTTACTAATTAGACCACGAGCAACAAAAATAACCTAATTGCGACAAGCAAAATTTTGCCTCTAATGAAAATGTCTCCCTAATGACCAGTGTCTCCGACAGTTCAAAGAAATTATGATACAGTGTCTCCTTAATGGTACATTTACACGTTTGATTATAATTCTTCATTATTGTAAGTCTTACCAGCGTCAAAAGTGGTATTAGTTGCTACCATGCTGTATTTGCTGCGGCGATTTCCTGATACGGCCTTCACTTGAAAGTTGTACTCTGTGTAAGGGGTGAGGCCTGTCACACCGATGGAAGAATCGGTGGAATTCACAAACATCTCTCTGCAAAGAAAAGGCAGAAAAGGGTGGTTTTTAAAATTTGTTTTCAAGTCTATTAACCATTTCAAAAAATGCTTTTATAGAGTGTTTGCTACGGTAGCTTTATATATAATATTGCTGAAACATTTAACAAGATTGAGATTGGGGGGGGGGGGATATGAAAATGATTAAACAGAGCATAGCTTTACCTGTTGGTGTAGTCAGTCGTGTACATGATGGTGTAGTACCTGTCGACAGGTTTCTCGTCTGGGGTGTAGTCGGTGTCAATCCACGTAAGGATGGCATCGTAGGGCGAGGTCACAATAGCCTTGAGCTCTATGGGGATGGAGGGAACCGCGGTTCCTGCGTAGGTAATGGTAAGAGGGGCAACATCATTTGGGATGTTGGTCCTGATTGGATCATCAAGAAACACACAGACCACATGCACGGGACTTGAACAGTAAAGTCTGTTTAGAACTCGAAAGGCCTCATGATCAAGACATTTTTGGAGGGGGGATGCTAAAGTTACTTTACTTCTTGATTTTGACAAAGACTGATATTCAGCATGTCTGGATACCCGTACCATTCCTATGCATCTGGAACCAATGCCAACGTGTTACCATGCCATGATATTAGTTCTAAACAGACTTTTATGGCAGTCATTATACAAATAAACACCCACAATTTTTTTGTACCCAAATGGTTATCTCCTTTAAAAAAAAAAATGAGGATAACGACGGCCAAACCAACAGACAAATATATTACAGAGTTAAAAACATCTTCAACAACACAAGAACCAAACAGGAGGACTTGTTGATGTGATGGATGTTTGACACCTATGTTGATGGCTGAGATGATGAACTCAATAAATACAACAACAAAATCAACTCTATGGGATGAAATGATAGGGCTGTTGAATGGTTGGCTTATGTTACACTGCTATTATACATTCACAATGGGTCAAGGTCAAGGGTGAAATCAAACAGCCAGCCAATGAAGATGCAAAAAAAAACAAGAATATATGGCGAGAACAAAAAATGGGTTGTGATATTTCTCACAAAATTAACTTGAAAAAGTAAGTAAATCTGAACATAATTTCTGCTTTTCTGAAACTTTTTACCAAAAAGTGGAGGAAAGTGGAAATGAATTTAAGGGGAGCTTTCATTTGTAAAAAAAAAAAAAAAAAAAGTGATTATGATCTTCCAGAAATCATTTCTGACTTCAACTTAGCAATTCAAAATTGGAAGCATTCTCTTAAAAAAAAAACACACCCATTCTTTTTTCGTGAAATTTCCAACAGCCCAAGCATTTTGCACTTAAATCAAACCTCTAAATGTGCAGCAACAATCTCATAGTAAAACGACAACTTGCTGCTAAATTTTGGAACATATTTGTGATCTTCCAAACAATTTGTGAAACTCCAAGAACTCATTTTGGAGTTCAACTTAATACTTAATTCGAAGCATTCTCTTTAAAAATACAAACCACCCATTTTTCTTTTCGTGAATTTTCAAACTGCCTGAGTAGTTTGCAATCAAATCCAACAATAAATTGTGCAGTAACAGTTTCAGAATGAAAAGGCAGCTTGCTGCTAAATATTGGAAAAGGGGTGTCAAGTCACATACTAATGTGGCAACAATCATACTTTCTGAAAACACAACGCAAACAGTGTGAAATACTCAAATAAACACAACAAAAAAATATCCAGTGAGTTTTGGGAGGCGTTTGCTAATTTTGTTTTTCCTGGCGGACGGATATCTTACTTGTCGTTACGTGAATAATCCTTGTTGGGCTAGGGCCTACCGCTGTAGAGTATGGAATGAATAGGCTTTTATTGATAGACGAGAAATGTTCAAAGGGGACCAGTGAAGCTGGTATGACACTGGGAATAAATAAAGTATATACCTCCCCAAACGTCTTCAAAATGGACAAGAATTTCTTGCACAAAAAAGGAAAAAAGACAAAGGGAGTAGTACACAATTTGAAAATAAATCTTCTTTATATTTTTCCTCTGATGTGGAAAAATCATGTATTTTTCTGTCTCGTTATATTTTGGTCTGAGTAATCTGCATTACACAAAATCTGTTCATTTTTTTGACCATGAAAGTTCTAAAAAAAAAATAACAAATTGGCAAAAATACATTCCTAGTCAAAACAAATGAGCTGAAGTTGATGAAAAATTAACAATAAGAACAGAGGAACTTTTCGGGGGAAAACAACCCATTTTTCGTCAAATTTGAGTCCCGTTCTCGAAATTAAAAACACCGGCACTGTGGCCCATTTCTGTTTCCAGGGAAACATTTTGATCAGTAATTGTAACATACACACCCCCGGAATTAAAAAAAAATTGAGAAATGGGGGGAAGAGGGATAAAAATCCAAACGGGTCACTGTTGAAGGGTAAAAACATAAGGTTAATCAACGAGGTTAAAATGTTGTGAAATGTAGAAATAAACACATGAATTGAATATATATATATATATAGTTCATGTTTCATCCTCATGCATTCTTGCAACCACTGATGATCTAAAAATACCTGAAATATATATATATCATCATGCTTTAATCAGACTCATGCCAGAAACAGGGCTAAAATGGAAAACAAAAAAAATACACTACCATCTGGTTTGTTTTGATTTCAGGCAAAATTTGAACGATCATTCCCGTAACATAAAAAAACTCATGATAACAGTCCAAATGTTTAGATGCTGTTAGCGGTTAAAAGGGGGAAATATGGCACTGGTTGGTGTGAGGATTTGTGAAAATGCTTCGAATGGTTCAAGCAATTGTCTTTGATAAGTATTAGCAGAAATGTTTCTGAGTGCTTTCTACCGATACCAAAGAATTTGACGGTACATGTAATGCGGGCATCTTTGTCCTTGTCCAAACCACTGTGACCCTTCACATAGCAGAATTTACGGCTTTTACATGGAAATAATTAAGAAGTTTATGCATGAAATACCTGCTTTTGCAAAATGCACTTTGTTAACTGAGAAAAATGAAGATGGCTGCCAAAATTTGGTGTGTAACATTGCTTTGAAACCATAAAAATGAATTTGAATTAGAATTTTTTTAATGATGATATCTGTTAAAGGAAGAAATGATTGCTCTTTTATTGCGAAAAGAAGTGCTGTGCTGATATGATTAGAATTAGTACTTGGTTTTTTTTCCCAGCGCTAAGGGTTAATAAGTTTGATTGGTCAATTTCTCTTTTGAACTGTAAGAAATGAAATGCAAAAAATGCATGCAACAACAAGTTTTTGGTTTTCATTTTGACCTCTTTTCCATTCTAGAATGACACAGATTTGCAGTTAATCAGCAGTCATGGTAGAACAATGTTTGCTGAGCTTTGAGTTCCATAGCAGAAATTGACCAATCAGCAATGCAGGAAGACAGACAACAAGGCAATAGAAAGCAAGAACCGGTCAAACTTACTGGGCTGCTTCGTATGAACGTCCAAGTACAAAGGCGCCCCTTCACCGACCCTATTGTACGCCCTCAGTTTCAGGACGTACAAGGTGCTGGGGAAAAGGTTAGTAAGGACGACTTGGGTCTGGGAGCCCGGCAGACGCTCCCGAAAGGCGTCCGGAATACTTGGCCCATAGCCAAGGATGTAACCACGGACCATTATAGTCTGGTCCAACGGGGGTACCCAGGATACCTCGATTTTGTTATGGGTGGAGGTGGCGATGATATCAGCTGGTTTAGGGGGTACTCTGTTCTCTGTTGTGGACCAAAGGGTGGTCACACGGGAAGACGCACACAGAGACACACAGGCCGACAATAAGGGACAGAACCACCGCCAGATACAGACAAATAATAAACCCAACCGAATCAAAAAAATTGGTTGTACATGTAAGTAGAGGGACAGGTTAATGACAGACGTAACACGAAGCAGGGAGGGAGCAGGACAAAATTGTCGGGGGACAAAAAGAACGGACAACCAATTTTGTGAAGCCAATTAATCCACACATTAGACACACAGAAGGAAACGATTATGTTAACAGAAACGAGAAGAGGGTGGAAGAAACAGAGAGATAAAGAGAGAGAAAAAGAGAAAAATGGTAAGCACTGCTAGAATGGTTATCAATGACATCGTAATCAGGACTGCATTTCACAAGACTGCCAAGCAATTCCAAACTAAGTCTTTTCCCGAGAACATCACCTTGGTTACGTCAATCTGAGACGAGGGAATGTCCGAAAGCCAAACCGACCAAATTTTGGTTGCTGAGAAGTTTCAACTTTGGATGAAAACTTTCTGCTGATAGTTTTGTAATTTTTTTCTTTTTGGCCTGGCCCACTTGGGGAAATGCAGCCCCAACAAGGAAAAACAAGCGTCTACATGTCACTAAAATGAAGTGCACCTTTTTTCCCCCAACACCTTGACTTTCCGAGTCAGTAGTCACCACTTTATATTTTTGATGCGAGAAAAGATCAAGCGGAACATTGATATGTCTCACAAAAAATATCAGTTAACTTCTGTTCTTCAGAAAATGCCAGATGGAAGGTCGTTATCGTACTAAACGCATCAACAACAGTAACTAAAAAGTTAACATTCTGGTGAGCCACATTCAATTTACAATCAAATTGCCAGATTTTTGAATATGTTGATCATGAATATGGCAGACCATGGAGACTTGTGAATAAAATGAAAGGAAATGGGTATTTTTAGTATCTTTAGAAACCATCACCAGAGTAACGTGTACAGAAGGAAAATACTGGAACTGAAGAATGCCAAGGTCCAGTGGTTGCGGTGTTTGACTCATGGACGATGGTGCGTGGGTTCAAATCCTGCCAGGAACACGGTGTTTGTGCCCTTGGGCAAGACACTTGACTACAATTGCCTCTCTCCACCCAGGAGTATGAATGAGGACCAAATGTGCACTGATATTGACTGATGCATGGTCTCATGGCCTGATGAATGGGTGCATAATTGAAAAGTGCTTCGAGACTGTTGATAGCTGAAGCTATGCCAAATTGGTGACTTTTTGGGACCATTAAATGAGGTTTTTTTTCTCCTTTTTCAGACAGTTATGATTCCAATAGATTTGCTGCCAATATATCCTCTCTCTCCAACTGCGAACCTATTTTATTAACTATCCCATAAAAATCATTTTTAAAAACCTTAAAAAAAAAAAAAAAAGTTTAAATGACCAACAAGTAAACCTCAACAGAAACTGCTGTGTCAACAATTTTTTTAAATAGAAAAAAAAAAAAATTCAAAACAATTACTTAACTACATGTACCTTGTATGGTTATTAGAAAAAACAATTATTTTGTAGCTCAACTATACAGAAATACTACACGTTTATGAATCATACAATAACCAAATGACCTCTAAAATGTATCCGTACCATTTTTGTCGATGTCAAAGGTGTTAACCTGGATCCAATCCGAGTAGGGTCCTGTGCCATTGTTGTTGTAGGCAGCCATCCGCACTTCGTAGCCCGTGCCTCTTTCCAAATCTATAAACAGCAAATAAATTGTGAAGTGTTTATTACCATTTGCTCGGATTCTCACAAGTGGACTACGGTAAGCGGAAGCCAGACACGAAATGTTGTCTTCAAGAAAACATTCTAGTTGACTGGCCGTTCCATCCCTCGTATCCAAAGTGTGTCTTTAAAACTGTAAATGTGTGTTTAGTCAATCAAGTTTGATTAAAAGGTAACTTGCTTACAGCTTGTGTTTTAGAACACATAACATGTGGTGCTGCTGCATCTCAAGGCTTTTAAACAATGGACAAGATTTTATTTTTTTCTGTTTTATTCATGCGAGTGAGTTTAAGGACCATGCAAAATGCACCTTTGTGTCCCATTTAACCTTATGTTAAATTTTCATCTTGCCATTTGCGTGTTTTGGTTTTTATGCTTATGCAATTTCAATATTCATGGGCAAAATGGTGATGTCATTTCAGGCAGAAACCTCAATGTTACAACCATTTCTGCATCGAAAGTGGCCAGACTTTTGGTTACTTTGCTGTTGTAGATTTTCTTTTCTTTGATAATTTGTTATCGTGTCAGTACATGGCAGTAAGCCAATGAACACATTTTTGTGTTCACAAGTTGAACAGAATACTGAGTAGTGTCTTCCTGAAATGGCATCACAGCAACAAAGCCCTCAGATATCTGGAAAAACATTCACAATATTTAAATGTCTAAAGAAATACACTTTTCAGTAAAAATTAACCAAAGAGGGATGTCAACTAGATTTCACACATTTAAGAATAGAAAGTTGCACAAAATATGTTCCTAAGTGAAATTCATTGCTTGGACCCTTTCACCGAGGCAACAAAAACAGCGTTAAGTTAAATACTTTCAATGAGCTATGGAGGTCTATAAAGGAACAAATATTTACCTGATGAGCAGGGGTAATAGTAGCATTGTTATTACATACCTGGAATTGTGTAGGCCCTTTGTGTGCCCTCAATGACCAGTGAGTGCGTTCGTTTCCCGTTGTCTATGGTACGATACTTCAGTTTGTAGCCGTTGATCAGACCATTGCGTTGGTTGAGGGGTGGCGGTTCCCAGGTCACGATTATCGACGTCGAGGAATCTGCTTCGACGGCGATGTTGTCGGGGATGCCGGAGGGCTCTGATTTGAGAGGAAGGAAATGATGGAAATATTTTTGCTATAAAATGGAATTTGTTTCTGCGTATGAGGTAGAAATCAGATGGCTAAAATATTATCTCCCAAGTGCTGAGCCAAATTTGGACACACGAAAGCTTCTGAAGAAAGAAAAATGTAGTTTGGGTCAGAATTATCTTCTCAGCAAAATGGGCATGCAAATCCTTTCGCCAACCACAGCATTTTTTGGGGCCCACAGAACCTTCAAGAGAGGATGACGAAAACAAATCAGTTTTTGAGGTGGGAAGAAACCGACAGAATCAGACGAGACTGAAAACTCAATCAACATGTTGGCCTGGCTGGAATTCACATGCAAGACACAATTTTGAAATGCAAGGTACTATCACTGCACCAACTTTTTTTTTTTAAGCAATGTTCTCACTTTTGATCCTTCATGGAAAACCATCTTCCATAAAAACAAGGTCACAAATAAAGAATGCTTACTGCACTGTGACGTCCTGGCCTCCAGATTTTCAGACGATGTGCCCGGTCCGTTCGCGTTGAAACCGACCACCCGCAGGCCGTAGCTGGTGAAGGGTTTCAGGCCCGTGATCAGGTAGAAGGTCTGCTCGGTGAACAGCTCCAGTTCCTGGGCCACCCCTGCGCTCAGATCGGCGTAGAAGACCTTGTAGTTGAGGACGTCTCCCTGGGGTGCCCCCCAGGTCATCAAGAGGGCAGTACAGCTTCCATCCTCCCCTCGCGCCCGGACACCGGTCGGCGATCCCAGATACTCCCCTTTTTGTATTTGAAGAACCAAACAGAGGAATCACAATTAAATATCAACGTGATAGTGATGTAAGCGTAAACTGTGCTGAAATATCGATGCAAAAAACGCGTCAATTTCATATGTACTAATGCTACTCACTCTGAGAACTTGTTTGACTTCCTGACAGGCCAAAAAGGAAGTTTACCAGCCACACAGCGAAATTGCAGCAGTCTTTTACAAGTGATTTCAAAGCTGATAATTTTTCTCCAAAGTAAGTTACTAACAGGCATTTCTGGTAAACTACAAGTTCACCAAATATCAGGAGAAGCTCCAGTGTGTTCTTCGTGTTGACATGAGTGATGTATGGATTTTTCAAAAACTGACTCAAAAAATTAGGAATTCCCTTTGCACAAATCTACACCATTATTTTGTCAACCCTGTATAGTCAACATATTCTTAACTTTTCTTAAATTCGACTTGAATAAAAGATCTTGCCTTTTGACTTTTTTTCCCAGAAAACAAAGAGATTTGAGATGGCTGTAAATGATCCTGAATAAAACTCTGCTGGGAAGACTATCATGTGAAAGAATTTAGGGAGAAGTGGTTGAGACTAAACTGCTGAATTACAAAAAAAATGTACCATGAGGTAACGTCTCAACGACCAAGACATCGGACGATTCTCCAGCTCCGTTCTCATTCAAAGCAAAGACGGTGACCTCATATCTCGTCTCTGGAATCAGGTCACTGATGACCTTTGCTAGTTGACCCAGGTCATGCACAGTTTCAACCTTTTGCCTGTTGGAAACACGTACGAAAAAAAAAAAATACAGTATGTTTCAGAGGAATGTTGAAGGTTTTAGAGTGCTGAAGTTTGAAATTCATGACAGAAGACAAAAAGCACTAACTTTACTGAAATCTGAAATTCTGAAATTTACAGACCATTGGACATCGTTGCACACAAGAGGGCGCTGTTCAAGATGGAAGGGACTAGACACCGTTGATTTTGCTGATAGATGTGACCAATGGGGTTTTCAACATCTACACATCCCACTCCCTCCGACACACCCCCGTTCAAAATGAATTACGCTGATCCAAGCCCCACCCCATTCCACTCCCCCCCCCCCCATCCCCCATCCAAACCCCACCCCCCCCCCCCCAAAAAAAAACGGTGTATGGTGTACATACCCTCCATTCCACTTAATGTAAATCCTGTAGCTTTGCAGGGCACCATTCAGTTGCACTGGTTCCCTCCAAGTCAAGCGGAATGACTGAGCCTGGATGTCCGCGGCCGTCAAGGTGAGCGGCTTGCCGGGTACCGGTCCTGTGTCTGGTGGGCCGGGGGGAGATTTAGTTGTTATTGGCGGTGGGGGCGCTGGTGACATGGTTACGGTTGTCGTAGGGGGGCGCGTTGGGATGGGAACACCTATTACGTCAAGGGAAGGTTTGGAAGGGGGGGGAGGTGAAGATTCCAGGCCATGCGCACAAGGAAAAGAAAAGGAAACAAAACAAAAAGAACAACAACTGAAATTCGCATGCAATTAACAATGAAAACGTGCTGCTTGCAAATGCGTGTTAAAAATAACATACATACATATATATACATTAACCAAGATTTATGATTATCATGCAAACAATCACACAAATGCTCTGTAAATTACACAAAACTTTTACAACAAAACATAGCACGTACAACAAAATTGTTCTGAATTGATTAACATAAGATCTTCATTCATGCCTGACGTGAGACATATACACGTTTGCATTGAAAATGGCACTGCACCAACACAGATACTTTGACAGACCGAGAGTAAATATTTGACATACCGGGTATGTACCCGTAACTAAAGAAACCGTTGATCAGTATTTCATAGCATGCAAACAAAGTACAATCGATTACATGTACAAGATATGAATGACTAAAACACCATGTAAGTAACATAAAAGAAACTGCATGATGCTCAGCGTCACCATAAAACAAGCATTAGAATTACACTAAGTCAGAAAATGGTGGAAAACTTCCTTTTTTAGTCATTGAACTACGGACAGACAAAAGACAAGATTTGGTAGATTGTTACATGTCTTTGTCAAGTTTGTGTCTGTAAAGTTAGACTCACGCGCTGTTAAAGTCTTCCAAATTTACTGTTTGTAAGGAATTCGTTTTCTAAACTGCATCAAAAAAGTGCCTTTCTCAACAAGATGAAATACATAATTGCTCTTCTTACATGTATTTAAATTCTTCAAGCACTCACTGCAAGAGTGCAGCACAATTCATTTGATTCAATACCTAAAATTCAACTTTTCATTTCTTTCATTGACAATACCATGTAGCTTTCCCCCTGCCAATGTATTGATGTTTATTGTTACATGTACATGTCGTAAAACTATTGAGACAATTGGACAATCTCATTATAGGCCATCGCATTAGTCTTTATTAGATGCAGACTAAAATGGCTTAGCATTTAATGGCAGTTGGGGTATACATACAAAGAGGTAATTACCCTGCTGAGTAATCGACGTTAAGAGCCAATAAAGAGGGATTTCGCTGGAGCCAGGTCTGGCTAACGAGCAGACAAAAGGCACAGAGCGCCAGATTCGTTACGGAATATTGAGCTGTTAAAAGGTTGGGGTAGGGAGGGAGGGTTCAAATATTAGCGTCTGGAGGCGTCAAGTAAGGTACTGCATAATAATTTGGTAGTTTTGGTTTTTGATGTTTGCAAATGGTGTATATATTAACTCATGCGCTTTTATTATTTTTAAAAATACACGGATGGGAACTAAACCCACATTCTTTTTTTCTCCATACAGAAGCTATTCCTTTACAATGTAATGCAGACAGATTTTGAAGAGGAAGGACGACTGAAGACAATGTTTTCGAGAGGTTGGCAGGTGGCCATTAAATGTATGAGCAAACATCCTCTTAAGCCTGAATGGTCCAAGCGTCTCATCCTTTATGGGGCTGGATAAAGCTGCGCTGACAACATTAATGTACTTTCTGACAATGTGAGTGATGATATAATGCGCAACATTCTGTCATGATGACAGACTAGGGATAAGAGGGCAGATGTTTGCAAGCTAAGACTTGAAAATCACAGGGATCATACTGCCATTTCTCACAGGGAAAAAACAAAATTGAAAATGTGGATGACGGCAAAAAGCTTGCTGCCTGAAGCCATAACGTTTTGAAAATATGTTTGTCAAAGCTGTTTTTTCTACTTCATATAACTCACTTTAATTTTTTTTCTACTGCATTTACCTGTTTCTCCACCCATATTTTAGGTATTTTGTTTTTTTTTTTGGGGGGGGGGGAGAGTCTGATGTTTCAATCTTTCTTTTGTTGCCATTAATGCAAAATTATATCCATACAGGTTCAGTACAACAGTGCATGGACATAACATATGATCATATAACGGGACCCATCATTGGTTGGCAGAGTTGGCGAGTGTTAACAATGACCAATTAGAATGTGATTATCATAAGTCAGCAACATGTAATTGGCACAGCTCTATTAATTTTATTTTTCACTTCAGGTATCATTTCAGTTTAAAAAAAATCTGAATCATATGCACATTTTGCGAGAAGTAAACATCAGACTCTTTCAGTTTGAATATTTAAGAAGAACATTTTATATGTACAGTCATCGCCTCAGCACACTGAAATTCACCCTGCATCGCCTGTATGAATCAGCAAATGTTAATCTTCCCCCGAAACCAATAAAAACCAATAAAATCATATAATGCGTCCAGTCTGCAGCGTTGGATATGCACACCTTAAGTCCACAGCCCAAGGAGGGACTTCTCAACCAGCATGTCCAAGAACAGCCGTTTGAGAGTACAAAAAACACGTGTTTGCGCTTTATGGATTCAGGCGCTGGTGCGTTGACGCAGGCCGGGCATGACTGAGATCTAGACCTCTCCCGGCTCAGCCTACTCCAGCGAAAGCAACGGAATGTTTGGGGTGCACGTGCCAGGCTGTTCTTGCACACTCCCCCCGGGGGGAAGTAGTGGATTAAAGATGGCTGCTCCTCATGTCCCAAGACGGGATGGGAGAGAAGAGCGAGGCGAACGGGGAAAAAAACCTCCCAATTGCTTGGTAAAAAGTGCGATAACCCTGGGGGCGGACTTAGCGCAACCGCACCCCAACACCGACGGGGAACAAATCCGAGCACCGGTATCGTAAACACGCGCCTCGGGCTCAGGACCGTTTTTGCCAGCGCTGAAAATTGGTCCCCCTCATCCAATTAACAATCATTTTTTGGGGTTACCAGTAGGCTTGGCCAAATAGGATCATGCTAAATTGGAGCAACACAATTTTTTTTTTTTTTTTTAGGGAAAAAAAAATACAGTTTCATATAATTCATCTACTTAAGAAATTATGCAGCGGGAATCAAGGGAATGTTGGAGCAGAAGAATTATGCGCACAAATCTAATTGAATAAGCTTAAATTGCTGGAGTGAACCGTACCGATTACTTTTGGTTACCTAACAGGTTTGAAATAATTCAAACTATGAGTAATTTATAACTGAATAAAAAAAAGTAGTGATTTAACGCCGGAAAAAAAACGCAGGGAAAAAAACGGCAGAAAAATTCAACAGACAAAACGTTTTCACGAAAATATGTATAGAATTTGCAACTACACTGAAGAGCACAGGTTTTTTTTGCCGATCATCTTGAATTACATAATATATATAAAATTTGATAGATACATGTACATAATTTAAATAATCCACAGGAGTTTTTAAATGCCTGTAGTTTTCAGCTAACAATAACAAAAACAACATAAAAGGAACATAATTGTCCATGTACCCGGTATCATCATCGTGTACTACTAGCATCATTGATTTAATTTCGAATTGAATTCTAGATGTACGTGTACGTGTATTCTGAACTGTGGAGCAAGAGGAAACAACATTGCATCCAAATGAGGCAGTTGACAGCGTCCTTTATTAAATAACACATTCAAATGTGCCCCCAAAACGTGTTCCGTCACACATTTACTTCAAAACAGTATCTGCCGACTAGTGTGGGTGGCAATGTATTTTTTTTTAAAATTATTGTGGATGGTATTCATTTCTTTAACGCCACACAAATTTTTCCAGGCACAACTGCCGCGAATTCTGCAGATTAGCATCTGCTCGAAATGTCAAAATTTACATTTGGCAATCATCGTCTTTAAACCTTCAACTACAACAACCCCCCCCTTCTGAAATTCCCGGGACGGTTGTGGGAATAGATGCAATATGTATTTACTCCATGGACGAGTGTCCGAGTCCGTTGCCTTTTGCTGAGGGTGCGTGTCATTTCAGACAAGTCGCTGAAATGCCACTGACAGAGGGACAAACAACGTGTCCAACGGGGCTCGAGGCAGTCCGGTCTTTCCTAGGGATTGAAAGGCATGTCAAGCTGGATGTTAAAAAAAAAAGAATGGCAGCAAAAAGAAGGTCTGCCTGTACCAAAGGTTGAAGGACCGATTTTGAGAGCTGAATATTATACTCTTGACGACTGCGTACGTGTACAAGGGTGTGTTTATTGAGAAAGAGTAAGACAGACAAGGAGGGTAATAGCTAAATATGAGTTCTGATGACCTAGGGCTGGTTTCATGGCGATTCTAAGCACAGCACTTTGCTTTCTTGCTCAGCAGAGAAGATAATTGCTTAGCAAGAGCAGGTTACCGACCAAAGTGTCATGCAACATGCACTGTATAACATGTGGCTGGTTCTCAACTGGTTTTCGCTAAGCGTGAACATTTGCTTAACGACTATTTTGTGCTATTAAAAGCAGCTCCGCCAAATTGGGCTCATCATGAACCTGAACCCAAATACTTCTTTAGTCCATAAAGCAATGGCTATTTCTTCTCTGGGAATCGTTGACATAAAACCAGGTTTTTTTGGAGGTTGATGAAATTCTGTTTGACTCAGCAAACTTCAAATTTCGGTGAAGTAAAATTCTGTCTCACTCCCCAGTAGGGTAACTGATACAAAACAAAACTCGTGATCTCAGAATTTTTCACGAATGCCCCAAAAAATACATGTACCGGTACATTTCGCAGCTGCAGTTATCAAAAAGCAATGCACGAACTTGCCAGAAGATGACTCAAGTTATCAATAAAGATCAGCATGTCTTCCTGCACATCTAATGTATCCACTGTACACTTAATGTCTGATTCTGTGTTCCGAGATCTAAGAGATTTAATCATGAAAATGCAATGAGGCGACCTTTTAAAAGAAATGGCTTTTCGGTTCGGATTTTTTTAATTTCATCTCTGCGCTCAGGGGCAGTTGGGTCAGTCTTCTTGGAGCAATAACAATTTTAAAAGTTTGCATTTGATTAATTACTGTCAGTTGTGCCCGAGGGGAAAAAAAGCCAACCTGCAGAAAGTTGCAATCATGGAAATCGATTTGCATGCAAGTCAAGTTCACTGGCCTCAAGACAGGCACGAATTAAAAGTCTGCTGCTGTAGTTTGAAAAAATGTTACAAATTGGAAAATTGATCCTTCTGGGGGAAAAAAAGACAAATACTGTGGCAAATGGAATGGATAGTTACAGATGTTTTAGATTTTTGTTAATTTGAAGACACCATACATGTCACAGAAAGATTACTTGAAAAAAAGTCACGTATTTGGCTGTTTTCAAGACCTTAATATCAAGTCGACGTGACTGGTGAAGTGAAAAAATAGAAGTCTAATTGTGTTAAGTAAGGTAATGTAGGTGTACCTTCATAGACATGTAAACTGACATTTTCCCCCCTCCAAAAAAAAAAAAATTCATGAAACAAATCCAGCGGAAAAATAGATATTGTTTACTTCCAATAACAAGGAGAACTCAGCCTGAAAAATATAACTCGCAGGTCTGCAAAGATTTTAAGTCATTAGTGTGAAAGCTGCAGGAAGATTGGAAAACAACTGCCCTGCTGAGCTCGTCCATGTTTTCCTTTTTATAGCGTATCTCTCTTTGATTGACACCCAAGGGCTTTCAAGACGCGGAAAGTGCATTTAATGCGCTGCGCTCGATCCCGATAGAATTTCTCCTCTTTTATTGCTGCTGGCTCTCTCTCTCCCCGCCGCTCATAAATTGAGTGATAACGTTTCCATGGCGACGGGATAACCGATGTCGCAGGGAATAGATTAAAAGATCTTCTGCTGTCATTTTTTTTAGCAATGGATGATGGAGTTTATGAGTCCGGGATGAATCCGAGCTGCGAGTCTGATATGGGTATTAAGAATTACTTTCGAGTAATTTACGGCTTGCGAAGGTCCGTGACGATACCGTACATGTACATGCCACAAGCTTGCCACAAAACACCATACTGAAGAATTACAGACAAGTGATTCAAATGATACTCATGCAATAGACGATTCTTAAGAATCACTTTACGTAAATAGCCTAAGAAGTCAAAACAAAAATGGCACAAAATGTTGAAATTAACAAATTAAGGATCACTGACAACATCAAAATCAGCTCGTAATGAGTGGGGAATGGGGCAGGTCAACTGTTCACACAAGGGTTCATGGGTTCATGGGTGTACTGCATAATCTCGTCCATAAATATTATATTCTTGGGTGTAAAATTTAGCAAATTTTGTTGACTTTTATTTGATCACGTCTACCAGAGATTTTGGGAATGAAACCCAGAACAGAATTCCTGAATGAAATATCCTTGTTCATTTGTGGCTGCACTGAGAATTACTAAATAAAGCTTCTGTCAACTAGAAATGAATACTGATATCATTAAAATTTCTATCATTACTAGTTTTTTGGATATTTCATAATTATGTTAGTACATGTATGTTGTAAGTCCTGTGTCACTGGCACGTCACGTCAATACACGTCAATGGGGAGTCAGGTTGGCGTAGCTGCACTTTCCTCGCCTTCCACCGTTGTGACCCGGGCTCGAATCGCGCCTGAGCCAATGTGTGGATTGGGTTTTCAGTCCCTACCTGATTTTGTGGGTTTCCCCTAGAATATTCTTCTGGGGTTTTCCTCCCACTTCTAACACTGTAATTTCTTCTCATTGTCTTCTCTCTACAGGTTTCTTCAGGCTTGCGAGCTACAGTGCCTAGGGCGCTTTTGAGGAATCCCTGGTTTCAGTACCAGAAATTAAAAAAATAATAATAATAATAATAATGCAGAGTTGTAATTAGGTCGATATTGAGTCACAAAAGTCGGAGCAGAAGTAAAAAGGATAAATTGCAACAAAGGAAAGTCGTTGTCGTAGATTGTTTGAAGAGCTCTTTACTAGACTTGTATTCAGGAAAAATATTAACTGTCCTGGAAAAAAAAGGTTAGATTTCATACCCTCTCTCAATACAATCAGCTCAGCAGACGCCTGGATGTTTTCCAACCGGTTGTCAGCGACGCACTGATATATCCCAGCATCCTCTTGGATGACCTGGTCAATAGTCAGGCTCCCGGCACTGACCAGGTACACATCGCCGGGCTCCAGCTCCTCGCCTTCCTTGGACCAAGTGGTGGTAGGACCCGGGATGCCATACGCGTTGCAGTTGAGAGTCACCGAGGACCCGACGTTGGTGTAGGTGTTCTGCGGGCGGATGTTGAACTTCAAGGGAACTGGCCGGATTAAGAACAAAAAGTTTTGATCTGTGAATCTGATTCACTGAATATGTAGGGCCGTGTCCGAAAGTTGTGGCTGCGGCTGCAAAGAACACGTTCGCCTATGGAAGCCACTGGCTTGAGGCTGCAGCCAATTCTCATAGACGTGTGTGTTACTCCCAGCCGCAGCCAGTTGATTCGGACACGGCCTAAGAACACGTTCGCCTATGGAAGCCACTGGCTTGAGGCTGCAGCCAATTCTCATAGACGTGTGTGTTACTCCCAGCCGCAGCCAGTTGATTCGGACACGGCCTAAGACAAACAATTTAAAAAATCCTAAAAGAAATCTTGGTGTGGTGCCCAGACTACTTGTACCTCAAATACTTTATCTTTCAACTGTGTCTCTTGGCACCATACCTAAACTTCTCCACAGACATGAACCTGTACAACAGGGCCAAATTAAAAAAACGAAATTCTTCAAAAAGCAAATAAGAAGAACTTACGAAAGCAGCACTCAGACTTTAATCCCGTCTATTTCAACAAAAATCTTCGATTCAATGTCTGAATGACACTTTTCCAATGACCTTGTCTTGTGGGAATATCAATGACTAAAAGAGATAATTGAATTTGAAGTGCTTCACAGGATTGTACAGGTTCCTGACACAGGAACGATTGCGAGTTGAGATGTGAGGATTCCTACACAAATAAACACTTTGATTCGTATCTATTCAGCCTGACAGACACTCAAAATCATTGGGTATAGAGTCCCCATGCAAACTCACAAAAATGAAAACACTTCAGAAGCTTGGTATACGCCGTGTTCATCCTTCCTAGAGTGAAGCTCTCGTACTTCTAGACACAAGTTTTCAACAACATATTTTTTTGTCTCCAAAGGTCAAATTTTGTCAATGGGCAAGACCAACTTACATTAAGCCTTTTGACGTGTGCGTCGTGTCAACGCTTGCACAAACCATTTCACGGATTCGCCGAATTACAAACCAACTACTTATGAAAATATTCAAAAATGCGTCACTTACGCATCTTTGAAAATGGCCTTCTTTTATTGTTTTCTTAAAAATGACAGCATGCCAGAAAGAATAATTTCACAGGACAGCATGCCAGAAAGAATAATTTCACAGGGAGTTTCGTGCCGTTGCTATCTTTTAACCAAGTATGCATTTCAACAATAGTTTTGTTGGTTACTTTTCGGATAGCTGCAAATGATCTACTCTACCTTTAAAATGGCCATTTTGAGTCTGTGTTCAGACTAGACCAAAAACTTCCGTTTAAAGGAAAATCTATCTATACTCAGTGACCAAGTCAGTCATTCAGTCTCTCAGTCAGTCAGAGGACCAAACGCTGGCTTCTCAGGTCCAGCAAAAACTTTGTATTTACCTAATGCGGTAACCTTGACGATGCGATCCAGGGCGGTGCCATCAGCGATAGACGTGGCCAAGACGCGGTAGAGCCCAGTGTCAATCTCTCCGAGTTGCTTGATTCGGAGACTCCCCTGGCCGAGCAGGGCATAGTGATCCTCTGTACCGGATCCCACGCTGTGATGAGGGATGAGGACAAGGGAGGAGGATAAGTTTATCAGATACAGGGTGAAAGTGAAGAGAGATGAGATATGTGGCGATGAAAAGCAAGGCCGCGTAATTACGCCATAAGGAGCCCCTTTTTGCAGAACATCAAAAGCGTTCACTTCGGAGTGCAGTGGCCGACATTCTTGTTCCACGCACCCAACCCGTCCTCTTTAGAATGAAATACTAGACATCTTTCAACAACGTATCGTAATTTTCTTCATTCGAGTCACGAGTCTGCACACTAGTCAATCAATGTAGCCCTTCCCTGTAGCTTTTTAGAACGAATGACTTTAGGACAGTTGCCTCCGTTGACAGAGCCAACAGCACACTATAGGAACAGCATTTTTGTAATAATCATGTACACAGCTAAATGATAAAAACCAAGATAATCTGGATATTTCTGCGATCATTGATTTGCCTGTGATACAATCAATTAGTTGCATTACTTCAGATGCAAGACAGCAATCCACTGTGTGAAACCAATTGATAAATTCTGTTGTTAATCTCAAAAGCCACACAGTTCACGGTTTTGGAGATTTTGTTAGTAGGCAATGTGAGCATTTTTGTACACATTATTTTTTTTTTTTAACTTTAACCACTCAAAAGCCGCTTCGCATTGGACTTAATTTTGCAAACAGTTACAGCAAGTGATTGTCAACATTCCGTTGCGGTTATTCTACTGTGCGTCTACACTTGGATTAATTTCGGCCCGCGGAAAGTCATTCATTATTAAGTCAAACTAGCAATGTAATTCTAATGCAAGTCGGTTACCAGCTGATCGGCATGACGTTACACGAGACATGGTTTGCATGGTGAAAGAAATCAAATGGAGATAAGAATCGGAGCAGAAGACTTTGGCAGGACTCACATGAATATCTCAGCGCCGTCTTTGAACCAAGTGAAGGTGGCCGGTGAGTCGGTGGCAGCTTCCAAGACGACGGTCTGGCCAACAGGTGCTTCCGTCTCCTGAGGAGCCTTGATGAACTGAAAGGAGGGATTCGTTCCTATGGAAACAAACAAGAGTCAATTTGTCTTACTTTGTTATACATAGAGAATGCTACAATCTCATCGAACCAGCTACATATTGCACATCACTTCCCTTCATTACAAAGTGTGGTGAAATTTATTTATCATATAAATCTGCTTTTTGCAGTGTAAGTAAAAATAAAAATGTTAATATGTGATTCTCCTTCCCCTGAAGGTCATTCATAGACTAATTTTTTTTTTACATTTTATGTTTTGCATGTTAAAAAGTACTTAAAATTCCTTTTAAAAAATCATAACATATACTGACTTTTTAATTTTAACTCATCACCTGTACTCTATTGTATTCCACAGTATTTATTCACCGATGAATCCAAAAAATAATAGCACTCCTTTTCTTGAATTTCCTGAGAGTATGGACATCAATCTGATTATTTGTGTCAAATTTCACTTTTGTGAAACCCCCTTACTAGTCAGAAGTTTAAGGTTTTGAAAGGTAAAACATTTCTGCCACTCCTCCAAAAGGAACAGATTTTAAAGTCAATGACCACCAGTTTACCTGGGTTTACAGTCAGGACAGCATTAGGGCTCTGGACCGGTGAAGTGACCATAGGATTAGTTGCTCGGCATCGGTAGGTTCCTGCGTCCGTTGACCTCACTTCTCTAATCTCCAACCCACCGCTGGGCATCAGGGTGTATCGGGCCGAGATCCGTTCCTCTGTCAGGTCTAGCACTTGGGCATTTTTGGACCAACTGTCGATAAGAGGAGGAAGTTATGCACTTTCAAAACCAGTTCAATTTGTGATCTATTTGTCATGCAACAATTTTATAATAATGTACGTCTCATCAACTTAAGGATTCAGCTGGATTTTCCTCACCTGCCAACCTGTGATCAAAGCGATAATCCCGCCCAGAATTTTTCCACACGCCTGTGATTTTCAAATCAGGACTGATTTCTGGTTCTGGCACGATACTCTTTGAGTCAAATATGGGGTTTTTCTGCAACCTCTAAAAGCGAATATTCCTCTTTTTGGAGATCCAAACTACCATGGGGGATTTTTTTGGGAGGGGCTTGGAGAAATTTTAGTTTCATGAAAAGTACCATGCAAAAGATGCAACTTGCCTTATTTCTGGTGCTGGGACTGAGTTGAAACTACATTCAAAATACACGGTATCCCCATCAAATGCTGTTGTGCTTGACGGGCCATCTTGGAGAACCAATTCTAGGACAAAGAAGAAACAAAAGGCTGAATTAACTTTTAGCATACTTTGCGAAAGAAATCAGGTGTTTAAAGGTATGTGTTTAGGGTTTCAAATCAGTGGTGTAGACAGGACATTTTTATAATAATGATGTGGTGCTTATATAGCGCTTTATACCAAAGGTCTCAAAGCTCTTCATAATTATTACCCCGGTTCATCAGGCCATGAGAACAGTTTTTGCAGCAGCTCGCGATCAGCCCATTCTGGTCTCTACCTGCACAGGTACCCATTTATACTCATGGGTGGAGAGAGGCAATTGTAGTAAAGTGTCTTGCCCAAGAACACAAGCACCATGTTCATCGTCAGGGTTCGAACCAAAGTACCACGGCATGTGAATCGAACACTGGGGAAACAGCACCCTAGTGGGTATTTTCTCTGCTACTCTCGGGAAAGTGCAAAGCCGTTAAGGGTGAAAATAAAATAGCAACATGACAACTAAACTAGTCACAAACTTCCCGTTACATTGGGGTCCAAAAAGGAAATAATTTCACTGGTTCCCCGCTATACCATCCAATGCACACGTTAACACAAGTGAGCATATGGTACGTTCCATGACAAATGTATCCTTCATGCTTGGACAGTTGCAATCCAGGGGGACAAAGACTTGTACCTTCAAAAAAAGAAGGTGAAGGGATTACGGTGTTTGCAAAGCCAACATTCCGTTCCGCTTTCCGGAATTCCGTAAACAGCCATCGAGTGCTTACAATTGGGGTTAATCCTGGCCCCAACGGTGGGCTTACGGACAGAATCAAATGCCAATGGGTTGCATAGATGCTACTGCTATAGGGATAGGGGGATTAACACTGCGTGATGACCAGTGAATGGGGCAACGTATGAACTAGCAGAAGGGCCCTTGAGGCAAACAGGGATTCAGTCAACTTTAAATACTGAAAATAACAAGCGCCTGTATTCATCATAATGCTACATGAAAGCCCTATGGGTACAAATACGTGGAGTTCTATACATGTACAGTATATGCCATTCCTGAGTTACAATACTTGACTCCCTTTAAATGGGGTAAGGGCACGGTATGGCGAGGTGACATCAAGTTAGAGTGGGTGGGACAATTTATGTTCCTGTAAAAGGTTTTAAATTGGAATAATTTGAAATGCCAGTTACAAAAGTTAGATTTCTCGGATGAAGAAAGAAAACGTCGCGTGTTGCAGATTTCGACCATTTGCCACTGCAGTGTGAACGCGGACTGCGTAAGGTTCCCACATGCTGTCACAAATATCTACGGTCTTAGTCTGCGCGTCCCTCGGACCACAAACATAAACTACACGATTGTTTCTTCCGCAGAGGGGGTGTACATTGACTAGAAACGCTAAAAAAAAAAAATCTTGTGAAAATAAAAAATAGACAGACTTTTGACAACACCACAAAAATAACCATTGATAAGATATGGACAATGAGACAGCCATACCTTTGCATACAAGGCAAACAAAAGACGCATACAATATTATGAATGTGTCAAGGACGGATATTTCTGCTATGGTGATCCCCTTGTTATATCCATGTGGAGAACCCTCTGTATAAATTAACTGGACCGTACACTGGCCAGCCGCAAGGAATATAAAAAAATAAGAGAAAGAACTTCATAGTTCAGCAACAGCCTGGTATGAATGGAGCAGAGAAATGTTTTTCTTTCAAAGTGGTTTCGTTTCTTTAGAAACGCACCCTCTTTTTTCTTTCATACTTGGAACCTGCGGCTCACCGAACCTGCGGCTCCCCGTCATCAGCTGTCTGGTGTAAAATTCAACACCTCTGTTGCCAAGTTGTTGTCGAGGGCGCTGGAAAACACCCAGGAATTTCGAAGTTGGTTTGGATCTCTTTGAGAGTGCGCTACACAATCATTAAATATGTGAAGAGTTTGTTTCCGAAAAAGTAGCACATGATATATCCATTTGAAAAAGGTGAAAAGTTTGCACTGTTATGAAACTTTAAAGAACAAAACGGTATATACGGTAACAGCTGTTTTTAAACTTCGTTTTTTGCCTGATTGTATTCTTAAGTTGCGTCTAAGTATATAACAGCCGACGAAATTGCTTTTGGACAGCCAGGAGACAGCAGGATTCTAAAAGGGAACAAAATGGCGTGTATCACGTTTTGGGAATAGACTCTGCATACTTTGCTCATAGTGTTTATGTAAATTTCAGAGATAAGCAAGAGATTTTTTGGCTTGTCTGCATGCTAACATGTACCCTCTAACTGAAAAATCTGTTCTTACATGCTTAGTGCAGGCTATCTTACTATGTTAGCATGAGACGGTGATCGTAAGCACAGAATTCCGTGGTCAGCACAACCATGAAATTAGGCCATGTTTGTTTTCTTGCACTTCAATTCAATGTCAAGGCATCAAGTCTGCCTAACCACCCTATCATTACTGTCCAGCTGAGGCAACCACTGTGAGAGACCGTCTTGTTTATCAGCACCTACTCACGCCACACGCGCTGCCACCGCGACGGAAACGGCGCTCGGGCAACGGGTCTTTATCCTCGCTTTATTGCATTCTTGCTTGTTGAACTGGACGAGGCCGACATTTTAAGTTCGCACCTCTTAAGCTCGTAGTCTGGGCACGCTTTTTCTCAAACGCTTCCCGGAATGCGGGAAGTGTTTTGGCTTTCAAGGGATAGGCGGGCTGGCTATGCCTTGGACGGTGCCCTTTAGCTTGAGTGAGTGGACACTGAAACAACAAGAAATTTGCACCGGGAAAAACAGACAAATAACTGCTGTGTGTACTTTGCGTTGCTAATTTTATGTGGGAATTGTCTAATGTGACAATGAAAATTAAATTTTTTTCAGAAATTTTCTGTATTTTTAAAATTATTGCTGTTACTCTAGGGTGATTACTTCCATATTCAGCAATTTAAATATGCTTTAAATATGATTTAAATGTTTTTTTTCCCCTTCGTTTCAAATTATATAATTTAGGAAGATTTCTTGACAGAAGTGGAACATGAACAATTCTGACACAATTCTTTTTTAGATCTAATGAAGGTGCATGAATGAGAACAGCTTGATTATGAGACTTGTAACAAATATCTCTCTCTTTTGGGAAGATTTTTGAGTGCTCGATTTACGAGAATGAGACAAAATTGTGGGGAAAAAAATGTTGTTCCCCTCCTTTGGCGTGCACTCAATTTCTGTGTGACAGCAATTAAAGTCATCCTGTCATTAATATCATTCAATTTTAGATGGCGCGCATCAGCGACAACAAAATCTGATGCACGGCAAACAGATTTCGCAAGCTATGAATAATGCATCACCAAGGAAACTACGAGAACCCCCGGTGATATTGGGGGGGGGGGGAACAATATATGATAAAAAAATTCCATCGTAGCTACGGGCTTGGCTAGCTGGTCAGTTGTCTATTAGATCACGCGCGAATGGTAAATTGCCTGACGGAGATTAATCTTTTCTGGACAGGGAACGGGAGTTGAAGCGTAGAGGTATCTTCTCATTGTTTCTGTTGAGGGGACAAGGCTTGGAGCTGTCTGGTTAGCAATACACCTGCTTGTCTTTATTTCTTTCCCCCTCGGAAATTTTGAGAGGTCGTTTCAATAACTTGATAACTGTAAGAGGAAAGAAAAACAATCCAATTTGCGCGTGATGCCTTCACCGTGAACAACTTAACACTTACTTACGGCTCTACTGTATGTATTTGGATGCCTTGAATCTTCTTTTTTTTTCAAATGTGAATATGAAGATTTTTTAAGACGGTGACTAATGACAAAGATTGACACGGACATCTGATGCTCGTTGAGATACAACGAGATGAAATAAATGAATTAAAATGTACCTCGCGTTTCTTACAGGATCGTTAATGCTTCATTCGTAGTAGTTCAACATGTACACCCTTATATTTCATTGATACGGACAAGCCCATTTGGCCACGAGAGAGTAACAGAAGGGGGGGGGGGGAGATCTCATAAATTGTTTACTTTTTATTTACTATTCAAACATGTTAACTAATCAAAAAAGAGTTCAAATCACTCGTTCGTTCATGAAACAAACTAAGCATCAACGGCTTCCAGCTAAGCAGAGAGTTTGTTTTCACCGACTCAAGCCAGTGGAATCTTGCAACAGATGGGGACAGATTGTTCCAATATTGACACAAGTCGTTTGAGGAAAACTTTCAAAGACTGGCAAACAGCGACGAATGTTTTAACCAGGTCAATGCAAAGGGCAGTCCATGGGGGGGGGGGAATTGAAGGAATATAACCATCAAAAAAAGAAAGAAAGGAAAGAAACGGTTCCGTTTGCTTCTCGGCTTCAAACGATGGTCAATATTTCCCCTCCTCTTTGGCTGAATTCTCAAGAGGGATCCTTCGTTTTATTTTTACGATCAACAGCCGCGTGTGTGACGCTTTGACGACGGGAAAATATGAACAAGAACTTATCCGAGTTCCGGCTCGGCAAACGATTCGAAGGGACGTTTTCTGTCGCAGAGCCTCACTTCAAATTTGCAGTAGGTAGCCGACTGTATCGGGTGGCGCTGTGTCCCAGACATCCTGTCTGAAGACGAGCCTTTTGTTTAATGAGTCATTTTCGTTGACTATCTCTGTACCCTTCTCTCCATTTGATGACCCCATTGGTAATGAAGAGAGACTTTGAAATAGATGGAACACGAGCCGAGTGGTTTATAGGAGTACTTTCCTTGATGAGAAAATGGGAACCGCATTACTTCGTAAAAGGGCACTCTGCCACGATCATTTGTTCTTAGTGGAAACTGAAAAATGTGCACAGATATACGCATATATTCGCACTATTTGAAGGAATCTCACCTTGAACTGTGTCAGCGTCATCCTACATGTAAATGTTTTGGATTCACGTACATACAATGTACATGTACTGTTCATGTGAATTTGTTTAACTTACAATGGCAAATGACGTGTGAAGATTTTTTGGAGTAGTTGCATATGAGAAGAAAACAGAAACCTCTTTTTGGCAGAAGAGGATTGTACATATGGTATAACTAGCATGACAATTTCACAGAAACTTGGAAAATTTTGAGCCAACATTTACTTATTGTGTGAAGGGTAAGTGTGTATGCCAACTTTTAATTATAACAACAATTTTCATTCCATAGACATTTGACAAAAATTTAGCAATTTACAAGAAACGCATCCAATATTGTTTTTCTTCAGAACTGAATATTCTAGACCAATTTTCACCCAAAAAATCTCACAGGTGTTGTTATTCAATTTGTATCAAATACTCATAGAAAGCTGCTCATCCACACACACAAACAAGAAATTCCACTTCTTAATTAGAAATTCAAGACCTCTATCAAAAACCTGCCAGGGGACTTCAATTTCAGGCAATCCGTACACATCAATGAAATCCTTGCCGGCATGTCTTGTCTTGCCAAGATACTAGCGTGTTTGTTTTTCCCTAACCAGCCAAAACTGACATGACACCCAATAAGATATATTAAAAGAAGGCATCTCAAATAACAGTCCTTTTTTTTCTCATTCATTTCTCTTTCCCTCTCAGCGATCTGAGTAGCTAACGCATTCAGCTGTGTGCCGCAACGAGGCCGGCTCCAAAATGTCATATATATTAAAATGTTTGGCAGGGTTCTCGTTTTCAGTTCTCCTCCTCGGAGAATCCCTCCGGATCCGGTTACGTCGGCTGAAGCTTTCGAGTCCGCGCAATTTAGAGAACCGTGGGGCACAAGGTGTGCAAGAAGAAAGAGAAAAACAAGAACCGGCTGACAGAATCACTCCGGGAAATCACTCAGAAGCATCGTGTCTTCTGACGGATACTATCTTTTTTTAAGGGGCTAGGTCACTTGGCACAAACTACTTTGATGTGGCATCAGGCTACCCGAGATGGTTACGTTCTTCCGGATAATAACAGAGTACGTTTTTGTAGATGGCTTCACCTCGAGCAAAGAGACTTGCTCGACCCTTAATGCTTCTTTATTCTCCCTTAGTGACATACATGTACATGTACATGAACATGAAGTGCGAAAACAATTACAAAAAGTAACATTTAAGATGATGTTTCCAAGTGGGTTGTGACTTTGTATGTATACGTACAGTAAACCTGAAAGTTATAGGCACTTGAGATAAACGATTAGAAAGTAATTTAGGAGCACAGAAAGACAGTAATAAAGTGGAAACTTTATATTTCATTGACCCTAACTCCCTAGCATAAGTTACTAGGAACCATACCCATCCTGGCAAATTCCAACACCATATGGGAAACTGCACACACATATTTCTGACTTCGATTCTGAAGGTGTGCCAACCCAATGTAAAATACTGTCTGTTTAGGGGTACTATACCCATCCTGGCAGATTCCAACAAAACATGCCGTTGGGCTTTGATGGGTTGAGTTCTATTCGTAAGATGGAATTTTGCGTCGGGGTGATGTAAATCAAATTAGGTTTTGCCCTTCACTGACGGATTGAGTTCTGTTAATAATGATATACTGGCACATCTGTGACACTGCAGTTTATAAACTAAGGGAAGTATATGTAATGACTTTTTAAATAAATACATGTTGCTCACTACGTCCAGTTCTCATACTTACTTGCAACAGTAACAGTTCCTCGTCTGCTGATCAGATTTGTGTAAGTATCTCCGTCATCCATTTCTGCACTACACTGGTATGAGCCTTCGTCACCCAGGGACACCGGGGCAATGCGCAGCGCCCCATTGGACTGTAAAGTCCTGGTCGGGTCATTTGCCTGCACCGGACTACTGTCCTTGGTCCATCGGATGGTAGGCACTAGAAGGGAGTGAACTGAACAGTTGAGCGTCACTGAGGAACCCGGAACGGCGATAACGTTGGAGGGTTCAGAAATGAAGTACATTGGGTTGAATTCTGGTACATCTATTGGTGAGAAAACAAAGAAATACAAAAGATAAATTGGTAAATCTGAAAACTGGAAGGCATCAAAAGTTTTGGGAACCGTTAAAATCAGAGATGGGTAGGCTGTTGAAGATGAAAACTGGAGAACATAAAAAGTTGGAGGCAGGGTCGAGAGTATTTACCTTAACCCCCGTTTTCCTTCCCGTTTGACACAATGCTTTCAAAGCACCATAATGCAGCAATGTGTCAGAGTCTCTTTTGAACACAGTAATGTAATGGGCTCCGTGCACAAGTACGCCCTCTATGGTAAGGAAGGGAGAGTTCGGGGAGACCACTGGGAGAGACATGTGAGCTCATTGCCGACGACGTCTGATGCTCATGAGAAAACTCTATATTTCTGTGCACATTCTGCATAAAATATGTTGTGCGTACTTCGCGCTACACACGCGTGAACCAGTACGCCCTCTCTTGTTCGCGCCCGGAGCCCATACATATTTCTTCTTTTTCCCTTCCATTGTCAAAAGTAAAAAGAAATATTACAACAAACCAAAAACTACCTCATAAATAACAATTTCTCTAAATTTCTCCGTGTTTAATTTCAGCCAGTAGTGGGGTGTCCCATATCAAAATACACACTGGATTTTTTTTGTATGTATACACAGTCATAAACTGAACAAAAATCTAATTTCGTTCAAACACAAGTACTACATGTAGTACCTTGAAGCATTTGCGCTGGATTTGTAAACACTTGCGTTATTTTAAACATAAGTACAGTGCCAGTGAATTAGTTTTACTGGGGCAGTGAACAATTTGCTCGCGTTGATGAATTTTTTGTTTACTACTTCCACGAGTGACTTCATCCACCCAGGTCGGTAAAGCTTTCATCACTTTGAGATGTTCAGCCAACGTTTTGAAGGAGTCTTATGCAAACAGTTGCGTTCAATATCAGCGTGGTGTTTACTCTTAACAGCATTGGCCAATACGAGAGTTGTATATCTCCAAAAATCATCTCTGAGTAGGAAGTGTGGATGGTTTGATGTGCAAATATAAAAAAAAAAAAAAAAAAGGAACAAGAAAAAAAAAATCATTGGATCGGAGATGGGACAGGGCAAAGTGTAAAAGCGTGCGGCATGGCACGACCATTAGTCGGCACGCCACAAAAGACGGCCGTTATAGATTAAGCGGGAATTTACTTTGCTTGGAATGCAGGGATGGCACAAGATCACTGCTTATCACAACATCAAAATCCAGGCTGTTGGAAACATCACGCGGGCAAACAAAGACGGCTCCACGGAAACTGCGCTCTCAGTTAGCGATTTATTTACGACCTAGTCATCTGTTGTTCATATATTATTGCATTAGGTAAACAGCTAAGGGGGGGGGGGGGTGGGGAGTGGGGAAAGAAAAAAATCTTGAAATGCTGGCTAAGTCTCATCAATTGAAGATGCCGGAGTGTTTAATGACTTTGCTTTATCAATTTGCAATGAGTACCATTTTTTAACTCAGAGTATCAGATACATACGGTACATGTAATGATTGTGTTCTCAATTTGCAAAAAAAAAATTTAAAATATAGTTATCAATAAAGAAGAGTGCAAAACCACACAAAAGGTACCAAAAAACGCGTGCATAACATTAATGTCAGAATTTCAAATTATGTCTACTCTCAGTAAATTTATGTAGTGTACGTAATTACAGCTTGCATAGTGTAACTCAGTTTTTTGTTGGGGGAACCCAATTTTTACCCAGAAATTATATTTTGTAGGACAGATCTGAACAAATTAATAAGGAGACTCAGATGGTTTAAGCCACATCTGCATATAGCGTGCCACATAAAAGTGGGCCATGTGTAGAGACCCCCCCCCCATTGTTACGCCACTGCCGTAACTTCATTTCCAAAATCTGTAACCTTCACATTGCGCATGTACATGTACACGCAGTTGCATTGTAAGGGCATTACTGCTTTCAGATACTTCAAATAAGAACACAGCTTAAGTGCCTTGCTCATTGTGTTCGTTCACTCGGGTACATGAATATAATGGCATGAAATCTAAACATGACAATTCAGGAAAACACATGAGCACTCCAACTCCAAATCATCCGTGAGTAACTCGAGGACATTGGTACAATGCCTCTCCCCCCCCCCCCCCTCATGCTCCTGCATGCGGTGGGGGATTAGGCCCGCCATCTGTCCTAATGGGAGGATTACAACAAGACGTCTTAGCGCGGGATGCAGATGGGAGGGTAGATGAGAGGAGGATTAGCAGGAAGGAGATGGTATCTCATCGGCCGGCTTAGAAGCATCTGAGCTGAAGAACGGATTACAGTCATCGGAGCGAGGAGAGAAAACAAACAAAAAATCAATCATGCAGGACAGGACGTGACTTTGCGATGCCCAAAAGTAATTGAATAGAAGAAGAATTATACATGTATTTACTCGTGCAGCCTGTCTCAGAATTTGACGTTTACAAAACATGATGCTTGTGTGACGAAATGGTACTTTCTTTGTAACAAAGCTCATGATGATGTTTTACCAGATGTGAAAAGGTCTTCTTTTTTCACTCATTATCCTTGAATACTAATACCTCCTCAGTGCACACAGGGATTTTGACAAACTAACCCTTTTGGAAAATGCCTGCAGTGACTGCAAACTACATTTAATGTAGGACTGCTCTCAAGTTACAAAACAGAGTTAACGAACAGACGCTGTCTTTCATTGAGACTGCAGCATTGTGCGACTGTGCCAAGATTCTAATATGGTGATGAAAGAACAATTTTACTGATCAATAGACACAAAGAGCAATTTACGAGGGACATTTTCAAACTCTCGATGTGTTTTTGTATGGTTGTCCTAATGAGCAGCCTCACAAAATGGCGACCCATCGTTTCCGCATCACACCCTGACCTTGACGGAATAATTAACGACAATCACATCTGCCAGGCTTCCGCTAACGAACGCTGACTAATTCAATTAAATCAATCTGAATCACCGCCCATGAATATTAATGGCGGGGTCTATTAATGCTTAATGCCGGCCGCTGTCAGATCTCGGCACCATTTCATTAAAATTAATCGGAGGCATCAAGTGATCATTATGAGGGGCGGCTTGGATTTCACTCAGACAGCTGCGCTTGGATTCAAGTGGTATAATTGGGTCGTGTACTTTTACAATGGATGGTTGAGAGACGACACAAATTGAGTTTGGAGGACCAATGTGATAGCTGAACACGAGTCAATATTTGAACATTTGTCACATTAGACAGTTCCAGACAGGCTGTTACATTTAAGACACCTCCCCCCTCCCCCCATCCTTTTGGGTCCCCTCCCTCCCTCCCTGCCCTAATAGGGTACACAATATGAAGACAGGCACAATGTCCAGGAGAAAGGCAAATTAACAGAATTCCTTATTTTGAGATCATTCTTAACCAGTTCGCGCCGGATGACGTCTATACCGGTACAGGCAAAGGTTTTGCAGTATTCAGAACGGATGATGAATACACACGCAATGAGTGAGGCCGGAAATATCAGGGTGTGCTACCTGCAGATGACGGCCTGAACCCGTCTGGCATCGAAGTTCGTGAAAAACAATCCCGCACCTGGGTCCGGTCAATGTCAAAATAATCCCAGCGCAAACTGGTTAATTTAAAAGATACATATTATGTACATAATGTAAACACATACATGTGATGGTCTAAACTACATGTACATGTTAACCAATCAGATTTTAAATTGACCTTTCTTTCACAACGTTAAGAGTAGTCTGGTGCTACTGCTAGTGTGTCCACAAATGTCAGAGTATAGGCCATTAAACCTCAATCACCCAAGGATATACTAGTCTGTATGTACAGCCACTTGACCATTTGGCCTCTGCCAAATGTTGTGTGATACTTTGTACACTTTACAAATTTGATTGTTTTTCGCCCAACAGCTCCGCCCCTTCACACGTGTAAGGCTAATAGATAAAGCTTGACAGATACCGTACATGTAGTATATTTGCACACTGATAGTGTTTATGAAATTATCTCCTTTGCATACAGATTCGGGTATTGATGGCATGCTGTGTTTGCAAACAAGTTGCAAAAACATTACAGCTATACATGTGCATGAGTTACTATACAGATAGCTCAAGTTACGTGCTCATGAACACTACATGTACATGCAACGCTTTATATAAAAAAGGTATGATATCCTGACACAATGGAGCAAATTGTGTATTCAGGGTCCTTCTCAAATGCTATGAAGTTACATCCCACGCTATGAATTAAAATTATTTTTAGTAATTATAACAATTTGTGAAAAATACCGGTAAAAGATGTTTATGAAAACAATTTTCATAATTTGACCACTAAAACACAGCGCTCCTCCTGATTAGACTTACTGCCCGCTTTCAGAAGAAAAAGAAATGTATGCATTTATTTCATTAAAAAAAATTGATTCTCTCAGTATCACTTTCTTTCCGGCTTCTGGGACCTTCCCACTGACCCGGAAAACGGAGGCACGGTTTCTTCTGAAGGAGGAAGCTGTTTGTGACCCTCTTGGTCTTAAGCCGGCACCTGTTCCTAGTCCCTGCGAGAAGCCATCTTGTTTGCTCAGGCGGCAGTATTATTGAATTATCTGAGGGGCTGACTGTCCCACAACGCGGGGAAAAATCGAATCAGGATTGAACGCAAGAGGGGATGAATGGACAACGACAAGGCAAAACTAGGAGTGGATAAGAGCTAATGCACGTGCTTTAGTGGAGGGATGAGACCTCAGTTTGACGTGCGATTACGTATTAGAGGGTCGGGCAGCAAAGGGGGGGGGGGGGTGGCAATTTGAAACATTCCACGTACGTGTATTACTACCGGTACGTCATACTTGTTGAGAATTAGGGGATCTTGAGATCCCCAAAGGAAATTTTACTCTTTCTTACAATTTAGATTAATTGGTTTCATGATTTCATTTATAGTCAAAATTGTATTCCCTCCCAACTCAATATGCTTAATTCTGTCCAAATGAAAGAGTTACATTGTATACATCGGCA